AAAACTATAATAGATATGAGAAAAGGGATATAAAATAGATTGTCAAGAATATGAAATGCCCTATGACTTGCAAATTAATGGGTATAAAAAGAAGAAGTGCTGAGCCCGCCAATCGTTCGACTTTTGTGTGCAAGCCAATTGCGATTTATGTTTATATTTATATTTATTTTTATATAAAATTCATGCGATATCAAATCATGCTCGCATATAGGTAACTAAATATGCCACACACATACAAACACACATAAGCTCACACAGACAGTCAGACACACACAAACACACACTCAGACAGATGGCGACCATTCAGGCATTCGACTTTTGGTTTTGGCTTACAGCTTTTGTGCCACGGCGTTATGTAAACATTCAGGGCATCGGATCGCTTGCCAGCAATGAGCAGGCATGCCATGCATAGATTTATATATATATATCTGTAAAAAAGGAGGGGGCAGAGGGCAGGAGGCGTGGCAGGTTGGCGGGAGGACAGGCGCCGTCGTTTGCCGCGTTTAAACGATTGAGATATATTTATTAAGCGAAGCCCAGAGTCCCAGAGACTCAGTAAAGAAGGCTTGTTTATGGCCAAAAGCGAATCTCGCCAGCGAAAAAAAGGGGTAGATCTCAAGCTGGAGAAAGTGGAGAAGGGGGTGAAAAAGAAAGGGGAGAAACGCACCTTGTGCAAAACACATAAATAAAGAGACAATTTAAACGGATTCGAGGAGCAAAAATGGCATATTTATTTATGGTCAAGCAGGAGCAGGTTGCACTGGTAAACAAATTTCTAAAAAATTTGGTTTTTCAATATGTCCTTTTATTATTCAAAGATTTTATTGTAACTATTAAAGATTTATTATACAAAAGATTTTTTTGTAAGATTCGATGAAAACGTAACGAATTATTTTGTAACAAATAAATATAAAATAAGTATTATATTGAAGTGTATGAAATAACTTTATATTTTATTAATGTCTCAAAATTAATCTTACTTTACCATAATTTTAGATTTATACCCTGTTTTCCCACCTCGATTCCCCATAAAAGTCTCGATAGAAGGACACTTGGACCTTTGATTGGTGGCTAATTAAAATGGCAAATCAAAGGCCGTTTGGCCGAGTAAATGTTGACACAACTCAGTCACAATGGCGAGTCCTGTGCTGTTTCGGCGGTGTCGCTGTTTTCGGGGACCCACAAAGCGCCATTAATAGAGCGTGAATTTTAGCGCAAACACACACAGTCTCTCAAAAGCACATACATACCCACATTTACACACACACTGGGGGGCGCATTTATAGCCCGCAATGTTTTGCCAATCAAAACCCCAAAGTCATTTCATTATTGGCTTTGCGTAATCGACGTCAAAGCGTCCCGTTCCCCTTTCCCTTTCCCCGCCGACCAAAAGTCAACAGCGGAGAAAAGGAGACCCAATCCAATCGAATCGAATGGAATCCGCGGTGGGTTAGGATTTGGGCATCCTGCAGCCTGTGAATGGAACCCATGGATCCTTTGGAACCTCGCAACGTGCATGCAGTCAAGCGAATTGAAGGCAAATATTTTTACTTTGACACGGCGACCCAAAGGGAAGGGATTCGGATTCAGGGGCCTCATCCTGCTGCTCCTCCTCGCAATTCGCTTATTGTCAAAAAGTGTAAATGACACAGTTCGTTAAACGCGACATCGAGACGCTAGATACAAAGATATATAGATAGATGGATGGATGGCCTGCGACAGATGGTGGGATTTCGTTTTTTTCGGAGATTTTTCAGATCCGTGGATTATGCACGCTGGGGCGTGGCCCCAAAAAGGATTGCAGGCAAACATTAATGGGGAGGTCATATAAGTCCGGAGCCTCCAGATTTTTGTCAGGAATGTATGACAAATATTTTATGCGCCCAATCATAAAGGAACCGCAAAAGGGCTCCGAAAAGCGGATAACTGCAGCCAAGCGGAGGGCAGGAGATGGCGAGTATCTCGCAGATAGCCAGATACAAATCGCAGGACCCAAAAACATACAATACACACACAGCCAAATAAGGCAGAAGGCTGAGGAAAGGCAGAAGCATAAAAGGCAACAGCGAAGGTACTAAATAACAACAAAAGGGCGGCGTACACAGAGAGAAAATATCAGCAAAATTTTAAGGTTTATTAATGTGTAAACAAAAAATATTTAAAAAAAAATGTTACAAAAATATAACCTTTTTTAACTTGGTAAATAAATAAATAATATTTATCATAAATATTAGACATTTATTTTAATATAAAAATTTGAATCATCATAAAAATTTGGATCGTCTTTAAAATTAAAAAAAAAAAAAAAAAAAATATAGTTTAAAGTTGATAAGTTAAGATATTAGACACATTTACAAGGAATTATATTTTAAATTATATTTAAAATACCTGGACATTTTAAGAGCTAAGAATTAAATAAAGCCTTAAAAGTTTTCCCAACAGATTTATATTATTTTAATAATATTTTGGATTAATCAATTTTTAATTAAATAATTTTATTAATTCATTTAATACTTCTCGTAGTGCCGAAAATACAGCTTTGAAGTTGGCAGGGAAACCCCAAAAAGGAGAGTGCGTAAAATAAGAAGAATAAGGATGGTGGAGGTTAGCGAAGAGCGGAGAGATAACAACAGAAGCGAAAAGGAAAGGCCAAAGGTGCAAATAATGCCAGGCCCCAAAAAGTGTGCTACACATGTTGACATTGCCCGTGCGATTGAGAGTGTATGCGTAAGTTGTATCCCTGTGTGTGTTTTGCGATTTGCTTTATGTGTGTGTTGACGTGAGAATTTGCACGTCCTTTGTTATGCACGCGTGTAAATGTTTCGCCGTATTCAGATTCTAAATTCAGATTCCGATTCCATTTTCCAAAAAAGCCCAAAGAAAGAATTGAAAAACTAAACAAACTTTGTGAGTGAGCAAATGTTTTATTTGCCAGCCGCACACAAACAAACAGGCACACACACATGCGAAGATGTCAGGGAGATACCCACAAATGCACTGCGATTTCTGCTCCAAATTCGTTTCGATGGCAAGGGGTTTTCCCCGAATTTCCCCCTCTCTGTTTTCCGTGTGCACACAAACTTTGCGGCCTCCTTTAGTTGTTATAATATAACGAAAAAATACCATATACCATATATAAACAGGACTCTTGTGTGTGTGTGTGTGTTTGAGGTCGAGTTGATTGCTTAAGTAAACGCAAAAACGCTTCTTGGCCAACTTGATTCGCTGAATTCTGAATTTTGCTGGCCGGAGAAAATTGCTCGCTGGCTTTTCTTCTACTTTCGGGTCAATTTTCGGACGCCCAGTGATTTTTGCTTATTTTTATTAATAGACTTTTGTTGTAAAATGCCGAAGAATATTTTTTTCGGAAGTGTGTGTGCACTTCAAATTATGCTACATGCTGTAGAGAAAAACCCTTTTTTTGTGCAGGACCAGCGGCTGTTTATAAAGGATAAATTTGCTGGCAAGGATACTCAGTTGCCGCTGCCTAATCCGCAAATGGATATTTTGGCAGGGGGACGGAGCTCACAACTTTTTATTCCCGCTGATTGCTGATTGAAAACCGAACGGAGACCCAAATTCGGGTTTATTTTTGGTGCGGACTGAAGGTCCTGGCAAGTGAGTAATTAATTCTTGTGTTTGGCTTTCAGTGGGCGGTCAAAATGAGGTCTATATTTCTTTCTATATGGGTAGCCATTAAAATAAATCGTAATACGGTTGCTTTTCACTTAAAATAAGTGATTAACAAGAGAGAACGCTATAGTCGGGTTCGTGTCCCGACTATCTAATACCCGTCACTCAGCTGAAGGGAGTGCGAACGGTGTGTCGGGTTGGTGTCCCGACTAATAATCGTAACTCAGTTAAAGGGAGTGCGAGGGAGATAGATATATGTTGACAATTTATAAAGCGTATAACTTTTTAATGAATGGTCCGATTTGAAAATGTCTTCTACATTTCGATAGGTATAAATATACACAACAAAATTGCATTTATACTTCTCGGAAATCTTTAAAGATGTGGGCGCAGGACCCATTTTAAAATCGTTAGTGGGCGATTGTGGGCGTTAGAGGGGGCGTGGCGCTCGGCTAAAATAAACTTGCGCTGCGTAGGAAGCCAAACAATATGTGTGGGAAATCTCAACCTTCTAGCTTTTGTAGTTTCTGAGATCTCAGCGTTCATACAGACAGACAGACGGACAGACGGACAGACGGACAGACGGACAGACGGACATGGCTAGATCGACTCGGCTAGTGACCCTGATCAAGATATATATACTTTATGGGGTCGGAAACGCTTCCTTCTAGCTGTTACATACTTTTGCACGAATCTAGTATACCCTTTTACTCTACGAGTAACGGGTATAAAAAGTGTATATGGACAGCTCATTAATTAGGTTTTCCATTCTTTATTGGATTGATAAACGAAGGAATATATTAAAATGATTTTATTCCTAAATAACATTTAACATTGTAATATCAGGAATGCGAAAGATCTTTTAATTTATAAAATCTGTATTACCAATTTTTTCGAGTACCAAATATATTTTTGGGAAATGAAGATGGTGACTAAATACATTTTTTGAAAGTATTTTAACTTTTAATAAGCCACATTTAAATATGGACTTTCGTTTTACCTATTGAAATCTTAAATAACCCATCAAATGTAATATTTTTAAATTCCATATGCAATATTCAAAATGTATTCAAAGCTAAGAAAACGTCTTTATAAAATTTCGTATATTTTCGTATTTTTAATTAAATAAAATGAATAAAATTAACTAACAAAAACTCACAATGATGAAATAAATTGTTACTCAAAAAATTATCCATCTAAAAATATTACATTACATTTATTGACTGCGAAGACTTCTTCGAAGACTGGTTGACCAACAATTTCCCTGCAGTCTAGCTGCAAAAGCCAGCTATTTTTCCATCTTAGTTTTCCCCGCAGCTTTCCCCTTTTAAATCTTAATATAAACAGACAGTCGTCGGTTGACTCACCTTTTTCCCAGGCAGCGGAGACTTCTTTCCTTCGTCGCTTTTCTACTCGCTCAATTCGGCAGCCAATTGGGCACACACATCAATCAAGTACTTCAACAAGTTTTTCTCTATTTTGTTTGGTCTCTGGCTTGGTTTAGTTTGGATTAGTTGGGTTTAGTTTGGCTGAGTTTAGTTTAGTTTAGAGCGAACTGCAGTTGGCATAGTTATTGTTGAGGAATTTATTGATATTATTGCGGCGCACTCACGCGAATTAATGGGTTAACTTTCGAGCTGGAAATTAACACAGGAATTTCATATCAGAATGCAGAGGAATTTTCAAGGCAGTCGAACAGTCGGCAGGACAATCAAAGGATATATGTGGCAAGTTACTCTCTTTCTCCGCCCGAGTGAGCATTTAAGACCGATAGACAGGACAGATAAATGTCAGAAGGTTATGGGTGTTAATGTCGCTTTTATTTAAAACGGATATTGGGGGCGCAAAAGAACAAAGACGGTCCTCCTTTATTTTTCGAGTAATAAAAAATAAATTAAATGGAAATGGTAAATGGCGAAATGCACAGAGAGGTCCTGCGAGAGAGCGAAGGCGCGAATGTGTCACGGATTTCATTGCTCATTGAATACGCATTCATTTCCACAAAGGGAAAATGGAAAAAGGAAGAACGAAACGGAAAAAGCGGAGCACAGGACCTGCCAGCCATTCAGGCAGCCGCCTCAATCGAGTCACTCAGTCTGCGTACGTAAGCAGCGAAGGACATTCACACAGATACAGGAGAGACACGCATACCATGACAGACCAAAGAGTAAGCCACAGAGCCCGCAGAGAAAATCAAAACTACGCGCACACACTGCCCAAATTTTCGTGTCTTCCTTCTGACAAATTTCAATGGCCAAATGTGTATGTGCGCGCATTTTGTTGTAATTTTGCCATTTTTGGCAATTGCAATCCTTCGCATTTTATTGAATTTTACAAACACAAAGGAGCTAAACACACACACACACACACACGCTGGTTTAAAAGCAGGCCACACACTCAAACAATAACAACACACTTTTTGTCATAATATTTTCATATTCATTATCCTTCTCAACTTTCATTTTCCATATTTTTTGCGGCTAAATCTCTGTGTTTTGTTTCGCCTATTTTATTTGATTTTATTTTTGGTTAATATATTTCTTTCGGAATTTTTCATACGCGTTCGAGTGGAGCACACTTAAATCGCAGGATTCGCTGCTGCTTGCGGAACCGCCCTAAAACAGTCGGGAGAAAAACTGAAAATGAAAATTGCTGAAAAATTCACCCAAGGCAAGCAGCAGTGGCAGCGGGAAAACGGACAGAAAGCTTTTCAGAAATACCAGTATTTTTCAGAGAGGAAAATTGAGAGAACGGGAAAAGCTCAATCAATAAGTCGAGCTGCTCTCGAATGGCAGGACATCCCCAAACCAGCGGAACACCCACCCACCCATTCGCCACCCCCCGGGGGCCAAAGCACATGCTGTGACTTCTAAACGTTGAGTTTTCTCTGTGTGGTTTTCCCATTTTCCCTGCCATTAAACACCTCGATGCTCTGCTTGAAAATCACACTCACTTTTTAGCGGAAAAACCCCGTTAACGCGAACCGCGAATCGTAATTGTAAACCGTTAACGCGAACGGAGCAACTTTTCCTCCACTTTGCACTTGGGGGACTCTCGGGTTCTCGGCTCGGCTTGGGTTTTCCGGATTTTTCCGATCCACACGTCTGACTGCCAGAATGGCCACAACATGAATGTCAGGTGTGCGATTCCGGCTGAGTTTCCTTCGCAGGACTTTTCTATGTAGGCGTCTCTCCGCCGGAGAAAAAGTCCCCCGATAACCGTTATTCCTGTGGAGCTGCCAACTTGGCGCAGGGTTGCATTTCGATGGTAGCCAGGTCCTGCGAAATCGCAGGGTTGCATATGGAAGCTTTTGCAATCTGTTCAAGCTTAAAAAGCTTTTAAGGCTTTATACGCACTTTTGTTATTTTTAAAATAAGTTAAGCATTAACCGGGATCATTAGCTTAAGACTTTCTTGAGAAAAGTAGAAAATAAACTTACAATTTGAAAAGTTAGCAACGTTTTTCAAGTGATTTTAATTTACCTTAGTTGAAACATTTAGTACGTTTTGTGATTATTTTAGCTCTTTAAGCTTTTCATTAATAGTTTGTCCTTTTTATTTTTAAAATATTAAATAAATAGGTTTGGAACACTTTTTAATCGAAATAAACTCGAAGGAACTTGATGAATCTATTATAACTAATTTTTAGAAATAGTTTTGTATAAAGTTTGGGGATAATTTTTCGGATAATAAACATAACAAAATCTGAAAATCTGAAATAATTACCCAGCATGTTACGTTAAGGTTTTTGCATGCATATCATCTGCAGGATCTTTAGCCCAATCCAACTACCTTCATAATCGCAATTTGCATGTTGAATAACCCCTTGGGCAGAGACAATATTCTGAGTGGGCTGCCAATGATGATGGTAATCAAATGGATTACTCGAGTGGCCGGCACTTGAAAACTGCCAATCGGGCTCATCAATCTGTCAACTCCTTTCGGAGGAGTACCATTAGAACACATGGCCACTTGGGCGAACAAAGGACCTGCATAAGGTGGGTTCTCTTAAATAGCGGACTTTCAAACAGCCTCTCAAGGTGCAAATTAGCAGAGCAGCAGGATAATAACCCAGCGGATCTCGAAAGATCCTTAAAGCAGCTGTTGGGAACCCGCAGAAACCGAAACTTGTTGGGCATCCAACTTAGCCACCTTATGCGGGTACCACTGTACAGGAATGCCCCGTGCCAAGGTGCCAAAAGCAAAGCGTATCAGTTTTCGAGATCATTTTATTAGTATATTTTATGTTTTATTTGCTCTGTGTTTTCGGGGACACAGATGTTGCATCACTCCCTTAAAAATTATACGATAGAGGGTAGTTTTTGCGGGCATGATTTTACACAATTTGATGGGAAGGACGAGGAAAGGACATTCTGCTTAAATGCTATAGGGCTCTTTTGACGCTTTAAATTGATTCACACCGCGCACGCAACCCCGGCCACCCCCGCATCCTTCGATTTCTCTTTTTTTTTGTTTTATCCTGCTGCACCCTCGCATCCTAGGAATATCCTAGCACATCCTGTTCGCCTTTTTTCCGTGCTGTCATGCATTTGTATTTGATTAAACATTTTTTACGCGCGTTTCCGTTGAGGGCCGGGACATCATTAGTTTGCCCCGTTTAGGGTTTCACTTTTGGACCAGGAGACTGGGCTCGAAAAAACACCCTGGAAATACCACCCCCATCATCATCAAGTTTCCCATCCAAAATGCATCTGTCCGATTCCGAAAGTCCACTTCCACACTTCCGCTTTTCCGTCTTCTGTGTGCTTTGGTATTTGTTTTAGTCGGTCCTCTGGATCGATGGACCATGTCAATGGCCCTTAATGGCATTTCATTACCCAAACTGCAGCGTTATTTGGGCAGCATGATTATGAGGAATCACCCAAAGAAACAAAACACTCATCATTATAGTTTACTATTTACAGGACTTGCAACCCCCGCAGATAGATGATATATGAGCACCTCGCCGCAATTATAAAACAATCATTTTTGGGGGTTTGTTTGCTTTCCCTGACAGCCCAAAGAACAAGAAGTTTCCATTTTCAGTTTTTCCTTTTTATTCAGAGAGTCTTTTTTAATTTACAATTTTTATGGTTTTTATTTTTTGTTTTTATTTTGTATAAAAATATTAGATTTTTAGAAAAATATTATTTATATTCTTATAATTTAATTTCCAAAGTTTCTTTTTTTCTTTTTGTATAAAAATATTTATTTGTGTATATTACGTATAAAAATATTTGGTACAAAATTCTCTTTTTCTTTTAGCTTATTGTTAATTTCACTGGTAAACTTTAAGCTTATTTATTTAGTATCACAAGATCTCAACCGATATGGTTTCATATATATGATATATCTTAATGTTAGTTAATTCCTAAATTGAGCGAAAGTTTCCCTTTTCGTTGTACTCTGCGGTTACAACCAATTTACATTTACAGATGCTAAGGAACAATAGCGCTGTGATATTGTCCCGATTTCTCGATATTTCGGGGGATTTCCTTACAAGTTATTGCTTTAAGTACACAACCGCCGGTTTTCGAAGCCTGTGGCCTTTCTTTATAGCTAGGTTGTACTGTTTTAAATACTTTGACTGGTAGTGAGACGCTGGTTCAATGTCCGTTTTTTATGACTAACTAAACTAGCTAAATTAAAGTGAGAATTAAATAATTTCCCTTTTTCAACTTAGGTGGCTAAAAATGACTAGAGCTCACACTCGACTTTGGTTTACCAAAACACTGGGTCTGGATTTTTGGTTTAAACTAGGATTTGGTTTTGCTTTTTGGTTTGGTTTTGTTAAGATAAGAACTTAAAAACTATTACTGCACAATTTTGCCTGAATTTTGGTTTCGGTACTGGAACCTGAATATAATGACTAAAGCTGTATCCGAAATTGAAGAATGATATATATGATTTGTACAAACTTAGTAAGATCGAAATGAAGCTGACTTATAGAAATTATTTACCTAAAGTGACTAGTGACTAGAAGGAATGCAAGAACTTGTGACTAGAATGACACGAAAAATTGTGGATAGAAAGGGAAAGTGCGAAAAAGGGTTGGAATTTGGCAGGAAGATGATAGCGATAAGGTAGAACTTGAAATGGAAAGATGAGTAAGCGAATGAGTCATGAAAAATTCAGTTTTTAAGGTGTTAAGTAAGGGGGGAAGTTATGAGATGAGTGGAGGATTAATGAAAGGAGTGATGAATGATAGATGAAACATGATATAGGATTATTGTTTGTATGAAATGAAGTGTTAGTATTGAGTCTTTGGTATTTCAGTTATGATAAGTGACTAGATGATTGAGTTGATTTTCAATTTAAATAAATTTTTTTTGGATATTGTAATGTGGTGTTTCCGTTTTGATAAATGACTAGATGATTGACTTGATATTAATATTTTCTTTGGCTTTCCTATTAAGTTCATTGCACTCCCAAAAGTTCCTAAACTAGCTAAAAACTAAGGACTAGCTATCGAGATCGTATTGAAGCTGACTGAGTGCCAAGTTTCTTTGGTTTCACTGACTAGAACTAAAAGTTATATGGAATGTAAGCCGAAGTACGGATACAAATTAGAGACTCTGACTAGAATTGAACTCATTTTTTGCGAACGAAACTAAAACTAAATCTAAACTTAGGATACGAAGAGGAAACGGAAATTTCCCTGTGAATAAAACTAATTCTTTGGTCTGTTTCAGCTGCATAGAGAGGGTGTCTCCCAACCATAAAACTAAACTTAACTTTAAAAATTAACTGTAACTTTTTATAAACTTAAATCTCACTCTTTGTTTTTCTTTCAGTGTGCCATGGTGGTGTGCTGGATGACGGAGGCGCAGTTCCTCAGGTTTGTTAGAGCCGCAGCAGCAATGCTTTCCTCCTCCGTGAGGCCGTGTTCCACAATCTGCAGGCGACCATAGCCCGCTGATGAGGCGGATGAACTGGAGTCCGAGAGGTAATCATTGTCGTAATCATAGTTGCTGCTCCTGGTGGTGGCCCCCACCACATAGACGCCTTCATCGGAATGGGAACTGCTGCGTGAAGAGGATGAGGTTACGGAGGAGCCCTCCTTGAAGTGGAAACTCCCTGTGATGGTGGCCTTAACCTCCACCTGCTTTTCCACCTTTTCCTTCTTCTGATGCGTCAGTTGGTGTTTCCTCAGGTAGGCAGCCCTCTTGAACTTCTTTCCGCACTCCTGGCAATCGAAGGCCAGCTCCTCCACAGATTTCTTCTCCACCTGCGATGATGGCTTCTCCTGGTGATTGATGGTATTGCGATTCTCCTTCTTGGCCGCCTCTTTCCTCGGCTTATGCCATCTTCTGTGGGAGGCCAGATTGGCAGGACAATTGAACTGCTTGCCGCACTCAGGACACCTGTATTCGAGGAGCACTATACAAGCACATCGATGACGGGCCAAGCCAAAGGCATCCTCGAACTTGATCTTGCACAAACGGCACACATAGTCCCCTATTACATTTTTGATAGCAGCCAACTCCGCCTTGGTTTCCTCGGTGATCTCTACTATATTGTATTTGGGGTCTATATCGCCATTGCTGTACTGCATGGAACCATCGGTGATGTCCTCTAGAGGTCGTATAATGGTTCCCGAAACTGGGGAACTGGTCTCCTCATCGAACTTTAGCTTTCGGGTGGCCTTCTGGCGGTTAGTTTTTCCCGAGGAGGTGGAAGCCTTGCTGGTTCTGGGCGCAGAATCTGAGATCTTAATGGGTTTCGCAGGGGTGGCTTCTATGATTTCCTCCTCCTTTTTCTGAATTTTAGCAGGTTGTTCGGGCTGTCCCTCCTCATCACCACTTTCCGCCTGAAATTTGCGCTTTCCCGAGGGACTTTGTGGCGGCGTGGGGGGTTTTTCCTCTACTTTTGGGGGAGAAACCTCTGCTGGAACCTCCTCGTCAGCCCGAGTTTCACTGTAGACCTCCGCAAATGTGGCCGCCATGGGCACATCGCCGTGGGGCAGCGGCGAGGGCAGCTTGAGCGTTAGATCCAGGGGAATTTCGCACCTGGTTTTCAGGTTCAGGTAGCGACTGCGGTATTTGGGGGGCAGCGAGGCCACCGTGGTCAGCAGACCCAGGCCATGGGGCATGCCCTTGTGCTGCAGCTGGATGCCAATGCTGTGCGGATGGCTGAGTTGTTCTTGTATTTGAGCCATGGCATTAAGGATTTTTTGTAGGATTTTTTTAAAATGATTTTTTTTAAACTTAAAACTTGAACTGAGCGAAACGGGAAACTGGAAACTGGAACTAAGCAAACTTAACAACAAACTGATAACGCTGATCCTTGCGGACTGGGACTCTATATAAAGAGAGGACCTCCAGTCGGCTCGACGTTTGTGCTGCGAATGAGGTTCGTTGGTTTATGTGGCGGCTATTTATGTGTGCCACACACCATTCACTCCAAAGGAAAGCGAAAACGAAACCGAAACCGAAAACGAAACTCGAAAATCATTGTGTTTGGTGCCGGCGTCCTGTGGAAATTTCTGTTTTCAACCCCCTTCGACTGAAGTCGTTGTCCTTTTTCGACGACGCCGGCAGAGAGCCGCCGCAAAAGCCGGAATCTTTTGTTAGCAATCACACACACACATTAGTCACCCTTTTTTCCCCAAAGCCAAACACACACAAACATACACACACGCACAGCCAGGACAATGCACTCGAAGAAAAAATCAATGTGCGACAGCTGTTGTTTGGCACGCACCAAAATCACAGCACCTTCCTGGGCAAATATTATTTTGTATATATATATATAGCAGTATTCTGCGGAAATCGGAGCCTGCTTATTGTCCTTATTTTTGGCCAAAACAGCTGACAACCATGAAGTCGTTAATTGAGCGTGTAACCATAAGGTCAGCGGGAAGGAATCCTCAATGGTTCGGGATCTAAAGGTATCCCTATCCTATCCTAGGTCTCGAAAGGTGAATTGTTTCTTTGTTGCCATTTGGCGAAAAAAAACAGCTGTTGGCATTTGGCTTCAAGATGTTTAAGGGAAGTAAACAATGTAACAAGTTAGGACGAAGAGCTAGAAGAAATTTCTTTTCATTATATTGCAAGTAAAACCTGGGTAATATGTGGCTAAAATAAAGATAATTTAAGGTAAATATTTGACATCAAAATTAATTAATTAATTTCTTTGGCATTTTTGGCATTTATTGCATATTCACAGAAAGAAGACATAAACCAAAACATTTTTTTTAAAATTTAACTAGAAATATGTATTTGATTCTAACAGAAAATGTTTTGAGAGTTTAATTCTTAATTTTCATGCTTATCTAAAATTGTTTTTTTTTGTAAGAAATAATTTTAATATATTTTTAGGGTAAGTACATTTTTTATGAGGTTCATATCTGAAAAAGATTTTATTAAACTCTTGTTTCTTAAATAAGTGCTTATATAATTTTCAACGCTTAATTTATCATCATTTTTTAAGGAAAACGATTCTAAAAGAATTGGCTTTATAAATGTAAAACATTGTAAATTATCCTTTTGTTGTACACTTAAGTACTTTAAAAAGGGGAGGTTTAGTAAAATAAATACAAATGAAATAAATAAATGAAAAGAGATATATAGAGATTAATCATAAACATAGCCATTAACAATTAAATCAAAACAAATCAAAAACACATAAATTTATAAAGCGATATTTTTTTACAGCTAAAACTTTTGATGGTTTTTTCTGTGTATTTATAGCAATTAAAGCTTCTATTAAAAATGAATTAATCCAACATTTCTTGTTGTGTACTTTGCGGCACTGCATTTATCAGCCTCAGACGACTAAGCTCGTCAAGTTTGCTTTTGGTGGGGTAGGTAGCAGTAGCAGACCGACAGACTAGCAGACTAAACAGACTGGCAGACACAACTTGGGTTCGAACTTCGAACTTCACCACCGCGAAACAAGCGCACAATCGCTTGTATCCTTGTATCCGTGTACTCTTGTATCCTTGTATCAGTGGCTGCGTTTTTCTATGTGTGCGAGTATCCTGTGTGAGTGCTTTGCATTAATGTAATCGAAATGCGAAGCCGACTGAGCCGTCGACAGTGGTTGCCATGAAAGGAATGCACTTTCGATTCCCGTCGAGAGCTTTCGTCGCAGGATTCGCCCGATTCTCCCGATTCGCAGGACTCTCGCTCCTGCAAATATGGCATATTATGTTGAACACGCCGCCATTGTTGTTGTTCTTGTATTACGGTAGGCACGTGCATGGCAACGATTGCCACCCCAAAGCGGGCTGACAAAGTGAAAGGCACTGGGAGAAAATCATACAAACCAAATTTTATATATTTTACATTTGTTGCATTTACTCAATATTATTAATTTAAATTTCAATGATTTTTTTGGGAAAAAAATTTTTAATAATAATAAAAGTTAGAAAAATAATAAATGAATAAGAAATGAATAAAATCATGTTGAGATCAGAATCATTTAATAATTCTCCTTCAAATATTTTGTCTATCTAAACATTGTTTAAAGATGATTTTCAGTATTAATAGATGGAATATCATGTTTAAGATGATCTTAACTTTTTTTGAAAAAATCCCAGTATTTGTTTTAATATTCCCAATATTTTTAGTTTATTAAATAAACTTTATTTACATATTTCATTTTTAATGAGATTTCAAAATTACTAAATGGTAACTTAAAACCTATTTCCTTTTTGTTAAAAATTGTATTTTTTAAGAATTTAAAACAGCTATTATATCCACAGAGTATATTTTAAATTCCTTGATTTGTATGCAATAATATTTCATTTTTTCGCAGTGCACAGTTGAAAGTGCAGAGAGTATTCCCAAAGCGATCCCGTCGCAGCAGGGTGGCCATTCGGTGGCTGGGGAATCGATGTTTGCCATGCAGCTTAGAATTAAAATAGCGCACGCATCCGAGGCCAAATCCAGGCACAAACTTGGGATCGAATGAATCGGAGAAGGCAACAAAAGTCTCAGAAGTGCGCCAGCCACGCGAGCATTGTCTTGAAGGTCCTGTCGTTCACTCGTCCTTTGGTCCTGCCATCCTGAAAGTCCTGAAAGGCAACGCAGATACATGGATGCTGCGAATTCCAACCCTGAGTTCCCCTTCTATCCTCGAAAGCCCTGCCAACTTATCCCTGTCACTCACAAATGCCGCCTTATTTGCGATTCGATAAAGTGAGAGAAAAAGGAAGCGGGAAATCAAGCCATCAAAAGGAATGAAGGTTGATTAATCTGAGACAAGCCTATTGAAACGGATTAGTGCGTGTTGGTCGGAGGTTTCTCTACGCTTATCATCATCCATCAGTTCAGAGTGCACTTTTATTATTTCTTATGATTATGAATATGATCTCTGAACTGGCGAACAATGGAGAAGTTTGTGTTTTATTATTAACTATTATATTTAATCTCTTTCTGAATATATGATAGTAAGATAGCGAAAGTTATTTTAAATAACTAACTAACTCTTTTTAAATAACAGATCAGTAACTTTTTAAATTTTGCCTGGTTAAGATAAAATAATCAAAAAAAAAAAAAATTGATTTCATTGCCTATATCTTTCTTATTATTATTTTAAAATTTTAGGCTATAATGTTGTTAAGATCTTATTTTTCATAACATGGCAATATATGACGCACATCTAAAATGTTTATTGTTTTTTTACGGTTAACAATATAAGCTTACAAATTATATCACAAATAGTCTTATTTCCAAAGAAATTTTTTTAGAAAATTTTGGGATTTTTAAATTTTTTTGTTTACCAATTTTTCCATCTTTGAGTCAGAAATAAAAATAAAGTACATGGAACTTATGTTGGATTTTCGAAATATTTGCTTTCACCCCTTCAAAAGACTTTACATTTCTCAGCGTGTAGCGATTGAAATCTCCTTCGACTGCTCTGATTTCTGCGCTTCAAGGCGTTCTTGGCACAAATTTGCACTCGACAAACACCCACGACTACCCATCAAATTTATCGTCCCACCGACAAGTCACCCACATACTCGCAAACCCCCGCAGAGCAATACGCATTTTGTTTGTTGTTTGTTCCATGGCTAACCCTTAAGTGCATCTTTTTATGGTAATTTCAAGTGCACGGCCTGTCTGCATGTCCTGGCCATAGGTATCCTTTTTGCTCCCTCTGGCGGCTCCTTGGCAATAATTAATGTTCGAAAATGCATCGTTTATGCGGCATAATGCATTTTCATTTCCATTCTCGTTTTCATCTGACTGGGTTGTGTGGGTGTGTGTGTTTCTGTGTCTCAAAAGGCTTTTCAGAAAGCCGCGTGCACTTTTGCTTGGGCAGCTCCTCAAGGATCCACTCCACTTGTAGCACATGTTGCCCATTGTGGAGAGATGAGGCTGCCTTTTTGGGGTTCAGCTCCAGGTCCTGTCAACCCTTTGCTTTCCTTGCCTTTTCTTTTCGCCTGCCACTGAGCTGTAATTAAATTTTTCGCTTTCATAATTTCATGCAATTTCTGCCGCTGATTCGGTTTCCAGGGCGCGAAGGTTTTTTAATTGCATTTCGTTTGGTTTCGTCTGAAGGGAGAAAGAAAGGGGAAATCGGGAAATCTGCTACCAATTTGCATTACTCCATTGGGTATTATAAATTGAAAGCTCCAAATTTGCCAGATCTCCGGGAGATTGAGCTGCCAATAAGCCAAACGCAGCATGTGTGGCTTAATAAAAATATATCCCATTGAGCTTGGGGTTTTTGGGCCAACTAATCCTTATTTTCAAGAACGGGTAGTTCAAAATTGAAGAAGTAAATAATGTGGCATTTATTCTAATAAAATAATTACATTTTTAGATTGACAAAAATATTTAAGTAACATAATTTTATTTTTAGAAGGCCAACAATCATTTTTTTAATAATTAAATTTTTAAAATTTTATTAAAAGTCCTTTTATAAAAGTAATACAATTTAAAAAAAAAAACTTTGACAATTTCTGCAATAATTCTTAAAAATGATAACAAAACTCTCCCCTAAACCGAAATAAAAAATAAGGCAAATCCTGCGATAATTATAATAATAGTCCTTCAGTCCCATGTCATGCACAAATTTAAATAAAAACAATTATAATTTTTTAGCTGCCATAATCATATGCAATTTGCGACTGCATCCTTGCCTTTTTAGGGGAGTGAATATTTTTAATTGCATTTCAGATGAGTGATGAAAGGGATGTTAAATTTACTCGATTTAGCTTTAACTTAAATTGAAATTCTAATAAGCCAATTGCAGCATGTGTGTGGGGCTTAAGACTCTAAACTAGATCCACTAAGCTTAAGGAATTTGCTCGCAAATCCTAGTGAGCAGTAAACAAAACTCCCCGAAAATTGGCAAGTGACTAACCCCGGGAAAAACCTGGCATAATTATGGTCGTATTCGTATTCGAAATCGTATTCCTCCAGTTGTGCAGCATGCATAAATATAAGTACACACAATAAATTTGCGCCGCAGGACACAGAAACCCACAGAGTGAGTTCGCTAGAAATGGGAATTTCCAAACAATGAGAAGGGGGGCGAAGCCAAAAAAAACAATCACAATTCACAATTCTGTCGGGTGTCGAAGTGCTCCGGGCACGCGACCGGCGACCAACGTTCATTTGTATTCGCCGCTGCTGCTAATGTCCTGTGCCCAGGATTCTAAACTGCGAATTGGTCCGGTGCACATATATATGTGTACGTACGTACCGTAGATACGACGGCATGTGCGACGAGGAAATCACAATGCAACCACCACAGTCCGCAATCCATAACCCAGACCGAGTTCCTAGTTCCCTCCCCAAAAGTCAAAGTGCTGGCAATCGAAGCCGAAAATTTAGCCAGGTGCATTTTCAAACACCAAAACACAACACACGAGCCGCATAGCAGCACCACTATGAAAAGGTCGGCAGGGGCAGACAGTGAACTCTGGCTAAGGGGAAAAGTAGGTAAAACCTACAATTGTTTAAGATCTATAACAAAATATTTATTCTAAATTTTGTTGTGTTTAATAGGTAATACTTAGACCTTATTTTACCAGTCGAGAATAATTTCTTCTTGAAAAATTAAGAAAGTTTCACCTTGAAAAGTGAGAGTTGGTTATACAAAGAGGTAACATTAAGTCATCTTCTACAATTTTAAAATAGAAAATAATGTCTTCTTGAAATATAAAGAAAATTTCGTCTTGAAAACTAAGTGTTGTTTTTAGGTACAAAGTTCCTCTTCTGTAATCACAAAAGCGAGAAATATTTCTTCCTAAAAAATAAAGTCGAGAGTATTTTCTTCGTGAAAAGTGAGATTTGCTTATAAGTCGATGAACAAATTTTCAAGAATTTTCACTTAAAATTATTTAATAAAATAAATACCATTTAAAATCAAAATTTCTAAAAAATAAGCAAGATCATCCATCCTTTTTTCACTGTAAACGCTATAAAGCAGAGCTCAAGCGTGGCGCGATTTCGATACCGCTAAAGTCTGAGGCTGTTGCTGATTTCGAATAGGGTTTTTTTTAAAGCGTTGCGCCCTTAGGGGTGGCAAAATGCAACCAGATTGGAAGGAGGGCGCTCCGCCGCTCGCATATACGCATGTCAGTCACAGTGCATGAATGTCTAGGGAGGGTTTTAGGTTTTACGTTTACGTTTACGTTACGGCGGCAGCGAAATATAAAATATTTCATTTTTACCCCTTGGCTCACTTATCAGACTATGCATATAAAATTCCAATTGGACGCGTTCACCGCAAAAGGACGAAGGACTAAAAAGAGAAGGGAGGAGGAGGGGTGGGCCGGAATTCTCCCTTCGCGTTTTATGCCTAAGCCTGCCAAGATCCTGTGCAGGATTCCCCCTCAAGCTGATGCTGCACAATAAGAAATTATCCACAATACATTTTAAACTAGAATATTTAATTCGAGAATAATTTCTTCTTGAAAATTAAAGAAAAGTTTCGTCTTGAAAAATGAGAGTTGGTTAAAGATAAACGGGACACTAAAGCCCTCTTCTAAAATTTTAAAAACCTCAAAGTTAAGAATTATTATTTTAATAGTTTTAAAAACTGTTTACAAGTAATATATTATTTGTATTATAAAAAATAATACTATTTCAAGAAGAAAAACGATTATTTTGTACATGCTTAAATTAAATTTAATTTTTTTATATTTAGCTAATATTTTCTCCCAGTGTCCCTCTGCTGCTGTGTGAAAATTGCACGACTTGCGCTTCTGCTTTTGACAATAGCCTCACATTAACTAGTTTCCGCTGCACTCGCAGTCGCAATCCCAGTGCCCCGAACCCAATCCCAATGCCAGTTCCACTTTTAATGAGTAACTGAGCGAAATGGGAACTTCATTACAAAAGCACCCCATTCGCAGGACCCCTTACCACTCCCTTAACCATCTCCCTGCGAACGCTTCCTGTTTGGTTTGTTTCAATTAAATCGCATGTGCGGCCCACGAAACGCAGGCGAAACAGGCGCAGGACACCGAGGAGGCCGAGGCCCAGGACACATTGCAGGACACATGGCTCATCTGTTACTTAATCATGGCATTGCCATGGATACGCGTACCTTGAATTGCGAGGGTGTCCTTGCATTTGAGCTCGACCTTTGAGCAGCCAGTACGGATATTTATTGTTATTGCCCTGGGGGCAGAACGAGATTTCCCTTTGCCTGCTTTGTGGAGAACAGGAACCCCGTCTTAAAGCCCTGCTGAGATTCTGATTTGATGGTATTTCTCAGGACTTGAATACACGCTCATACCATTCATGTGGAAATGTTTTTCATGATTGATTTATAGTTGCTTATGACAGAATGATTGGGGTATTCAGAGGGTATGAAAGCTTCTGTCTCAGAATGATTAATAGATTGAAACTTAATTTTACTTCACAAAAGCATTACATAATTATACATCAATGGGATATTCTTGTATTAGATATTTTTCGGAATTTTAAAAATTCTTTTTAAGGAGTTCTATCAATGCTTTTAAATTATTTTAGTTGTTTTCGAAATTTATAATGAAATTTTTAATATTTTAATAATTTTATAACAATGCGTTTTTATTACTATAATTTATTTTCGGCATTTTTAAGATCGTCATAAACTACTAAATAAGTAAAACAATATTTGTTTAATGTTCTTTCATATGTATATGTATTTTAAATCGGTTTAAGAATAAATATATATGTACAAGACCAGAATTTTCACACCTATTAAACTGAATATTGTATTTTAACTTCACTTTTCGGGAATTCCTTTGGTAATACTTGAAAGGTAATTATAGCAGATCCATAAACTTCGATATGTTTCTGTCCATTTTCCGTATCCAGTTCCATATCAGATTTCTAGTATAAGTAATCCGCGTAATCGTAGTTGGGAAATGAGTTGCCCACAGTGACGTTGCTCCAGCCGAATTGGTAACGAATAAGGGCATCCAAGCCACCCACATCCACGCCCAGTCGTTGAAGTTCAGCTGCGATGACCTTGCCGGGGGGAGTGGCCAAAACCCTTTCATAAACTGGACGCAAGGCCACCAGACGACGCCAAAGTTCGGATATAAGAGGACTTGTTTGGCTGGCACTGGGTTCCAAAAGAGTTCGAATCAGTTGCACTGGGTAGATCTGCACAAACTCCGTTTGGAAACCTCGGATTCCATTCACAATCTGTGACCAGTAGGGATACTTATTGAAGATCTTGATCTCCAGTTCCAGGTATTCGAAAATCTTGGGGGAACCACCGGATAAGATGAGTTGTTGGGTGATCCACTGCTGCAATTGTCGCACTTCGGGTTGGTTGATAAACTGTCGATACAGTCGATAGGCAGGCAAAGAGTTCACTGCCCTGATGAGACCTTGGAATTCGATGTCATTCAGTAGATAGGTCTGAATTAGCTTCTCTATCTTATCCTTGGGTACCGAACGTATCACTGCCCTTAGTTCCAAGGCAAAGTTGCTTGGAGGAGTAACAGTTCCATTATAAGGACGAATTGGAGCCAAAAGAACAGGCGTGACACTTGGAAAAGCCGCCAGGCAAGCGAAAGCCAAAAAAGCACAACCGATGAAACGCATCCTGATCTGCTATGATCTGATCTGCTAGAACTAGTGGACTATTCTGAATTACTCCCCGTTTTTATAGCGAAATGCGAATTTTGTTATCTGACTTTCTGTTTGTGGCTTAGCTTCCACAATGGACACTCCTCTTATCGGAGACAGTTTGCTTTACAATATCTGACGTGGTCCACACAGGTGGAAAATAAGAAGATCTGACAAGATAAAGGGAATCTATTTACAACCCTTAGTCATTCCGGTTTGCTAAGCAGACGATCGTTTATACCATCACGACATAATTTTAGAACCAAAAAGTCGGTGAAAGGGTTTAGAGAAATACATGGTATTTAGATATATATTATTTCAAGGCAATAAGAGAAAATATTTTATAAATATATGAAGTTCAATTAAAATAAAAAAAATAAAAAACTTCCATTAAATTAAATTCCTTGAAAACCCACGAAATTCAAAATAATATAACAAATAAAGCAAGAAAAGAAGTCCAATTCTAAGGTGATCTAAGATCTTAGGGTAAATAAATCCACACAAAATTAAATCATCCTTGGGATAAAATATTAGTTATTATTTATTTATTGCAAAATGCTTAATTTAATAAAAATGGGAAAGACAAATAAGATAGACGAACAGCGAATTCATTAATACCTCTAAAAGACTAACAAAAACATTTAAAAAGAAAACAATCTAATTTGCATGTAAAAACAGCTTCTGTTTAACTTAAGTAAATCCTAAAAAAAAAAATTAAATATGACAGCGGTTCTCGTACACGTACTTGAGATAAGACAGGAGAAAGACACAAACATCAAACAAGATATTCCAACTATTCAAGGCAGACGACTTCACAGTCAATAAATCGCGTTAGTCTCACCTGGCGAAATTCGGTCAGGTGGGACAGCTTTTTATGGAGCATATCCGACTTATGAATAAGCAAGAAAGTGACATTGCAGATAAGGAAAAACCTAAAAATGTATATAATTCTACAATTGTCAAAGAAAAAGTTTGCAAATAAAAGAAAAATAATGATGTCATTTACAGAGATATAAAACCAAGATTGACTCATATCATAAAAGTAGATTGTAAAGTAACGTATACAAATGGGGGGTTTTTACTTACCGCCAAACTGATGAGCAATAAAAATATGGAAAGAATTTTTAAGTTATCCAATTAAATTCTGAAAATAAATAAAATAAATATTTTTACAATAAATAAAAATAAAATTATAATAAAGAACAATTTATAAATCGTCAAGTAAAAGTTCCAAAGTTTTTTGGAACAAATAGATCGATTTAGTTTATTGTTAGACCTTATATTCTTAAAAAATTTATTCAACCTGAATATTTTCTGATTAAAGAAAGTATAACAAAGAGAAAAATAAAACTGTCCAATGAACACATCAAAGCTAAAAAGTATTGACAATCTGCAGCTGAGATCTCCAAGGCAACTCTTGAAGGACTCCCTTTCGGTCAAGTGCAGTATCCCTTGGATTTTGGGAGGAAAATAAACAACCGGGCATGTAAATGGACAGATGTGAGTAGATAATTAGTTAGTTAGTTACCTTCTCCCGATCGCATATCCGGTCCAGCCGACATTAGTTCCACTCGAAGGGAGAGGGAGTCCTGCAGGAATGTTACATGCATGGTAATTAGGATTGGCCGGGAAACTCCTCCTCCGCCTCAGCGTGAAAAAAGAAACAAAGGAAAAAATTCCAATTCAGCAGGAAACTCTAACAGATTTGCTGTATAATTTGGAAATTATCAAAAACTTTTCAGAGAGCGAATCTGTAGAACTGTAGAATCCACATAAATAGAGATGCAGGGCGAAGCCACCCCAAAAAGAAAATAAAACTGGGAGGATAGGGAGATTTAGGGTGATTTCGGTTTTAGGGGGTTGGTTTTAGTTCGACCGAGCATAAGTATTTTTGTTGGCCAGGGGCGATCGCATGTTTGGTTATCGGAATTGTAAGGGGAGTTGGGCTGAAAGGCAGCTGCAAAAAAATATATTCTCTATACCCATAAACCCCCTTTTTGCAGTGCTTGATAAATCATGTGTAAAGGTATTTGTACAAAAGTTTTTTTCGGTTTATATTTTCTATCTTGTATGTTCGATTGGCGGCAGCTGCAAAAATCCTGATGCTGTTGGAAAAGCGGAAAAGCCAGTGTTGCCATGGAAAGTGTGTAAAAACTAAAAAACTATTCGTCGACAGGACGAAGAAAATATATTTCGTTTTTAATTGATTTGGCATGCTTCAATTTAACGCTTCGCTGCCACTTCCTCTTTTGCATGCGAGTCCTGCACGTGTCCTTTTTAGTTTTCTCTTCTATAAATTTCAATATTTTTTTACATATATATATGTGAAATGCACTTCCGTTTCATGACATGCCAATATGAGTCAGAGCTGCGAAACTAGAGGTCCTTTTAGCTACAGGTATGTCTTAAGGTCTTATTCCTTTGCCTTGAAAATCCCCTCCCCTTTTTGGCACGCGTCAAAAAAAGCAAAAGGGGCGAGAGAAGTCAGTGGATAATTTTTTAGGGGTTGCTCATTGGGTTTTTCTTATAAGAAGCATTCCTCCTCTTGGCCGGAAGAAGCAAAGCAACACGTTCAAGACATTGTTGAGTCACCACTGGAAATTATTATTACCCCCGTCGACGTCTTTGCAGTCCTCACTTTACCCCTCCGTGTGCTGGCATTTATATTCCATACCATTCAGAAAAGGAACCTTCGGGATCAGCTTTCTTATCGCCGGCGCCTTTTAGGGTCCTTTCATTCATTCATTCCCTCGCTTAATTGAGATATGGAGGCGAGGAAACCAGAACGAGCCCATAAAAGGGGCAATACCTTTTGCCAGCCAAGTGCCAATTGTAGGTTTCACTTTAGGCTACAAATTGAAACGCCCCTTCTCGCCAGGACTTCTTTTCTCGTCCTTTTTCCCCGTTCTTGTTTACCTTTTTTCCTTGGTCTGACTGTGGGCTTCCCTCGAGGAGAAGCCATTAAATTGATTATAAGACATTGTTGAAATGTGTAAACTGTTCCGTCTCAGACATTCGGTCGCCGAGGGAAGTCCTTCTCCCCCCCTTTTTGTCTCCTTTTCTCTGTCTCAATGCCATTTCTCACATTCTCAGTTTCTCCCTATTGGTATGTGAGCATTTCGTAGGGCGTGGCACTTTTGACTCAAGTCAAAGTCGAGGAATTCAACTAATTAGGGGGAAGAACGAGGAATTACTCTCAAAAAAATAGGTGTTGAGGGACCATTTGGGTAGGTAATGGGTTCAGGTTCACCTCAAGGGGTTAATGAAGGTAAAGGAGTTTTATTGAGGCAGAAAGGTGTGTCTGAGCTGGTTACCAAGGAGTTCCCCCCGAAGAAGTCAGACGAAACCACAGCTTATAGGGTATTGTTCTCGGGGTTAATGCTCGGAAATGACTCAAGGTGTCAATAAAGATTGCTGCAAGGGATTTTTGAAATAAAACTAATGGGTTTAGGAATAAAAAAGGGAACAAAAAGGTGTCAAAAAAGATTTTTGGAAGGATTTTGGGAAATTAAATTAATGAGTTAACGTAGAAATAAAGGGACAAAGGTATTTTTATAAGAAATAAAATTAAATAAATATAAAACAAATTTATTAGTAAGATGAAACAAAGAATTTTATCAAGCAATAAATAAATTTGAGTATGACAGTATTTTTTAAATGCCTAATAAAACTGGAAAATGTTTTAAAAAACTATAATTTCTAATTAAAGATTTTGTAACCACAATATAATATGAAACTAAGTATTTCAAAATGTTTTAAAAGTAAAAAGAATTACTATTAGATGTTATATGTTTTATTTTATAGAAGTTTTTATTTTAAAAATATTTTTAGAAAACACTTATTAAGGACCTCCAAAAAAGACAATAACCAACATTTTAACAATCTAATTAAGTAAATATTAAATTAGGTTGTAGAACTATTTTTTCCAAAGCTAAACAATCGAACAAATAGAAAATCAAATGCAAATTCTAAACAAAGGTCCAATGACTTCTCCCCCACCCCTAACATTCTGTTTGGCTGGAAAAGTCAGCAGCTGTCGTAGCTGCCGAACCTTTATCGCAATCACTGATAGGGAGTTACAACCCAGAAATCTGTCGGGAGTCCCGTTTTACGGCCCGTTAACCAGGACACGTGTGTCGCTGCATTAGCATATATGTATGAGGATATGTAAAAAAGGCATAGGAGCTGCATAAAGAAAGCTCCCTCTATTAAAAAACCCAACCAAATGGGCGACTATTAGGGGAAACAAAGCAAACAGCGCAGGCGCAACTGGGGTTCGAAAATTTCGAGATACCGAAACTGGGTTGGGCACGTTCCAAAGGTTTTTACCCCTGGCTTAGATAGCTGCACACCCAGGGATATAGAATATAGGAGTACCAGCTGCCTGGCCAAAAACACCGAAACTCGTTTATCTTTATCCGAGACAGAAAATTCTGAACTCGCGTGCCGTCAGTCCGGTTTTAACTCCCCTTCGAGAGCTCATTTCGTTGCTCATAAATAACAATGCAATGATCCCCAGGTATTTTTCACGTGTTTGGCACGTTTCACTCGATTTTCCGGTTCTCGATTCCCTCAATTCGCTCTCTCCACTAATCCCCCCGCGGAAAAAGGGCACGCGTCCCCTTTGATAAATTGTGCTTTAAAGCGCAGGGTTACTTTTTTCACAGGATTCTGTGCTTCTGGAGCAGCCTGAACGAAGGCCTTTGACAAATGGCCAAAGCAACTTCGGAGGACAGGCCAAGACGAACTATTGTCTGCCTTATTGCCGGGAATAAATCTTCATCTGGTTTATTTATCAAGGTGTAGCAATTACATTAAGTCGAGCCAGTCAGCCATGGTTATCGGACACGACCTGGGACCAATAGCGCAGCTGGGCATGCATCTCCCGGAAGTTGAGACGGGGCGGCAGCTTCAGTGGCCTCATCGGGTAGCCAAAAACACTTACGCGATGCAGGAGGAACTCCCAGAGGTCGAAGGCACTCGCACCGGCCGAAGGGCGAAAGGTGATCAGGGAACTGGAGCAGCAGGAGCGGGTCTGAAATACAAAAAATATTTTATTAAATAGTGAATTAACAAATGAAAAAATAAAAAAAAAAAATAAATTATAATAATAAACAGTCATTTTTTATTAGAAAAATTTTTCGAATTGCAGAATTATCTATTCATTAAGTCGATAGTGATAGTCGAGCTAATCTACTTATGTATCTCTCTTTTCATTTCTATGTACTTCGAATTTTTATTTCATTTATTCTAGCCAATTGGAATCTGAATAAAATCTTTTTATTGCCTATAGCAATATATTTTATTCTACTTAGACGTGGAAAACATTCATCCAATTCCACTTAACGCTGATATCAATTCAAAATACTATTATAAAAACTGTAATAAATTTCAGCAAGGGAACATTTTTATCTAATTAACTTTAAGTACAAATCAAGGCATTTTATTTGGAATAAAAATATATTTATATGAGAGTCCTTCATTAAATTAAATGAAATTCATTCTAAAACTTAAAGAAGTAAGATGAGAACAATCTTACCGTTGCTTTAAAGTACAGCGACTCTGAGTACTTTTTCCATATATCCATTTCGGGTCCAATCCATAGAGGCATTATTGGAAGAAAGCGCTCCTGACCCATGCCATCGCGCGACTCTCCTGCAATCACTCCAACATTTTTCAGACAGAGACCCATCTCCCGATCCTCAGATTCTAAATTAGAGTTCAAGTCATTCCCACATATGTTAAAGTCTTTAAAGGCGAATAGATTTAGGCGACGTAGGGCTCCTCTGCTAAGAACGTAGCCAGCTTCCCCGGACATATAGCCTTGGGCGAAATCCGATTTCAGGCGGTGACCAAAATATATCGATGATTCTGGATCGTATCGGTAGAGAAAGCGTCGTAAGTTCTCCATTATCACAAAGCTACAGCGAAGATGATTATAAATTTATTATTTTCCCGTAGTAATTTTATTATTTATTTTATATTAAACATATTTACCTTATAATAGGTATATATTATAACATATGTTTTAAACATATTTAACTCACGTATCTGTATCCACCCGAAGAACCCAATCGTGTCCGTTAAAATGGTTTCTAAAAATATTTTTAAATCCATGTCGAGCAGCAGCAAAAGTATTATTATCCTCTTTGCCGTCCTTCCAAAAAATAAGCTTATTACATCGCCTGCCCCATGTGGATTTAATCTTGGCCTGCTTTTTTACATGATCCAAGGGATCTATTAAAACCATGCAAAGGATTCGTGTTTGATTGAAGAGTCTCTTAGCTGGATTATCTGCTTTCGGATTTCTTCTTTCCCAAATAGCCGTTTGCATAAAGTTATTATAATTCCAGTACTCCGTCAACTGGATGCCTATTATTAGGCCCACTACCAGACCCAGTGCATCGCGAATCATTGGAGGAGTGCCATTAAACTGACTTCGAAAGAGAGCTTTGAAAGCTCTTGAGATGCGAGGAAAATTAATTTTCCGGTTCTTAATATAAACGAAAGAGAGGAAAAGGTTAAAAAATATTTTAGAGTGGTCCAGATTGTATTTTCAACAAATTATTAAAATATTTTACTGATGCATTTAGTAAGTAATTCTTAGTAATAGGAATATTACTGAACATAAAGATACAAAATATATTAGTATTTAATTTTTTAATTCTAACCATTTATTGTTTATAAGTTGTTGCGTATTCACGGGTTTATTGACTGGATTATCTGTAGTTATCACTTGTTGTCGGTGACTTGCTGGGCCCAATGTTGCAGTCTTTCGTTCATCTGATGGAAACCCAAACGCGATGGCAGAGCTCTTTGCACCCTGTGCACTCCAAAGACTCTCAAATGGTACAGAAAGAATTCGAAAAACTCAAACTCGATGTCTTTGACATAGTGAAAGGATATGGCCGAAGGAGAGCAGCAGTCGCTTCTCTAAAAAGAGAAATACTTTAATAACAATATAGGAACATAAATACTGAAAAGGAAATCTCACATTTGGTTTGTGAAAGAAGTAAGTATCCGTCCATGAACCGAAGTCAATGAAAGGGATCACTTTATACGGACTGATGGGCAGAAAGCGATGGTGTCCTTGGAAGTCCCGCGTATCGCCCGCTATAACACCCACGTCCTGAAGGCAATGGCCGATCTGAAGGTCCTCGGAATCTGAGCGATTTCAATGATGCATTTTTGAATATATCGAATGGTATTTTTGGTTTATTACCCCCGTTCAATTTGCAGGTGGTGGTGCTGTTCAAGGCGAACAAATTGAGACGACGCAGGGCATCCCTGCTGAGCACATAGCCACCGCCACCGGACATGTAGCCGTGGGAAAACCAGGCTTTAAAGCGACAGCCAAAGTACACAGACGACTCAGGATCGTAGGGATACAGAAACAGACGCAGATTTTCCATCACAATGTAACTGCAAGGGTATAATCATTACATATCATTTTATAAAATCGTAATCAATCCACTTACGTGTCATCATCGGCCTTCAGGAACCAGTCGTACTCATTTAAGTAATGCTTGTGCACATGGGCCATTCCCATGCGAACTTTGGCGTATAAATTCTTGCGCGATTCGGATATGTTCATCTTGAGAATATTCAGATGCGGATCTGTTTCGGTGCTCATGAAGATCAGCTTATTGCAGCGCGCTCCCCATGTGCGATTCACCCGAGCAGCCTTTGTGCTGTGCGAAGAAGGCATGGTGAGCACCAGGCAGAGAATTCGCACTTCCCTTTTAAGCCAGATGGCCAGGTGCTCCTCCGTGGCCACTGGATACTTCAGCAGCGCCGCCTTTTCACTCGAACGCAAGTCCGTATCTCTCCACAGTTTCAGGTAGCCTATAATATCCGTGAGTCGAACGCCCAACATGATGCCTAATACTAAGAAGAGAGTATTCCGAACCATTACCAGGATCATTGTAAACTGAGATAGCTTTAATATCTAAATGGGGAGATCCCATGCTGTATCTGATTGGCGAACCGAATTAATTATAATCATATTAGAGAGTCCATGACTGTTTCCTAGCAATAAATCATATTTTTTTATAGAAGTTTACTCTGCATATATTTTTATTTTACTTAAAACTGCTCTCTTTAAAATTAACCATACCTTTCGTTAATTGGTTAACAATTAATAGTTATTTATCAACAAAAAAAATGTTTAAAAAGCAACAAGCTAGTAATGAAAAATGAAATCAAAAATGGCAATGAGATGATAAATAAAATAAGTCTCTAGAAGATTGATAGCGGAAGCGATAAATGTAAAATAAAATAATATTTTATAATATTATATAATATAACTAATATTTCGTATGATATTCTAAAACTATTTCTATACGTCTAAGCATACGTCTATAATGAGTCTTAAATATCTCCTAATGATATAAAGGAATCTATTAATTTTGATTTAGCCAGGCGTTGGGATTAGTGCTGTTTTGTTGTGACCAGTGATAAAGCTGGTTCTGCAGTTGTTTGGAATCCAATCTGGGTGGCAGCGATCTCTGTGATAAAGGAGTTCCAAATACGTGTAGTCGATAGAGCAGAAACTCATACATCTCGAACTCGTGATTCTTGACATAGTGAAAGCTAATCCCCGAGGTCGAACCAGTTTCATTAGTCTGAAAAGAATATAAATATTAATATAGTACATATAAATCTTTAATCTCTTTTACTTACTGGCTCGTAAAAGGTCAGTTTGATTAGCCAGTTTTCGGTGGGAAATCTGGGCAGCATAGCTTTGAGGGACAAGGGCAGAAATCGCTCCCGACCTTCCTCATCTCGCGAGTCTCCAGCCACTACGCCCACATTCTGCAGACAGAAGCCTAACTGTCTGTCCTCTGACTGGTTGTTCAGCGGGCAGAATTGGGTATTATTAAAGGCAAAGAGATTCAAACGACGCAGTGCATCCCGACTCATCACGTAGCCAGCTCCTCCGGACATGTAGCCCTGTGGGTAGGTAGTCCGGAATCGGTGGCCAAAGTAGAGAGCTGCCTCGGGATCATACGGATAGAGCATGAAGCGCAGATTTTCCATTATCACAAAGCTGTAAAAGAAAGGAATTGAATAAAATATATTTATAATTTTAAAATATACTCAATAACACTGACGTATCATCGTCTGCCTTGAAGAACCAGTCGTAATCTTCTGCATAATTCTGATACACATACTCCAGGGCCTTCCTCATCTTGGGGTACAGATTATTCCGATCTTCGGGCACACCCACATCGATGGCGCCCAGTTCCCGATCCTCCTGACTGCTGATGAAGACCAGCTTATTGCAGCGCTTGCCCCACGTCTCCTTTATCCTTCTGACCCTCGTTGGGTGATTCTTCGGCATAGTCAGCACCATGCAGAGCACGCGTGTCTCGTTGTGTAGCCAGCGGGCCAGCTCCTCCTCCGTCGGCAGCTGGGGCGTGGCCTCATCCTCGAGCTGAGTTATCGATGTGCTGCTCAAATGCGTTTCGGTGAGCTGCAAGTACTCGAAGAAATCCGTCAGCCGAATGCCGATGATGAGGCCCAGTGCCAGGCAGAGCACATTGCGATACATGGCAAGACAGCAACTAACCAGCACCAGCTGGCATTTGGCGATTCTCTGGAGTGGAGCAGCTCTTACAAATTGAGCCGGGGGCACAGCGAATGCATTTCGCGGTGTCGCTCATCGCCGCCAGCTGATCGACTACTGCTCGATGGGCTCACTTCGCAAACAGCTTAAAGAGTCTCCTCCAACAGAGAAAGAAATTGGTAATTAAAGTCACTGGAAAAAATAAAAATTTTGATTTAATAAAAATACCACATTCAAATAATTAAAAATTTATTAAAGAATTTAAAAAAATTATAAAAACCACTAGATAAAAATTTGTTATTCTATAAAAATAAATTAAATTAAAATTATAATTAAAGTTAACATTAAGACCTAATATAAATAAATACAATGGAATACTTAAAATAAATAATTATACTTTGTTATTGTAGTATTTAATAAAATACAATTTTTAAAATGGAAAATACTTTAGAGGTAAATAAAAATATTTTATAAAATATTATTTTAGTAAAATAAATCTAAAAGATTTTAGTGAACAAAATATAAGATTTTATCTTCAGCAAAATCATCACATTTGGAAGTCTATCAAAACCATTAATCATTTAATTTATTGTATTTTATATTTAGCTTCCTACAAAGTCAGATTTTAAATTGATCAGAGAACCATTAACCATTATCAAAATGAGCTCTTAAAATATTAAAATACATACGGAACAAATTTGCTCAAGGCTTTATGAAGCTAAAAAATTAATCAAGAAAAATAATCCATTACCTAGGAATTCTTTAAAGTGCACTTCTCTTCGCCCGGCTGAAACAAGTTTTCGAGTTTGGCTTGTGATTGGCATTTGTAATGAGTCACACGTGGTGCGTTCGTCTTCGCTCTCGGGTCGTCCGTTGAATATTTCAGCAAATCGTTCAAAAAGTCAACAATAGGAAATCAAAACAACACTTACGTAGGTCCAAAACCGATGACAATCATCCACTGACTAGCCGCCGAATGGTTTCCCTTTCCCTTTTCTTGAACGAAGATTATCCAGAGCATCGCATCTCCATCTATTTTTGGGGACAACCGGTTTTTGGAGCCTCCTCTTGACCCACTCTGGTACAAATTAGCGCCTCTCGCCCACTGTAATCCAATTGAATCCAAATCCATCGATCCAAACCGATCCGCTTTGCTTTTGTGGCAATGAAATCACTCGTTTTATTTTATTGCTAGATAATGTTTCATTTCATTTCGCTTGTTTATGTTTTAGCTTTCCATGGTACAATATTATCCGTTTGTTATATTTACTTAGTACAACTGAATTCGTTTTAATTTGTAGATTTACTTTAGCATGGTTTCTTTAGACTAAATGTGGACTAATTATTTCGCTTCAGTTTGTGTGTGTTGTTTGTTAATCATTTCGCATTGTTAAACATCTAGTGTCTTGTTATATTCTTTTTCGCTTTTTTGGCCATTGCATTTCGAATCCATGCCATCTCAACCGTGGCCTTAGAAAACTTGGTTACAAAACGTTGTTTAATATTAGTTTGTCTGCTGGCTAAACGTATTTATAGAGCTGCTCTATTATTCCGATTTCCCATTTCCACCCCGATTACACGCTAATCCTCGTTATACGTTTAGTAAGTGCACTTGCCAATTTCTGTTTATCGGAGGAGCCTCTGCCTCTGGCCAGAGGCCTCAAAAAGTAGGGGAACGGGTGGCGAAATAAACAAAAATTGTCCGGCAAACTGAGTTACAACAATCGGGGGCTAATAATGATCCCTCTCCCATCGCCTGGCCATACGCAAAAATGTGTTAGTACTTATTTTTAGTTAGTTACACAGCCTTAGAAACTACTTAGAAACTAAAACATACATAAATCGGGGGACAACAAAATGTCAAAAGGATACAAAAATTATCAAAAGATACAGAGAAAAATCGTGTGTTTGGTTATACAAAAAATAGGACATAGGAACAGTGCGTTTTAAGACCATTTCAGGCAGTTAGAGGCTTACAAAAAATAAAAGTTACATGGTTACATACACAATTACATATGAAATAAATTCAGTTTCAGTTTTCGATTCCGTTGTTTTCTAAATAGCTTTAAAACACACTCTTCGGTTTGGACAATAACAATAAGTGCTGGTATGTAATTGGTAAATTAGTTTTAAAATAAGAATAAACAATTCTTTTTTGGAGTATTCCATAAATTATATAACAATAATGACAGAAAAAAATAATATTTGCATATAAGCGATAATGTTACAATTTACGTCTTTAGTTGTATTGTTAATCCTACATGTTGTTTCCTTCGTTTATGTTTGACATTCTAATTTCGCTTGCAAAAATATATGTTAATGGTAATTCAACTTGTTTCAATCTTTTCATTCTTCTTTGCTTTGCTTTGCTTGGTTTTTGTATAAATTGGATTTATAAATTTATATGTATTGTATGTTTGTTTGTTTTCAGTTTAATTGTTTACTGTTTATGATTTTAGCTTGGCTTTAAACTACATTATATCAGTATTAATATTATTGTTTTTCAATATTCCTTTGCTTCAACATTTCGTTACGTTTTGTGGTTGTATCAAGTATTATATATATTTTTTTTTTGCTTTTTTCGTATAGTTTTAGGAACCTATTTGTAACTAGCAAAACGCAGACGCGTACAAGTTTCTATAAAAATGTTTTCCTATAATTTGGCTTACAATTAGTTCATATTTGTATAACATCAAAATATATATATGTGTGTCCTATTCATAATATATACGTCATATATGTCAATGCATTCCTCTAGTATACGATTAGCTTAAGAATATTTCCAGATTTTTCGGCCTGTCCCCTCACCACTGAAGTCCTGGTACTCAAGTGGACTGCAGGATAGCAATCCATTTGAGAACGAGTACTTTTGCTGTGGGTTCAGCACGCATATCAATGATCAATGGGGATTTCTAAAATTTTCAAACTCATAAAAGTCAAAGCACGGCTGGCTAAAAGTATGCAATGAATTTTGTTTTCTTTTTCTAGAGTCGGAAAAGTTTAGTCCCCAAATAGATGATTAGATAAGTTATTCTTAGTTAATTAATCGTATATATATATTCCTTTCTTGTTTAGCCGCTGACTATACAAAGCATTGACAAGTTATTAGCTTTCCTTATACAAATTCCTTCTTTTCTTTTTTTTTTTTGCAAATTTTTAGATGTTTTAACATTGGCACGATATCTATAAATAATATATATGCGTTTTTATATAGCTTAAGAAAATATATATGGGTGTATATGTTTGTTAGATAGCTATCAACTAGTATGATTGATTAGTTTTAGTTCTGACCCGATTACACATAATTATTTTTCCCTTTCAAATCAATCGCTTCGCTTCGTTACGATCCCAACACAATTCTCTAACATGATGTACAAACTAAATGCTCTAGGCCTAGGAAAAAGGTAAGTTATGAAGAACTCGAATATCATGAAGGCAAACAACGAATCCAAAAAAGTTTCACTAACTATGAATAACAAGTTCCGTATATATATGCATAATATGAATCTGCCTGCCTAGCTGATTGCGTGTAAAACTAAACAACATATAAAATAAATTACAAAATGAACGCGCTTTAAACTTAATTAGCTGCTTATAAAACATGTACGAAATAATGCAATGCACACTGGTGGTCCGAAGTAATAGCCCTAAGGATTTTATTCTTTATTTTATTTAACATATTGTCGGTTGATCGACCTGAGCAAAAAATAGCTTATTAAAGGAAGATTCTACCTGATTTTTTGGTCTTCGAGACCTTAATTCAAAGTAACTCAATTTGGCTTGTAGATTTTGTTGAGATTTTTGCGGCTATTACTGTGACCACCACTGCCTGTATTTATCTACTCTTTGTGTCGAAGAGACCTTGGTTCTAAATGTAATGTATATTTCTTTAAAGCATATTCAAAGCATTCGATATATTGTTGCTGGGTTGTTGGTTTGTTTAAATGCATGCTGCATGATCATCAACTACAATATATGGTTATTTGTGTATATTTACAGCTCTAAGCGTTTGTCATAACATATCGAGAAGAGGAGGCATTCCTAACACTCACTACGAGAGCTTTTTGTGCCACAGATATATAAATGGGGGGGATTTTGTAGATTTAGCACTAGGTTATATGATAATTTACTCGCTGTTTAGTTTACAGAGCCCCTTCTTCCACTCTTTGTACAATGTTTTTTCGTTCCAACGAGTTTGTTTGTTTGTTTGTTGCTGCTTATGCTTCTGCTCGATCTTAATTCTAGGCTAGCTTAGAGCTAATTTACTTTCTCACACAATCGCACTGCTTTTCTAACACACGGACATGCGCTTTGGACTTTGGGCTTAAATATATACCGCTCGAATATATCTAATTGTTAATTTGTATATGTATGTTGCATATAAAACCAAACTCGCACTCTCGCACTTTCGCTCACACGCACGTATATATCGCTAACACTTAAAGATCTGATCTATTTTTACAAGCGCCTCCTGCTTCACTTGTTGCTGTCCCCGGCATTCGATGACGAGGAGCTGCTGCCCACCACTGCTCCTCCTCCATTGGCGGTCTGCTGCTGGGATTGCTGCTGCTGCTGCTGCGGTGGCAAGGTGTCCGAGCGGCGGTAGTAGAGAAGGTAAGGCACCCGTGGGGTGTGCGGCTGGAGGACGTGCTTCTCGCTGACCGGCTTCACCGAGCTATCGTCGTAGCGCAGCCAGCTGCTGTAGCCCGAGTGGAAAACGTCCGTGATGTAATGGCCCTTGGAGGCCTCCTTGCCATCGTGATAAACCACAGCAAACAGGCGATAGGCGCGCTGCTTCTGCGACGTCTTCTTCGAGCCGAGGATTTCTGTAGCAAAAATACAAAATTTATTAATAGATATACTATTTAAAGTAATTTATAGAAACATACTGGCATCGATCTTCAGTTCCACGGGGAACTCCACCTTCTTCAAGATCTTTGTGCAGCCATCTGAGCGGTAGTCAAAGTACTTTAAATGCAATATCAGGACGACGGGCAGTTTTTCCAGCGTCATCTGCTGCCAGGCCACCACCTCCTGTTTGGTCTTGCTGCCGGTGACGCCCTCCAGCTGATCGCGACCCACCAGGATCTCTAGAGCTTCCTTCACAGAGGCAGCTTTCTGTAAGGAAAAAATTATTTAAATAATTATATTAATTGAATTAATATTTAATAATATTTATAATTGTTTGTGCCCACTTTTAAAGAGAAAATCTATGAAATAAAATATTCTCTAGTACAAAACGGAGCACGTGCATCAGCCACAACGACTGGTGACTGTCGCCAGAACGGGGACAATCGCCAAATGTGGGCGAGGCCAATGGCATTTCATCTTCCACGAACGTAACACAGACGCCGGCTGGCTAATGGTGCCGAAGTGTCTGTTGACTTGTCTGTGGTTGTGCTTTGAGTGATTTAATGCCCATAAACAAGATGACGAAGGCAAAAGTAGCTGTTTAGTATTAACAGTCTTAAGAGAACTCAAAAATATGAAACTTTATATAGGTAAAATCACTTCCTTTTAAAAACTAGTTATTTAATTTCCCGAATCACTCACTTCGATGTTCAATTGAAGGGTAAAGAAGGGCTGAATCACATCCGTGGAGTGTTCTCCCTCGCGTTGCAGTCGGGAACGCAGTTCTCCCCGGAAGATATCGCTGACGGGAGTGCGTCCAAAGTCAGTTTGGCGGGTGACACTGCCCTTGTTGCGATTGTTGCAAATCATCTGGGTGGGGAAAACAAGCAATTAACGGAAATTGCATCATGCTTTTAGTAAGCAACTAACTCACCTGCCAGACATCACCGCCATCCTCTGGCTCCGCCGGCTCCTGGCCATTTTGCTGCGGTGTGGGTTTGTCAATCAGTTTAATGACCTGTAACAAATGTAGAAACCAAAAATGAGTAACCATTTAATTTTATTATTTATAAGTACTCACCTCCAGCATCTCATCATTCAGCTTATTAAGCACATAGCCCAGGAATTCCTCGGCATCTTCCTGGCGACCTTCCACATGCTCCTCGCGACTGTCGTTCCACAGCTTGTAGATCTCTGTGGGCTCAAAGGCCATGTCGCACTGCAAATCGGAGCCAACAAACTCATCCTTGCCCTTGCTTTGGGAACCCTTGTTCAGGTTGTTCAGACGCAGGCGTAGACCGCTGGGCAGCGATGAAAAGTTGGTCATAAAGGACATCCTAAAGGGAGGAATAATATAGATTTAATATTAGAATATATATATTAATCCATTAGGTAGTAAAAATAGAGATATAAAAGGGATTTCTATATTTTATAGGTAGTAAAAACAGGTATTTAGAATTACAATATGAAATTTGGCTTAAGAATAAAGAACTAATAGGGATTTCTATATTTTATGGGTAGTAAAAACGGTCTTAAAATATAATATGAAATTTTGCTTAAGAATAAAGATCTAATGGGAATTTTTTTTATTTTATAGGTAGTAAAGTAAAAGTAAAAATAGGGGATTTAAAATTATAACTGGAAATGTTGCTCAATAATAACATGGTAAAAACTAACAATTTTAAGAAAAAATGTTTGTGCCCGCTTTGGCATGGAAAATACATGGAAAAGCAATCCCTTTGCTTAAAAACGGAGCACGTGCACCAGCTCCAACGCTCAGCAATCACCTCCAAAACGAAGGAAACCAAAGAACGTAGACGGAGCTGGTGGCATTTAATCTTCCACGAACGTAACACAGACGCCGGCTGGCATTTAAGGCCGAAGAGCCTGTTGACTTGCCTGTGGGGCTTTTTATAATTAAATAATCCTAGCATTCCCAACTTACATGGCGTTCACTGTGGGCGTTTTCACCTCACTCAGGACAGCCGCCTGCTTGGGAATGGAGCGCAGCAGGTTGTAGAAGGGCGAGCAGCCGAGCAGCGCCTGCAGGATCGAGTTGATGTAGCAGTAGTTGGACCGGTTGGTCAATCCCCGTGGACGCAGACTGATGGCCGCCAAGTTGGTCTTGTGGCGGGTAAGATACTCGGCGTACCTGTTGGTCCACTCATCCAGTTGCTGCTGCACAGGACGCACTGGCTCTGGTTTTAGTGGTTTAATGGAGGCAGAGGCTGGACTGGCTGGCACCGCTTGAGCAGATGCAGCGGAATAAGAGAGCGCTCCTGGGGTAATTAAGGGAACAGAGGGAGCCAGGCACAGGAGCTGGCAACTGCGATTGCTGGTGAGCCGTGGGCAGGGGTATGTTTTGTGTGGTCGCCACCACCTGCTGAACAATCGCAGGAGGAGCTGCAGCTACAGAAGGCTGTGGGAGGAGCCAATTGCATCACTGGATGGGGTATCGGTTGTTGCTGAGGCTTACTAGCCTCATAGGGCGCCACCTTGGCCACAGGCTTGTTGCTGGCAAACAGACTGGCCCACGAAAGCTGCGCACTGTCGCTGCTGCTCTGCGAAGCTGGTGGCGCCGGTGGGGCAAGATTCAGTTGCGGTTGCGCGCTGGCCGTTGATGAACTGGAGGCCACCACGGAGCTTAAAACCACTGGCTCATAGCTCTGGTGCTTCTTAGCAGCATAGTTGCTATACGATTTGGTTGTTGCTGCTGCTGCTGCTGGTAGTGTTGCTATTGCAGCAGGCTGTTGCTGTTGCGGTTGCTGTTGCACCACTGTTGCTGCTGCAGTCTCCTGTTGGAATTGATTTGGGGTAGCCGTAATGCTGGCCGTTGAGGTAGTTGCTGTTGTAATGGCCACAGGAGTTGCTAATGTTGCTGTTGCTGCAGGTGTTGCTGCTGCCTGTTGGCTGTTTTTACGCTCCAACGTGGGTGCTGTGCTGGCCACCGGCGATGAGGGCACCTTCATTGTCCCATAGTTGCGCACCTGCGGCTGCTGATTTGTTGCTGTTGCTGCTGCTCGAGCTGCTGCTGTTGTTGCTGCTGCTGTTGCTGCCGTTATAGTTGTTGCTCTGATAGTGTTGCTGCTGCTGCTGGTAGTGCTGCTGGTTGGTAAACGTCTTTGTGGTGTGACTGTAGTTCGGTTTTCCAGCAACATTCACTCCCACCGCTCCATTGTTCACATTATTGGGCGAAGCGGTGACCGAAACCGATTGCGTGGACTTTTTGTGCTGAGCTGAATTGGTCCAGGACATGGTCTTGGTGGTCTGGATGCCCGTATCGCTGCTGCCGTGCTGATGGTGATGGTGATTGTACTCCGAGGAGTACTTGCGACGCACCTGTTGCTGCTGCGATTGATTGTATTGCTGCGATGGCTTGCGCTGTGGCTGCGGTTGTTGTTGTTGCTGCTGCTGTTGTTGTGGCAAATGATGCTGATCATGGTAGCTAGACTGTTGCTGCTGTTGCTGCGGCGGCACCACCACCGGCGATGTTTGTTGTTGCTGATGTTGCTGCGGTGCTGGTTGATGCTGCTGCTGTTGCAGCTGAGGTGCCACTGTTGCAACTACAAGGTTTGGCACTTTTGTTGGCGGTTTTTCAATTTGCAGCGGCGCTAATGGCTGATGTTGCAGCTGCTGCTGTTGCTGTTGTAGCAGCAATTCCTGCTGTTGCTGCTGCTGTAGCTGTTGTTGTTGCTGCTGCTGCTGCAGTTGCTCCTGCTGTTGCTGCTGCTGATGGAACTCCAATTCAATTTGCTGCTGCTTCTCGTTGGCCAACTTTTCATCCAAGGCCACCACCACCACTTCGTTGTTGTTGTTGGTCGTCAAACTCTTGTCAACTGGAAAAGGCAAAGAAAAAGGCAAATTACAATCAATAAAAGCTTTTACTTTGACCTCAAAATGCGAATTTCCCAGCAGCAGCCTAGTTGCTTTTGAAATATGAGAAGAAATTCAATTGCTGCATACAAACTAATTTACAAAATCAACATAATTGATGCCAATTGATGATAAATGCTAATAACTTCAACGAGCAGCGAGAAGGAATGTCACATTTCGAAAAATAAGAGAATTTTTGGAAGCCACAGGCAATTAAGGCTTAATTAAGCCCTTAATTGATTTGTTATTATGAGTGAAGAACTGGAAAATTTAACCAACAATATGCAGATAATTTGTATACATATTTAATATAAAATTGTAAATGCCATTTCGTTGTGCTTATTAATACCTATCGAAATGTAGAAACAAATTTTAAAATTGGACCATTCACAAAGCAGTTATGAGCAAAACAAATAATAAAATTCAAGCAGTGCAAGCAGTTTATTTATTGCTTGCTTAATAACGTGTATCTGATAGTCGAGGAACTCGACAACAGCGTTCTTTCTTCTTTCATATGGGTTATACACATATAGATGGTCCAATAACTGCCGAAAGGCATTGTTCTCTGCTTTATTTGTACTGATACTGATAAAGCCGACCATCGATTGCAGCTATCAGTGCAAATAGAAAACATAACTAATCCATGTCAAACTCAAGTAGGGAAAAAACAACACGAGAGTGAAGTAGAGCGGTGAGTATAGAGCCCATTTACGGGGCAAATTGTTATTAAATCACTAGCCGATTGGCCTGTTGCTAGGTGTTTGAACTTCGCACTCGACCCTGATATGGGGCAAAAGATAAACGGCCGTCCGATTCGATTAAGGGCCACACACAAAGTAAAGCCGGAAAAAGGTTAACCCAACAAAAGAAAATGGGAATGGGAATGGGAGTCAACATCCATGTGATCATCTCACTTCCAATCCCACCATCCCAGATTAAATTCAAACAGATCGCTCCCTAAACTAAACAAAGAGGATGGGAAACGGGCCAATCTGGGACGGGATTAATATGGAAATTGCCACGAGAAATGTTTACTTATGATATTAAGATCTCCGATTCGATTCAGTTACAAAATAATTAAAGTAAAATAATAATATTTATTTTTAGTCTATATGCATACTTTATTATTTTGAAAGAGAATCAGATATCTTAATATCATGTCACAACACAATTGTAATAATTACAATATAAAATTATAAAATACTTAATAATATAGTGTGGTAATATAATATAAATAATACCTATGTATTGCGAAATTAATAAAATTATCCTTAAAAAAAATTAATTTCCTTTAAACAATCTTATGTAAAAGTACAACATATATTAAATATTTTCACCACTAATATAAACGTAGAGAATTTCTACTTTTAATTTTAATCAAACATTAAACAATAATCCTTGTAATCCTTTGAGTGTTTAAATTCCATTAATATCCTACATACCTTCTCCTGCTTTCCTTCGCAACTTCAAATTATTTTCAGGAATTTCTTAAAAAACTAGTAATTTATTCCCCAATCAAATATCTCAGCCTCATAAGACAACTTTCCCAGGGCAGCCTGTACTAGTTGTTATCATAATTATTTATATCCATCTATTGGTCATTTTAAACGTGCTAAAACTGGATTGATTAAATTCCCTCACAGGGGTTTGAAATTAGCGAACGGGCTCTAACTAAGTGCTCTTCAATTCGGAATTTGGCAATTGGTTGGCGGTGTTAAACGCCCATTTATTGGATATATCACATATGATACATATCCACCCCATCATCATCATATGACAATGAGACGACTCCCGCACTCCCCCTCCTGTGGAATTTGAATTTCGAGTGCGCTAATTAATTTCAATTAGCGACTAACAAGCCGAGAGAACTAAATGTGTGCGGCTGTGTTATTCAATAAATATAAATATAGGTGAAATCGAGCGAATCGAGTGCAAATATTGTATGGAATATGGAAATGTGTGGAGCGGCAGCTGAGATTAATGCATTAAAAGTAGTGGCAAATATTATATAGGGGAAAATCTGTGCCAGGGTGTCGGTTTGAGTTGAGTTTGGGTGCAATAACAACAGCTTTTCGAACGTGTTGCCATAACGATTTAATAGAGAGGGACGCACTGAGTGGGGATAGTGCGAGAGAGAGCGATAGATGGATCGGCACTGTCACAAGGTTGGATGGATAATTACAGACATGAGTGCACAGGTAAATTGCAATAAGCTGACTGCAGCAGCAGCAACAAATGCAACAAAAGCAAACAAGGAAATTGTCAGGCACGAAACAACAATATAATACGCAAACGCAACGAGACTGTACTTAATTTCCATTTGTTATTCCATGTCCCATGTGATAAATGAAAAATCAACGGGGTTGCGAGGGGTTTGCAACAATGTCAATCCATTAGAATACTTCTGTATTCCCCCCTCATTCACTTTCAAACAAAAAAGATAGAACAGAAAACCAACTCGTCTTGAAAATTCCACTTTCAGTTTCATTTGTACAACGCTTCATTAATTCAAATGAATTTGTTTTCCATATAGTCTAAGTCCAAATTAAATGAGATTTTTTAATTGTTTTCCCTTTCTTAAATTGGAAACGTAAACATCCAATGAAAATGGGTCAACTTTTGGTTCATTCACTGGCATTCCGAACGAAAGCCTCCCCCTTTTCCAATATTCATTTGCTGCTGTTATTGAACGCGCGATTTTATTCAATTTTTTATTAGCTAGCAACAGAAATCGGTAGATGGGAAGGGGGGAAGGGGTCGTCTGAGACCCGGTCTATGAGTAATTTACGCTTATTGAGCTTCGATTCGATCCAAAAGAGAGAACTAGAAATTGTAAACACGATATGGGCGCCTTTTAATTGAGAGAATCTACAATCTACAACAAACTAAACACAGAAAACAGAAACATTCCCGCTTCTATGTTCTATGACATCAAATATTGTAAAAGCAGACCACAAATAAATTATCAAAATATAAATACGATGTGATAAATAATAAAAAAAAGTGTTTAGTTTTGGTATTTTGAAATTTTAAATTTTTTGAAAAAAAAAAAACCCATAGGATAAAAATTTTAAAAAATTTTTTTTTTTGAATATTACCTTCCTTTTGGGGATTTTATTTTTAAATATTTTGAATTTCATTAATTATTTAAAAATGCTATATCATTACGGCTTTAGGAACGATTTCTATTTTTATTCTCACTTAACAGAAGCTTAATATATTCTTTGATATTAGCACTCAACAAGAAATACAACATATTCCAGTTTCTTAAGGTCTTCTTTCTACAAAAATATTACCACAAAAAAAAAATACTACAAAGATTGAAATAAATAAACACTCTGCAACAACAATAATAATAATCACTTTCATAATGTAATTCTATGCCTACATTCCCCTTCCATAGGAAATTATTCATTTTGTTGATTAGTTGCCTTAATCAGTTCCCTGAGTCACAAAACAAAAATATAAAAGCAAACCAAAGTGCGAGGCGGCTGGAGTTTATTTTGGAGAACAAAGAAAAAGAATAAAGAATACTGCAATATATGCATTTATGACACGAATAGATAGCATGAAATTGTCTTTCTTGTACTTTAATTATACAAACTTTGCACTTCTTGAACGAGTGTTTGTTTTATATAAGCAGCAAAATATGTTTATATTTTATTTTCTTAATTTACAATCATTTTGAGCCAGCTAAATTAAGCAAGCAGTAAATCGACTGCTTGCACTGCTTGCATTCCACTATTTGCTTTGCTCATAACTTCTTAATGAATGGTCCGATTTTAAAATTTTCTTCTACATTTCGATAGGTATTAATAAACACAACAAAATGGCATTTACGATTTTACAAAATCTGTATAGATGTGTGCACAAGGTTTTTTTAATGAACCATATTAATTTTCTTCTTTTATCACACTGTTTTCTTTCAGTGCCTTGAAAGCGAAAGCATGTTAAAGAAAAATAAGAAGCAGGCTCGCAAAGAACAGGAGACTTTTTCATTTTGCAGCCCACGAGGCGTATGCGTAATGTGAGTCACACCCATTCCCCGGGCTTCAATATTGATTGAACTGACCCGTATGCGATTTAACGAGTGGTCTTCCCATCATGAAACTTGTTCCCGGCACTTTAACGGCCGCTTTAGCTTCAGTTGCCCCATTGAAATTGATAAGTAATCTGCTCAAGCGTTGGATCATTTAAGGGGGTAAACAATTATATAGGGGATACAAAACAATGTAGAAAACAAAGAAGAATGAGCACAGTTTCAATCGCCTGGCAACAGGGCCAAAAACGAATTGTAGCAGACAATTCAATTGAATTCATTTGTGTCAATTTACAATAAATAATTCTAAGAGAAGAGGGGAGGGGGAAAAGCTAAGAACAATAAGTGAAATTGAGTGCGAACGAAAATTGCATAATTCTATGAGCCACGCGACCTTCGCCGCAGAAGAAAAACAAACAAACTATAAAGTTTTTCGGCGCGGATAGAGGTTTAGGAGTTGAGTTCTGTTGAGTTGAGGGGTTCCGCCACCTTATCGCCGAATTATTTACGAGTGGGCGACTGTGTTGACGGTTTATATTTCGAAGTGGCTTTAAAGCATCTACTGATAAACATCAATGGGGCCATGAAAAAGCCCAAAGAAGTGATGTTAAGGTGAACTGACAGACGAGGAATCCAAGGACACGCGCTGAAATGTATCCTTTTCACCCACACACGCCCATCCATCTGCCGCCTACATTAACATATAAATGCGTGTAACAGATTAAAAAGGACAAGAGAGCTCGCTTCAATGGACCCCGTACATACAGTCCAACTTGTTTAAATCGGAGGAGTATTGAGATTGAATTCTTAGGGTAATTTAAAATATATATACAGACTTTAAAGTTGCCACAAAATATTTTGTATGTAAAGGTTTTACAAGAAAAATTTGTTAAAAAATTTAAAAAAAAAAAAAAAAAATATCAATTAAATCATTTTAAAAACATTTTTACAAAAATCTGAATTTAAAGTAGGGGTCAGTATTTTATTTAATAAATTAAATAATTTATCAATTCACATAACAAATAAATTTAAAATTTAAGCACATTTTATTATTTTTTAATAATTTGATTCAATAGATATTTTCTTATAAAAAAACGACGAATTTTAAAATATTTTATAGAAAGGTTTATCGTCGTAAGTATAAATATACCTTAATTTTTTTGTAAAATAATACACCCCAAAGATCTCAAAACAAAATGTAATATGATACAAACAATTTCGTTCATAACCTTTCCTATTGAAATTAAAGCATTAAATCAATAAAACAAATTCAATATTTTAAATTTTTTTAAGTCAAATGCCTTTTCATATCAATTTGAATTATCTCCCGTCCAAGTTCGACTGTAGCTTCCAGATAGGCGATGTATCTGACAGATACAGAGGCCAGGCTCATCGGAAAAAGCAGGCGCTGCATACCAAGCAACGCAACAAGTTGAACGGGCATAAAAAAGCAGCAAGGTAAAACAGTCGCAGCAGCGACACAAACTGAACTGCGTCATTTTGAAAACACAATATTCTACAAGCTGTATTTTTGTTGTTATATTCGTTGTATCTGTCGCCGTGTATCTGTATCTGAGTATCTGAATCGGAGCAATGGCAATGGCAAGGAAAGCGTTGTCAGCGTAAAAAAAAACATAAACGCTTAGCGGCCAAACAAAGCGAGAAAAGCATTGACTGCACAACACGGCGTATGCGCAATTTTCATTTTCATTAACAAAGAAGGCAGGGAAGATCTAGGAATAAAGGGGGTGGGATATCAAAAGGGGGTGCACTTAATGGGGTGCTGCAAAGAAGGAGGTGGGGTTGCAATAATTGAAGAGTCATCGCTGGTTCATTCAACCTTTCACAGCAACGAGGAAATAAAGAAAGAAAGAAAGCTCTTGGCCAGCTGGAGGAAATCTTTTTATCTTCTTGCCTCTGTGCAAAGCTCTTTTCTCTCAGCAAAGAAAACGAGAAAAAAGATGAATAGTTCAAGGATAGTTTATTCATTACTCAAAGTGAGCAACTGTGACAGAGAAACAAATTGGTATCCGGTTACACAAGTTTGAAATATTACAATTAAAATTGTTAAGTCTTAAAAACGTTTAATTAAATTGTAGCATTTTTTAAACTTTACTAAAAATTTGTTTCAAAAAATTATAAAACAATAAACTCTGTTTATAACCAGTTTCTTGTATTTTTATGGTGAAGTAAAGGTTGGTTTAAAACTAAGAAAAATGGAATGTAAGGTATTTAGGATGTAATAACACTCTGAAAAGTGTCATAAGGCCCGTGGGTCTTTTAAGAGTGTCATAACGCCGTGTCATGAGCAGCAACCTATTATTTTCTTAATTTTACCTCCAAAAATAAATTCAAAAATTAAGCTTTTCTTAATTTTTCCCCAGTGCATTGCCCTATTGCACCCACATTTCACTCGGTTGCATTTGATTTTTGGCACAGAATGCCGTCCGAATTCTGTTTTAAATGGGGCAGCTAATTTCACAAAGACACCTGGTGAAAAGCGCCCACTAATCCACCCATTCACGTTTAACCCCCTGAAAATGGAAAAACTTTATACCACGTGTCGGGATGTCGGGATATCGGGTGTCCTTATACCAACACCAACCTCCTCATTTTCCCAAAGTGGAGAAGTCCCCCCATGCATTTTGCATTTTCCGCTCGATGCATTTTTAATGAAAACTCAACCACACGCATTGCGGTATAACAGTTTTGCTGCGATGATTACCGCTATTTTCGTAGTTCGGATTATATTTCATTTATAGGGTTAAGTTTAGTTAAGTGTAATTTGCAGGCGAAACACAGATTGTTGGTCAAGATTGGAGGCGTTGGCCATTTGAGCACCAACGTAATGCTTTAATAACAGAGCAAACAAATCGAGTTAGGAAAACGGAACACAAAAAAACAGAAAAAAAAGAAAGCCAAACAGTAGGAAGAGCCAAAGTGGCGCCCTCTAGCGTTGACCCACAATATCGGAGGGGTTTCTTTTTTTTTTTTTGTATTTTCTCCATGTGTGTGCGTGTGTTTGACATGGAATTTTTATGAATGACATTGACCAACCACCCAAGAAGAAGAAGAAAAAGAACTGCACACATCCCTTCCCCTAAAGAAATAAACAAGAGAGAGCCAAAGAGAACCAAATCTCTTAAGAATTCTCACCGCGACAAGAAAAAAGTGCTAACCAAGCCGAAAAAAACTGTTATAAACCAGAAGGCGAAAAAGCACATTTTTACGTTTTTACGACCTGGCAACAGACGAAAAAAGGTTGATAAACAAAATATAACTACAAATATCTCAAAAGAACCGCTTATCAGCCGCGTGTCGAATGCATTTTATTATTTAGGTGAGCCAACTGTTAAGATAATGCGCGGATTATACAATTGGTCGGCGCCTAAAAGGCGGCAGACGAAAATAACACTTTCACCCAAACACGCACTTAAGGTGACAGTACGACTCCAGTAACTGAAACTTTAAAGAAGTTATTTGAGTTTATTAAGATTGGTTTTAATTATTTATCTGTTTTTATCATAAGAATCAAATTTTGATGAAACAGAGGGCTTTTATAGTGTTTCTTATAAAAATTTTCTTTAAATAAAATCGTGTTATAATTGATTAAATTTTAGTTACATAAAGTATGGTTTTCATTTCTTTGACCTAATAAACAACTTTCCCATCTGTACTATAATTTATTAAGAGAATTTTTAAGGACTATTTAAAAATGATTTCAAGAAAGTTCCATTCTTAGAAACTCTAGAATGTGGCCTGTACGAAAGAGCGTAGGTTTTAAAAAGTAAAAGTCTTTTTGGGGGCGAAATACAGTTAACCTTTAACCTAAATCGCCAGTAAAGAGCAACAGTTTCGGCGCTCTTTGATATTTGCACTGTTCTACAGAGCGTTATACGATATAACAGTGGGAACTGTTACATTAGCCATGTGGCAAAAGGCGGTTACCGGTTTTTCAGGCTTTGCTTTTTCAAATTCAAATCAAAGAAAAGCAAAAGGTGATACAAAAAAACATACAAAAAAGACAACCCTTGGGCAAACAAAGAGGGGTTGTTTGTCTTGTCTCTCTCGACCGCCCTCTCTCTTTCTCCCTCTCGCCACCCAGCCATTTGTTTTTGTCCCAATCAGCTGTTTTTTGGGGCACAAGAGCGAGCGAGAGGGCGAGAGCAAGTGGAGCTTGCGCTCTGTGAGCTTGAACTTCAAATGCAACGAGAGCGGGAGAAGAGAGCGAGAGAAGAGTGTTTTTACAGAATTTTAGAATTTGTCTTTGTATATCGTATAACAGTCGCTTTTTGCTGGCGTTACGAGGAATTTTCATTTTCATTTCGCACCGAACGGCGCAGCAGTCCAGAACAAAAGTCGGGAAATTCAAAATCGGCAAACGGAGAATTGTTATTTTTTCGCCAGATTCGCAAAAAAGTTCGCCAAGGGAAAGGGAAAGCAATGAAAATGTCGCTAAAATGCAAATGCAGCTAAAAGTTATCGAGTAGTTGTGTGTGTGTGTGTGCCCCCCGTCGATTGAGCGCGTGTGTGAGTGGGCTTTTTATCGATCACACTCCGCCGCTCTTCTTCCGCCTCCTTTCCTCCCCTGCGACCCCCTCCCCCTCTCTACCGCTCTCTCCAATTAAATTTCAAAGCTGAAAATCGGAAAATTATACAATTGCATTCGCAAATTACGACGTATACACGTACAGCACCCCCGAAAATCTCGCCAAAACGCAAAATCAAAGTCAACAGAAAAAGCAAAAAAAGAAAAGCAAGGAAAATCTAAGAAGGAAAACAAACATTTTCTAGTGACCTCAGCTGCAGCTGCAAGTGCAAGTTAAAAATACGCAAACAAAGCGGAAATGGGCGAAGAAAATAACTAAAAAAAACAGCACAAATAGTAACGGTTAAGTTGGCACAAAAACTAATATTTACTCGAATACAGGCAGCCCACGCCTTTTATCGCTAGTGAATTTATGAATTTATCAAACTAAAACGAAAACAAAAACAAAAACTCAATAACAATTGACACACACCGACGCACACACACACGCACGCACACTTCAAGTGCAGTGGGAGAACCCAAGCCCCAAAAAAGAGAGCGCGCGAGATAAACAGTTAAGCTCTCCCTCTCCCTTTGCTCCCCCTTGGCTTTTGGCATTCGCACGCGGGCAGCGAATCTAAGCGGACGTTCCTCCTGCTCCTCCTGCTCCTTCTTTTTCAACTCCACCAGAGGAGAAGAAACCGCGTGTGTTGCTTAAAGGTTAAATACCGTAACTACCATGGTGGATATCAACAGTTCAAATCCGGGGAATGTGGGTGGAAATTCCGCCTCCTCGGCGAGATTAAGGAGATTCGAGAGGACAGATAGTGAACTAGCCTGTGAAGAGGCAGCTAGGCTAACGGCGGAACAGAGTCCCGAGGATGAGGATAATCAGGATAACGAGGAGGATGAGGACGAAGACGAGGAGAGTGTCTATGGAGAGCTACCCCCTCCGCCGGACGGAGGCTATGGGTGGGTCATCTGCTTCGCCAGCTTCATGTGCAACATGATTGTGGATGGAATAGCCTACACATTTGGCATCTTCCTGGAGGAATTCGTGGCCTATTTTCATGAAGGCAAGGGAACAGTGGCCTGGGTGGGCAGTCTCCTATCCGGAGTCTATCTAAGTGCCGGTCCCATTGTCTCCGCCTTGGCCAATAAATATGGTTGTCGGGCAGTCTGCATAGCTGGGAGCATCATCGCCTGCATCGCCTTCGTTTTGAGCACCTTTAGTTCAAGTGTGAGCATGCTGATGGCCACCTATGGTTTCATGGGAGGATTTGGCTTTGGAATGATCTACCTGCCTGCAGTGGTGGCCGTGGGTTACTATTTTGAAACCAAGAGGAGCTTGGCTACTGGAATAGCCGTTTGTGGTTCTGGATTCGGCACCTTTGCCTTTGCTCCTCTGGCCACCTATCTCCTGGAGGAATACGGCTGGAAGAACGCCCTGCTCATCTTTGCCGGTCTAATCCTCAACTGCGCCATCTTTGGAGCCATGATGAGGCCTTTAACTTATCCGAAGAAAAAGAAACAGAAGCCTCTGATGCAGAGGATGTACGAAGAGAAGCAACTGCAGTTAGAACGGGGTTCCTTTGCTGGTTCCCACTTCATGGTGCAGCTACCGGATGGAACCATGGAGCGCAAGATGAAGATGCCACTGAATGCCGATCCTGGCGTGCATTCCAGCTTGAATCTGGAGCTCCTGGCTCAACAGGCAGCTGGGGGAGGTGGTCTGCATCCCGTTTCCACCCTGCCCACCATCACCGAATCCAAGGTGGTCGATGTTCATCGTCAGAATGGCGCACAATCCCCTCCAAATGGCGATAGCAATGGGCAGCTGTCTGCTCGCTCGGCACGTCGTCCGCACAGGAACTCCGAGAACTCGGAGAACAGTCCGTATCACTCGCAGGATGCCATGACCAGGAATGCCTCACAGCCCGCTTTTCTCGCCGGAGATCATCAGAGTTTGCCCAAGAATGGTTCGGTGCCTGCTTTTAATACGCGGGTGAGGAAGACCTCCGCCTCGGAACGCTATCAACCTTCACTGGCGGCCATTAGGGCCTCTTCTCGCGGAGATTTGGAGGCCGGAGCTGGAGGGGATTTCGCCTCCTCCAAGTTATCCCTCTCCCAGCGGGCAGGAGGCAGTCAAACGGGCAGTGGGCGGATGGTGCGTCCCATGTCCCGCAAGGATATCTTCTACTCGGGATCCGTGACGAACCTTCCTCAATATCAATCCCAGAAATCCCTCACCAACTACAGGAACTCTGTGCTCTCCCTCACAAAATACGAGAAGAGCATGCAGAGCGTGGCTAAACTAGATCCTTTAGCCGAGGCGGAGAAGCACCGCGAGGAGTACGACCTGTGTCCCTGCCTAGGAATCCCCGACTCTGTAAAGTCCGTCATCAACACCATGTTGGATGTGAGCCTCCTCAAGGATCCCGTCTTTATGCTGATAGGAGTTTCCAACATCTTTGGCATGGCTGGTCTGTATGTGCCCTTCGTTTACCTCGTGGATGCGGCCAAGGAGCATGATATCTCCAAGAACGATGCCGCCATGCTGATCTCCATCATCGGGATAACCAACACAGTGGGTCGTGTGTTCTGCGGATGGGTTGCTGACCTGCCACAGGTCAACTCGCTGCTGCTAAATAATTGTTGCCTGCTAGTATCCACCATTGCCGTCACCCTGACTCCTTTGTGCTACAGCTACACGGCCTACATAATCATGTCCATTTTCTTTGGCCTGGCCATCTCGGGCTACATCTCGCTGACGTCAATTATCCTGGTCGATCTGCTCGGCCTGGAGAAGCTAACGAATGCCTTTGGACTGCTGATCCTGTTCAGAGGATTCGCCGCCTTAATCGGAACGCCTTTGGCGGGAGCCATCTACGATCTGACGCACACCTACGACCTGCCTTTTTATATGGCCGGTGCTCTGTTCGGCATCTCGACGATAACCAGCTTTTTGGCTCCTTGCCTGAAGCGTTGCAGTCCCCAGGAGGAGACTCCCCAGCATGTGGAGACACTAACTCCGATCGACGAGGAGCAGGGCGAGGAGGATGCCGAGGATGAGGACGAGGATCAGCCCATCACCATTGTGCCCAAGATCATCAAGACGCTGGCGAGTCCACAACAAGAGGAGGGACATCCGCAGTTTCCCTTGTCCCAGAGATCGACGACTAACGAATCGAAGCTCTAAATGATCAGATGAATTTACAGCTAGCGGAGCTCAAAAAGAAGATCCGGTGAGATATTTTTCTATTTACTTATACAGCAGAGGAGGAGATCAGAGATCGAGCACACCTATATACAAACAAAATCGTGGAGAAGAGAGCCCCCATACCACATATATACAATATATATATATTTAAGCCTAGGCAAACAGCGGAGGATGGAGCCAGAAAATTCACTTTTCTACCCAGGAGCAAGGAGAACTCAACTCAGCTTAGCTTGCGATAAGATATATCGGCTATATATATACTACGCTCATAAAGTAACGATCGAAAAACTGATACCGATCGCTGGTAGATTGCAACTGTTATACAGCAACCACAAAACATATATTGTAAAGTAACTTCTATTATTATTACTATTATTATTTGTTTGTTAAACCCTACGATTACTATGATTACCATTATGATTACTATTAAAGATTATTGTGTACTACTACTATCTACTACATAGTTGTTGGCCAGGCGTCATAAATGTGTCATACTGTCATACTGTAGGCGATAAAGCGATATAGCGATATATAGCGTGTGTGTAAACTGTAAACTGTAGCTAAAAGTAGAGAAGTGGCCCGATTAACTTAAAAACAAGAGAGCAACTATTTCGAAAAACTAATAAATTGTATATTTTTTAAGGAAAGAACACACAAATGAACCGCATTACAAGAACTAAAATTGTTTTCAATTTTACACTAATCATTTAGGTGGCGAAACCAAACTCAAAATACAAATTTACGGCTCATTTTTGTAAGTTACTACAACTAAAACTAAAACCAAAAGTCCAGCAACAGCAACTAAAAATCCAAAAGAGCAAGTGAATTTTTAAGGCTTGTGTGTGTCTGTTTTTAAATCTATCCAAATATATTAATATACCCTACATAGCCTAGTAGCTACGAACCATAAGCAATACGGCAAGTGCAGTTGATATACAAACGAAATTGTTCACGCGGCTAAAAACTAAAAACTAATTACAACAGTATATTATATTATGTAATATGTACCACAAAACCATATTCTAAATCTGTTATACGCATAAGGACAGCAAGGACAGGAAGGTCAGGGGCAACAACAAACGTGGAACGAGTGGAAAACACATCAAAAAGTAACATTTAGAACAATAAGTGTTGAAGGAATGAGAAAAGCAGCCAGAGAATAGTAATAAAAATAAAAGAAATTGCCATACATTTTAAAAACTGTCAAAAGTCAAGAGTTTTTGTGGGTTATTTGGGAATATGGTTTATAAGATTTATGTTTATTTGAGTTCCAATATTTTCTGGGATCAATAGAACTACAAATGAACTTCATTGAACGCTGATTGATGGCCTACATTAATTTCAAAATAATAATCTCAAGATATGAAATAATACCTTATGATTTGATCCCATTAAATTCATAATCCTTTGACATATCACTTTCAGATTTATAAAATCAATCAGTATTGTGTTGTTTTTCCTTTAAAAATTCTAATTTCACGCATTTTACAATGTTTGGTTAGCAGACCAACGAAATTTGAAGATCCCTTTTAAAATTGTGAAATTATTAAGGATCCTCAATAGAACTACAAATAAACTAAATTAAATGCTAATTGATGGCCTACATGATTTCAAAATAATATTCTAATATGATATAATACCTTATATATATGATCCCATTCATGATTAAAATTCATTTATCATATCACATTTACAAATATAAAATCGTTCAGTATTTCTTTCTTTCCCTTAAAAAACTCTAATTTCACGACCTTCACAACGTTCGGTTAACAGAACAACAAACTTGGACTCTATGGATCTCGCTTCTATTTGAATAAGTACTCATTTGAAGAGGTAACTCGTGAAAGCCTTAGCACAATTATAATCTCCCAGGGGGAAAAGTCGTGTGGCGCTCTAAAAACCATCGATCAAAAGTTCGCCTTGGACTTAAAATAATACGTTTATCAGTGAATTTCAAACCCCCCTTGTTCGATGAAGCGGAAAATCAGATCATAACGTGCTTACTCGCCAAAACCCATAAAACTTGCCCCAAATGATTAGGCTAATCAATTTGCCAAGGGTGAGAGTAAGTTAAGTTATGGCTTCACTTGGGCAACATTACTAATTGTACTAGGGGACCCAGGGGAAATAATGCCGCCTATCAATCTAGTCTGTGGACAAACACTTGGCGATATCGCCATATGAAATACCGTCTGCACACGACAAGTGCTACGAAAACAGTCATAAAAGTAAAACCTCTCGACTAGACGGAAAGCTCGTTGTTCCACCAGACATATAGATACGGTTAGGAAAACCAACTGGAAACCAATCAGTTTGCATTGTTAAGAGTTACTCCTTATAACCTATGCGATTCTCAGCAGTTCCATGTGCATTCAAAAGCACAAGAGGTAATAAAAATAACACTAGAATAGCACTTTGTGATATTTAAGTGCTGGAAAAAGGCAATAAATCAATCAAAATCTTGTAATCTGCTATGTGTGTTGAACTTCTAGCTAAATCAATGAAGTAATCTTTGTAATTGTCTGTTATAAATTAAGAATTTATAGTTTTTTCTAAGAAAAAGTAACAGCTATTAAAGAATAATTTACAAATTAATAGCCATTAATGGCTTTCCATATTTCTGATTTTATCCTGGTTATTTTATAATAATTCTAAATTAATTTGTCACTATTTTTAATTTTTTCCTTCTACATTTATTTTACTATAAATTCTTATTATAAAATTAACAAAAACTTTACGATGCTAATATTGAAAAAGGCTCTGAATCAATCAAAATCTAATTATCTTTATAATTGTCTGTCATGATTCTAAAATTTAAATTTTGTCTAAGAAACAATAACAGCTGTTGTAGAATAATGTAAAATGATTTCCGATTAAATCCAGTAATTTGAATAATTCTAAATTCAATTATTCTACTTTAATTTTACTAAAATTATACAAAAATAAGAAAAACATTTTAATTTTAGGTATTTATTTCTTTAATAATTTGTTCTATTTATTATCATATTATTATCTCACCTAATTTAAGTTTTAATTAATTTATAAAAGAAATCAACAACAAATCCATCATCTACTTTATAAACTTCAGTTTTCAATTGTATTTTACCTAGCGAACTTCTCTTCTCTAAAAGTTCTACTAAAAATTTCAATAGTCACACATTTAATCCTCTTTTTCCCTGCCCATTTGGCCTTTTGTCTAGCAATTAAGCATGACACCAGGCAAATAGAATAGTCCCAGCCCCTGGGCTTAGATGAAAAAAGGAACCCCCCTTTTGGAGACCCGACACACATGACACACTCAATTACGAGAGGGATGCCAACTCCGGCTTTTCCACTTGGAATCCGAATCCGAATACCAGAACGCCTCCCAGACAATTCGATTGATAAGCGTGAACAATGCACACAGCACAGCCAGCGGACAAACAAAAATAATAACAAAGAACTGGACGGAAGCCACTTGTGTTGTGTGCTGATTAGAAATACTGGGTGGGTGATTTTATGGGTGGCAGCAAAGTGGTCAACACAAGTTCAACACCTGTTGGAGGCTCCACGAGCGTTGAAACCCAAAGCCAAAACGAAAGAAAAATCGCAACCGAAAACAATTGGGGGCCTGGCAACAGGCAGTCCGAATATTTAAGGGCCAGAAACTATGGCAAAATGTGTTGACATCAACACACGTCGATTCTTCCGTCCCCCTCGAGACTTTTGCAGCTATATATATCGGGTGACACCTGAGCAGAGTGGAGAGCAGAGAATATATAGAGTGAAAGAAAGGCAAGAGTAAGCAAAAACTGCATATAAACACGGGGGCCAGCAGGCGAGCGAAGCTATCGAAGGCACGCCATGACAAATTCCAAAATACAACATGGAAAACGCTATTAAATAAGTGTAGAGCAAGAACGTAGCCCTCACGAACCCCAGATACTCTGGACACAGCGGGGGTCGAAAGTCCGCAAACTGCTCTTGTTGGCTTTATCTTGGGGTCTTGCTTCAAAACAATAACAAGATAAATCGAAAGTTATTCTATAGCGACGATAATTTGTGGTGCTATTACGATCAGTGAACTTATGTTCTCATTATATAGGGAATTGGGAATAAGTATTAGAAAGCCAAGAGATTTTTAATAATTTATAGGTATATAAAAAAGTTAATAAGTGCTTCCAAACAATAAGAAGTTAAATCGAAAGTTCTTTTTTAATACCGATAAATATGTGGTTCTATTTAGATTTGTGAACTGAAGTTCTGATTAGAATTGATATACAATAGATAGGACCACTCAACATATATTTGAACTGGGAATTACAATATAATTTTCAAGAGATTTTGGAAGATTTTCCAAGTTGATAAAGAAAAATTTTTATCTTGGGGCCATTGCTTAAAAAAAAACAAGAAGATAAATCGAACTTAGAAACTAAGTTCCCATTAGAAAGGGTATACAATAGATAAAACCACTCCGAATATCTTTAAATTGGAAATAATTAGAATTTAATTATCGAAGTATTTCAAAATTGATAAAAAAAGTAATAAACTCAGTTTCAAATACTAACAAGAAATATTGAAGTTCCTTTACTGATAAGTTTCTGAAGCCTAAATTCTAATAGCATTATTATCACACGATCAGCTCTCAGATTATTTTAGAATATTAAGAAAAGTCGTTGACCTACAAAAGACAGATAATTCTAACGATTTAGCTAAAGTGGAAATTATATACATATTAATCAACTGCTGTTCAAAGTCAAAGTTTTCATTCATCCAATGAATAATTATTCGCTATCAACTGGCATCGAAACAAAACGAGATTATAAGCGGGGTAATAATGGAAAATAGGAAATTAGAAATTAGACAAAGTGCAACTCAGCTGGAATTATGAATTGCAATACCCAAATGAATCACTAATCAATATTGTGCACGGGAGCACTTACCCATTTGCTCCTGATGCGGTTGTTGTGGTTGCTGCTGCTGTTGAGGAGGAGTGGGCGTTGGCTGTGGCTGCGGAGGAGGTTGAGCCTGTTCGATTAGCACGGGCGATGTTTGCTGCAGGATGTGATGCGGCGGCGGGGGCAGCAGAGCTGGCTGAACGCCGGCATCCGGCGGCAAAGGCATGGCAGCAGTCCAGGCTACTGGGATGGCGCCAGGTGGCGGAGCTCCGCACTCAGCTAGCTCGTCATCGTACTATTAGGCTTACAAAATAATTATTAGTATAATTATTAACAATAAATAATAGCAATATTTTGATTATCACACATTTTTATTAGAGCCCTGCGTGAATCATTCAGTTTTTGTTTTATCATAGTAAGCCAAGAAATTTTCTATTTGTTTAATTCAATTCTATGTGAAATAAATTAAATGTTTTTCTTATTCATTTAGAATTAAAAATTTCTATACATTTTTTAAATTTGCCAGTTTGTTTTTGTGCTTTCTTTTGAGAACAAAAAGTGGAATATTTTTAACAAATCAATTTTAACTGCATAGTAAATAAAATTCAGGCAAATTTAATCACAAAATGATGGCCCTTTCTTCTTCAAAAGAAATTGTCGTTAGAATTATTTCGGAATTCATGCCATTCATTCAAAATTCAAATTCATTCAATTCTATTAATTCATTCATATAAAACAAAAAAATTCAAAATAATTCATTGAATCCATTCATGCAGGGCTCTAGTTATTTATAATTATTTTACTCCTTTTGCAAGACCCACCTGGGGCACTGGACCTGCTCCCGGATGAATTGGCTGCAGGGCGGCCATCTGGCCGTCGTCGTAGATCTGCATCACGCCCATTTGCTGCTGCATTTCGTGCAGCTGCGGCTCGTAGATGGGGTAACTCGGGCTGAGCATGCTCGACGTCTCCGACGAGGGCAGCGAGGAGCTGTTGTGGTTGAGCTCATCGCCTCCATTGGGATGCACGGCCACCTGTTGCTGCTGCTGTTGCTGCTGCTGCTGTTGCAGCACCTCGAAATCCTCCGCGTACATGGGAGCCGTGTGCCAGATCTGTGTCATTCCAGGATCCGGCTGGGCGACCCTTTCATCCACTCCCTGCTGACCAGCATCTTCGGGAACGTACTGATACTCGGCCGGATGCATCATGGGGTAAATGTAGCCACCGGGATTGAACCAACCGGGGTTGTACATCACCGGGCCGGAGATGAAAACCGGAGTTCCGGTGGCCTGCTGGGCAGCAGTGGGATTCGGCGGAGGCTGCATGCTCGGGTGCTGCGGCGTAAAGTAGGGCGGAGGATAGCCGTAGGCGTAGGTGGGCGGGGCAGCGGCATAGTACTGCTGCAGATGCTGCATATGCGCCTCGGGCGGCGGCAGCTGTTGGCCCATCTGATCCTGCGGCTGCAGCTGCAGGCCGGGATTGGCTCCGTCCGGCGGCGGCTGCAGTTGCTGCTGCGGCGGCAGGCTGATCAGCTGCTGCTGCTGCTGCTGCAGGTGACGTGGCCCGTGGTAGTCGTTGCGTCGCGGTCCACCGCCTCCACGCGGTCCACGTCCGCGTCCACGTCCCCGGCCACCGCCCATTCCGGGAGTGTGCGGGTTGGGGGAGCCGCCCTGCGGAGCCAAGTTGATGGGCAGCGGCTGCAGATGCGGCATCACGTTGTTGCCCTGGTGGGGTTATAAAGTTGGGAGGTTATTAATGAGGATTACAAGGGCTTTGCTGAGTTTTTAGTGCAATAATTAGGGCAATTATTATAATAACTATATAATTTAATGACTAAGCGAGGTAAATATTGGTATTTTTTATGGTTTTCCATGTTTTATATAGTTAGATTCAAATAAATTTCTATTATTATAATCAATAACTATTGAATACAGGTCGAGAAAAAATGTATACTTCTTCATTACTCGTGACTTTAAAAAATTCAAAAAAAATAATTTACAATTTAAGTACATTAAAATACTACATTTTTGTATAATAAGCAAGTTAATTTGATTTGTAGAATAAATAAAAGTATAATAGTGTGTGTTTTTAGATTTTTCTAGTTGGTTTTTAAATGAACTCCTATGCATATTAAAGACCGATTGCAAACATTTTACTTTTTTTCCTAAATAAGTCACCTAAGAATATAGTTTTTATATGAGCAGGGTTAATTTAAATAAATTAGGTTAGAGGAATGACTAAAGGTAAAATATATCTTTTTTTTGGGTGTTTCTTGGTTAGTTTCAAATATCATTTTAAGCACAATGAATGCAGATTGCAGAAATATGCACTTTTCATTATGATTTTCATACTAAAATACGCACAACTTAATTTATAAATAATTTATAGTTATAGTAATACCTAATTTGAAAGATAGCACCTATGCAAACCCATTTCAGGTAGCTAAATTACATTTTTCGACCCTTAAATAAATGAAACTATAGACAAATCCTTCCCAGACGCACCTGCTCCTGGGGCATATCGCCGTGGCCAATGTAGTGGTGCTGACCTCCGGCCGGCATGTAAGTGGGCACGCCGTGCGTCCAGCCATGCAGGTTGACATTGGCAGTGACGTTGTTCACGTAGACATTGTTGCTGGGCATCGGGGCGGGGATCATGGTCGGGTAATGGGCTCCACCATGGTGCGGTCCTCCGTGGGCGGCGGACATGTAGACCGGTGGATTGTACACGGGCTGTCCGGCCGGAGTGAAAGCCTGGACGGGCGTCAGTAGATTGTTGTTTCCGGAGGGCGAGACCAAGTTGTTGTTGTTATTGTTGCTGGGTCCGCTGCTCACGACGCCAGCGGGCTGAGGCGTCGATGGCGTTGAGATGGGAGTGGCTGCTCCACCGCCGCCTCCTCCAGCTGCTGCTGCTCCAGAGGATGCTGCTCCTCCTGCGACGGCGACAGAGGATCCCGTCGTCGAAGTGGACGGCGCTGCCTGCTGCTGCGACTGCGGCTGCGTTTGCTGCGCCATGGCCAAAAAGCCAGAAAGGGCGGAACTTGGCTCAGATCCTTAATTGGTTCTATTGGCGGATTTAAACGAGTCTCAAGAGTCGCAGCAGGCGCCAAACATTGAAATTGCTGTTTGCTGTTGGGGGAAAAGAGAATAAATTAATTAGTATTTGTGGTGTTTTTCAAGGAAAACTTTAAATTAAGTTAGGGTTAAGAGTTAAGGTTAAGTTAAGGTTAGTGATGTTCCAATTAGAGTTGTTAGTTGGTGATTACTGGAAATTATGTTATTTTAAAAATGTTTTTTAACACTTTTAGAGCATATTGCAATAACTGAAAAAATTCTACATATTTTTGACAACTTTAAAAACAATTTTAACAATTTTAAGTTAAGGTTAGTGATTTTCCAATTAGAGTTATTAGTTGGTACTTATGTCATTTTTCAAAATTTATTTATAATATATAGAAAATATTACAAAAACTAAAAAATGCTGCAAATTTGTAAAACAATTTTAAAACATTTTTTTTTAATTCAAGAAATTTGTTAAACTAAAAATTCTAAAATAAATTCTAGGATAAACGATGAGCAAATCCAGCAGAAGCTGTTAATTTTCCACAAAAATACAGTAAATTACCTTCACAAATGAAAATTAATTATAAATACAATTAAGCAACTAAGCACATTTTCCATTTAATTTTTTTTTTTTTTTTTTACACGGGTTAAATTCTAATTGGATGCGATTTCCAATTCACGCCACTCCGCGTGCCGCAGCCCCTCGAACCATCTGGCAACGCCGCACAGCTGCTGTCGGTGTAATAGGAAAATCAAATAAACAGAGCAAAAGAGATGGAAAATGCCGATTGCCGATTTTCCAGGGGGCTTTTCCAAGGGCAGACACTTCAAAAACGGAAATAAATCAAAATAAAACGAACTACAGACGATTTTAAACCGTATTTTCGGGTAAATTTCGTGTGGTGCCACACGCCGCCCGCTAGAGATGGGCAATCGAAACGATTTGCCGGCTCACGAGAATATCGGTCACGAATGTAACAGGTTCAAAGGGCTATTTCTAGGCGTTTCACTGACTTAAAAGGTAAATAAAAACAGGGCCAAGTACTTTGATATGTTTTAAAGGGGTTTTCACTTGCAATAACCAATTTAGATCCATTTTCTCTAGTTTTTCAGTAGTTTGAAAATTACTCATCTCTGCCAAACACAACACACACACAGACACGCACGCACTTACTCGCACACACACACACGAACGCAGGGCGAATGAAAGAAATTGGAAAATAACTTTAGCTGGAAAAGCCTGCGATTTTCGAGTATTTTCTAGGGTTAAGGGGAGTTTCAAAGTCACGTAGTTTATGTAAATTCGGTTTGCCGGGTTTTTGGCTGCTATTTTGATGCCCAGTTCGGGGGTGGGGAGATTTATCGAACGTACCTTTTGTTGAGTGGCCAATTGAAATCAATTTTGCAATTTGATCATATTTTATGCGTGCGGCAATCTCTCTCTCGCTCGCTCGCTCTCTATCTCCGCTGCTGCTCTCTCCTTGTCTCTCTTTCTCCGCGCGGTGCCACGATAATTCCGCAACTTTTTACACGCTGCTCCAAATTCTGCGGCTGCAAATTAACGCCGATGCGGGCGATTTCGCGGGGTCACAGGTCACGGGGCCGTGGCGAGAGGTCACCGGCAGACGTCTCTCTTCGCTTTTCGCGATCCTTTTTTTTATTCGAGCGGCCAACGAGCGTTTTTTATGACAAGATTGGCCGCGGTGTTTTTTTTTGTTCCTCTGACATAGAGGTGGAGAAACATCGATGGAAACATCGATGCATCGATGTTTTACAATTTTTTACAAACATCGATTTTTTTGTCGACAATCGATGTTTTTGTAACATTAGGGGGATTCCCTAAACTGTTGAATGAAAATTTTGTTGAATTGCTCAAAAGCCAGAGTTGTCACCTTTTTTTAAAAGTCGTGGCAACTCTGTAACATTTTAGTATCACCGTGAAACTGCTCAAATAACAGCTGTTTGAAAATTCAACAGGAACCATTTTGGGTCGTTCCCTTAATTGCTGAAATTATCAACAATTCCGCAATTCAACAGTTTAGGGAATCCCCTATTTCACCAATTTCTTAAAGAAAAAAGGCGGAAAATGTGCTTTTTAATTTAGAGGCGTTTACTGTATTGTCATGATTTTAGATACTCTAACTTGGTGGTGTAGGATGGAAGCGGCAAAAGATAGGGCGGTTTAATTTCGGTTTTCAGGCGTTGATTTTTAATGGGTAACTGGTGCTATCTATAGATATTAATAAAAATTTACTGCGAGTCACTTACTTCTTATCCAGTGATATAAGTCATATGTAATATAACACACATAACTAATAACACAATCAAAATGTTTTTAATAACATAATATTTGTACACGATTTATGATAAGTTTCCCCCATTTATTAAACTATTTCCTCATTAATTAAACCAAAAAAACTCGCAAATATTAGACACACTTTGTTTGATTTTATGTATGCAATATTAATAATGCAATAAACGTTATTTCAAAATTTGCTGAACATTTTGTAGAATAATTTTAGAGACCTTACCCCTTTCAACTAAATCCTGGGGACGCCACTGGATATCGATAGTAACTTACAATTGCTGATATTGCAATAAATTGCTGATAAAAGTTAAGTGATAATAGTGCAGTGGAGGGCTACTCTATTATTCATCGTTCATTAAACAAAGCGCAGTAGAATATACTAGTAAGTGCACCTTCTTTTATTTTTTATGGAAATAATACTTTCAATATTTTAATTTTTTAGTAAATGCGATTCCATTTCGCCAAAAGTTTATTTAAATCAAAACAATTTGATATTGCTATAAATTGCTGACAATAGTTAACTTATATGCAGTCGATGGCTTCTTCACTATTCATCGTTAAATAAAAAAAACGCAATTAAATTGGTTGGTAAGTTCACCTTCTTTTATATTTTGAGGAAATAAAAGTTTTAAATATTAAAATTTTTTAGTAAATCTGAAATGGAAGTCCAAGAAAGTTATTTTAATCTAAACAATTTGATCACAGGCCTTATAAATTGTATAATAGAGCTATTTAGTGAAAAAAAACCAATAATGAGATTAAGTGATACCTACACTTTAAATGTGAAAATAAGTAAATCTGAAGTTCAATTAGATTTATTCGAATCAAAAGATGACTCGTATTTGAACCAAAATACAAAACTAAGCGAAAAGGTGAAAAACTTGGAAAATCAAGTTGCCAGAAATGAGGCTACGTTGAAAGATAAGAATAAGTGCATTGCCAAAATGGAGTCTAAAATGAAGGCTAAGGAACGGGAGATGTCGAGTCTAAAGGAAAATATGGATGAACGAAAGTCCGCTGTTCAGGATTCATTAACAGTGGAGTACCATAATAGGTGCATAGGCGATATGGAGAATGAGATTAAAATTTTAAATAGAAAACTGGGTGAGAAAGATACAAAAATTGCAAAGCTAAATGTGGAATTAGTTCAATGCGAAAGAAAGTTACATTATCAAGATGTTGAAATGCGGCTACTAAAGCAACGTCCTCATTATAATCAAAATCGTTATGAACGGTCGTTTTGGGACAAAATCAAAGATTTTTTTGACTAAATTATTAAAAGTGCATAAACAAATAAATTGCACTCACAGTGTTACATTTTATAAATTTTTTTCTATATTAGTTTAGTTTTTGTTTAGTTTTGATACAACTATATGTTTATCAGAAACAAAAGATGAAAAGACATAAAAGAAAACAAGAGAGAACGCTAAGTGGTTTTGTCCCGTATTATACCTACACTCAGTTAAAGGGAGTGTGTCGGGTTGGTGTCCCGACTAATAATCGTAACTTAGCTAAGGGAGGGAGATAGATATATAATTTTTGATTGCGTATAATTTTTTAATGAATGGTCCGATTTGAAAGATGTCTTCTACATTTCGATAGGTATAAATATACACAACAAAATTGAAATTTATATTCGGATTTAAAGGTGTGGGCGCAAAACCCACTTTTAAAATCGTTAGTGGGCATTTGGGCGTTAGAGGGGAGTGACGCTCGGAAATAAATTTCGTTGAGCAAAGAATATGTGTAGAAATTCAACCTTTTAGTTTGTTTTCATCTCAGCTTATACAGACGAAATGACGGAGACGGTAAAATGGACATGCGTACAGAGGAAGACGAATGGCTAGATGACTCGACTAGACCCTGATAAAGAATAAATATTGATGGGGGGAAGCTTGAGTCCGCTGTTAAATTTTGGAATTAGTATCCTTTTAACCGTGGAACGGGTATAACTTTTGACTAAATGTATACTGGCATACATATCGTATGATTAATTTTGAGAGAAATACCATTTCGCAAAAAATAAAAATGTAAATGTTTTTATACCCTTGCAGAGGGTATTATGATTTTAGTGAAGTTTGCAACGCAGTGAAGGGGCCATGTCCGTCTGTTTTTGCAAACTTTTTTTGAGCTATCGGAAACTTTCCCAAAAGTCTTCTTCTATTGCAGGTAGTATATATGTCGGAACCAACCGGTCGGACAACTTAAATAGCTCCCATTGAAGTCGGAGAAAGAAAACGTTAAAAAATTCTAGCTTGTTTTTTGAAATATTACCTCTACTTTTGGGGATTTATTTTTTAATTTTTTTCAATTTCGAATTAAATATTTAATAAATCGGTTATATCATATAGCTGCCATAGGAACGATCGGTAAATTAATGGAAAATGTAATAGGAAATAAATTTATTTTTGTTTTTTTTTATCTTTCTCTAGGATATGACTCTTTTTAAATATTTCCGAATTTCAATTTTAATTTGATCAAATATCGGACGACTATATCCTCTAATAGCTGCCATAGGAACGAGTCGGAAAATTAAAGAGAAAAAAAAGAAAATTGAACATTTTTGCGATTTGTTAATTAATAGGATTGTGAAAAATTTGCAGATGACTAATTATTACCATACGAAAACATTTATTGCAAACCGAAATCTATTAAAATAATTAATAATATTTTAAGCGACCCAAATAATACAATCAAATTTTTTTAAAACCGTAATATGATAAGTTAAGGATAAGTTTTTATAAATATATTTCCCCAATAAAAAACCGCAAATATTATTACACACATTGTTTGCTTTTATTTATGCAATATTTATCATGCAATGAACATTATTCCAAAATTCGCTGCACATCAACAGGGTTTCGCTTTTCGGCCTTGCATTAAAACTAACCATCCATCGTTTTGAATTTGAATTTTCTTGGGCTTCTGTGGGATTTTATCAACACTTATGGAACGAGAAACGTTTGTAATTGCTTGGCTTACAAATAAACACTCAGATATCAGATATAATCGTATAATCGTAAAGGTACTTTGTAATGTAAATGTAATTGTAATGTGGGGGATTAACACTGAGAGCGTAAAACTAATTATCGTGTGTATCGATTCGAACATAATCCGTGTTCCGATTGCTTTGCTTTTCATTGACTTGTTTACCATTTCCATTCGCTGTTGACCAATTTTTCGTAAAACAATTTGCCTAATCAGTCTTTACTATAAGCTGATTGTACTTTTTACAGGGTATTTTTTGGCCTCGCCCTCGTTTTAAGATCGTTGTGACTACACATCCTCGTGAGAGATTAGCATTAACACACACAGTAACCGATAGATAGTTTTGATAACAACGGTAGATCTATAAGAACCTGAAGGTCCCATAGATTTAGGCCCAGTAATAACGTGATTTATGTCATATTCTAACAATAGGAAGACTAGTGACGACAGCTGCGATCGAAATAATATTTTTGGGGGTTTTTAAAACACTATTTGAGGTAATTATGATAATCAACATTCTGAGAATATTAGTAAAAATTTGTTTTTTTAAATAAAAAAAATTAATTGATTTAATAGGTACATAATCTGTGTAAAAAAAATAGCAAGCCTAAACCAGTTGAGAATTATAAAACTTAGATGAAGTTTTCAGTTTAATTAAAAAGAGTGCCTAAAAGTATGCTTTAGAAAATAGAATTTAATATTTTTTAGCATAGTGTTAGACACCATAATAACTGATTTCGAATCTTAAGAGAATATTTAGAAAAACAAATTGCATAATGCCCAAAAGTATGCTTTAAAATTACACAACTTTTAATTTAAATTTTGTTGCATAATTTTAGACACCTAACCTTTTCTTTTTAAATAAAAAATGTATTACTATTTCGATCGCAACTGCGGTTAATTGCTTAATAACATCAGTTAAACCAGTTAATAGACATCGTTGAAGATTCGTTAGTTGATTGCTTATGCCCGAAAGGCAACACAGAGATAATTGCTGGTATTATACAGTATAGTATATCATATATAACACTTATCTAGGTATACGATCTATGGGGCTATAAAAATAAACGACACGCACACGCACAAAAATACATATACAAACATCAATCGAGTTGCTAAAGTAATTGTCGATGGCCGCTGGTTAAACGCTACGAAGTGGGTTCGATTGCTAGATCCTAGGGATCATGATCTGGGATTTTATCGGTTGTTTCGACTGGAGGCGGATTAACCAGAGAAGGAGGAGGAGAAAGAGGAGGAGGAGGAGCAGGCAGCTCATCCGCATCCATTTCAATCTCTATAGAATTCTCGCGTTCTGTGATCTCTGGCATTTTCAGGGAAAAGCTACTCAGCTTTCTCTCCGCCGATCCCAAGGAACTCTGGGAATCGGCCTTCAACAAAGTGCTCCTCCTCTCATTTATGACCCTCAGGGAATCGTACATCTGCTCATCACCATTTCCACTCCCTGCCAATCCCCTTTCCATGGATCGTATGTAGAACACGGAGTCATCCCTCTCATTGGGCACTCCCTTTTTGGGTCTGTAGAACTGCCGTGAACTGTTGCTCCTGTACAGCGGATTGACCACCACCACTGGCCTTTCGATCTCCTCATCGTTCTGTTCGCTGCGGGCGAGGGGCAAAAATCCGGGACGCGCCTTCTTCGGCGGCAAACTGCTCGTGTGGTGATGCAACTCGGTGATCTCCTCGTAGGACGTCTTGGGCTGCGAGGTGGTGGCCTCCTGCTCCTCCGACTGATCGAGACTCTCCTCCGGCACCGCCGGCTCCATGCTGGATTGACCCGACAGCTGACGCACCGGCGGCGGTGGCTCCGAGCACACGGATAACTGGCTGCTGTAAAGGGAAATTAAAGTGGGAACTGTTAATATTTAAAGGTGATTAAAAATAAATAATTAAAAAAAAAGATTTCTTTAAATAAAAATAAGACCGCGAATTCTTTAGACAAAGATCATAAAATATAACATTTTTTATTAGTTTTTTCGTTGCCTGAATTCTTAAAAAAAAAATTAAAACGCAAAACGCTTACAGCACCGTAGATTGATTTATGAATAAGATTAGACCGCGAATTCTTCAGAACAAGAGCAACCAATATAACACTTTTGTTAGATCTTTCAATACGTTATTTCTTAAAAACAATAAATACGCAAGTTCTTTAGAACAAATTTTTAATTAGTTTTATTAGAACGTTTTGATTATTAAATAAAAAAACGCGAATACTTTAGATATATATGTAAATATAAATGCTATCAAGACTGGGGTTTAAACCGCCAGTTGAGGCAAAACCAGCATCCCTTTAACTTTTAAATTAAAACAGAAATGTTAAACAATTGCTTACCGAAATTCCTTCTCCACAGAGGGCGTGGCCGAGGGACCGGAGCTATATCGCTTGGGCGATCGCAGAATCGACTTGGGCATCACCTCAGGACTATGGAGATCCACTTGAACACGCCGAGACTCAATGCTGGATGTTCGACTGGCGATGGACGCACAGCGAGCCGTCCAGCGGCCGCTATACGAGGAGTCCGACATTGTGGAGTTTCTGTAAGAAATATAATTTAGATAAGGCTCTCGTTTAAATTTAGAGAATGAAGGCAGATCATAAAAGAATAAGTCAATTTTTTTAAGTATTTGATTCTGTATGAAATAGGATCAATTCTACCTTATTTCATATCAATAAAAGTTCGATATGATTTATGTCAAATTTATGATTCAAACATATCAATATGATATTTTATCATATCAAATAAAATATCAAATGTAGTATTTTTTGAACAAATATTGTAAAATAAGAAAAACACAATCTTCGTTCATACAAATTGATCTGAACTTGATCTTAAAATAATATAAAGTTGACCAGCACATATCAATCTGATCATTTGTCAATTTTTATTCTGTGTAAGTAAATCTTGCAGATTCTAAGTTCCTCCCTTATTTTGAACCTACCGCCTGTGTCCCAGTGGACTGCGGCTGTGATCGCGTGCCTCCTCCTGTTCGATGGGTTTCTGCCGTGACAAAACATGCCTCTTCGCGGTATCCGATCGCTTGTTCCGCTCACTGCGCTTTTCGGCCCCCGAACTGAGGCCCAGACCAGGCAGAGGATTGCTCCCACTGTCGAAGGAGGAGGCCTGCCAGTAAACACGACTTGCGGCTGGCGGTTGGAGCAGCGAGCACTCCCTGGTGGCCCTTTGGATTAGGCTCGAAGAATTGCTTATAATCCGGGCCGACGAAGAGGAGCCTGCTCCTCCGCCGCCGCCTCCTCCACCACTGGGATTCGAACTCTGACCCGATCCAGGTCGCACCTGACGCACTCGTCGCACACTGCTGCTCGAGGATTTGTGGTGATGATTCGATAGATGATTCGATACATGATTCGATTGATGATTCGAATGGCGATGGTGGTGATGACGACGATGTCGGCGTTGCGAGCAATACATTTCCCATTCCAGCGGCGACAGACGACAGTTCAGTGAGAGCAAATTGTAGTAATTAGTGGTGGTCTGGTTTTGATTTTGATAACTTGAGTTATTGGTGGTGCAGTTGGTAGGTGTAGTATGAGATCCGGACAAATCCGGAGCGGATCCTGCCCCCGAGAGGCGGCGCCACTGGGGACAGAAGCGATTGGATGCACTGATGGTTGGTTTTTTTTTAGATTTTATTTGGCGGAAGCGGGATGCGGATGCGGATTTCAGATTTGCGGATGTCGGAAAGCGAGAAGCGGGCGGTAAGAGCGAGAAACAGCCAATTGGATAAGTGAATTTGCGATATATATACAAGAATATGAGGTGATATTTTCCAGAGTAAGGAACTTAAACCACAAATCTTTACCTGAGCGACCTGGAGAACTTTACCAGCTCGGCGGTGAGTGCCTCGCGATCGAAGGGCTGCTGCGGATGTGCGTGCGGATGCGGATGTGTGTTCGAAATGCAGGCGGTTTGCGGCTGCTGGTGAGGATCGCCCGGCGAGGAGCGGAACACCCCGAAGTGCTGGTCCCAGCGACTCGACTGGTACTGGGCACCTAGAATTTGGAGAGATTTTTATTAGTTATATTTTATTTGGATTTTTTTTAACATATTTTTTAAATGGAATTTCCACTTTTTTTTACAATTACAAACACCTCCCAATGAAACAATTCATAACTTAATTTTTTTGATTAAACTTTCACATATCAATCAAATAAAAAATTAGTAAATAAGTCAATAAATTTAGGAAAAAAGTATTTTATATTTTTTTTTTTGAAGGCTCCAGAATGTAAAGTTTCATTTAAGGAAAAAATATTTGAAATATTTAATATTAAGTCTTTAAAGTATTTTTGTGACATATAGATTTAATTTTCTTATGAAACTTGATCGCAAGAAATTGTCTCTAAAAGCTAAATACTACAATATTCATTATACCCTTGTAGAGGGTATTATAATTTCAGTCAGATGTTTGCAACGCAGTGAAGGAGACGTTTCCGACCACATAAAGTATATATATTCTTGATCAGCACCAATAGCCATGTCCGTCTGTCCGTCTGTCCGTCTGTCCGTTTCTATGCGAACTAGTCTCTCAGTTTTAAAGCTATCGCGATGAAACTTTCCCGAAAGTCTTCTTTTATTGCAGGTAGTACATATGTCGGGAGCCGGATCGGACCACTATATCTTAAGGCTCCCATAGGAATATTCAAACATATATAAGAAATTCTTGTTAATTTGTAGGAAGTAGGCGTTTTAATTCTTGACTACTTAAAAACAAAATTCAAAAATAGGACACTGAATCTGGAATCCCTGGAACTGCACCGGTGGTATTCTTTATCTGAGGGTTTAAGCTTCGGCCGGCGTGCTTCTTTTTGTTTTTTAATATTTTTTAAAAGAAATATATATAGTATATCACAAGGATTATGAAATAAATTTTAAAGACGGTGTCTAAAAGTATGCAACAGCAAAAGATTCCACAAGTTTTCAGGATAGCAACAAGTTTTTATAGCATACTTTTACACACCTTTATCTGCGATTTTCAACCCCTAGAGATTTCTAATAGCATCTCCCTTGTAAAAATACCAATCCAATCTGTTCTTTTATTTTTTTTAATATATATAAAATATTTACCCATTCCACGTCGCTGCGAAGCGGAGCTCCCCTGGTTGCTCCTTGAGGGATTCTTGCTGCTCCCGCCTCCGCCCGCTCTCAATCTCGCCGGAACGACCTTGGCGGCGGAGTCGCGGGCCTCGAAGGTCATCACGCAGGAGGCCACCACTATGAAGCCGCCGAAGCCCATGACAATGGGTCCCACATACGCGAAGTTGTTCAGATGGAAGCCCTTCAGGTCGTTCTTCACCCGCACGGTGACATTGCCGCGCAGCTCCGATCCCATCGACAGGTGATCCGCATAGTAGCCCAAGGTGGCCATTCCGGCGCCCAGGAGCATCAGGGTGAGGCCCAGGATCAGAGCCCGGCAGGCGTGCCACAGGCACTTCGAGGACATCTTGCCCCGCACCACCTGCACGTTCCACGTGGCCCCCGAGGCGGGATGGGCACGTCGCAGGTTGCCCAGCGAGTGCTTCCGCTTGGTGGTGCCACCGCCACCGGAACGACGGGAAGGCATCGCGACCGCTCCTCAATTCCTCAGTCCCCAGGCGACGCTCATCAATGTGGATTCTGAAAAAGGGGATTTGGATGATCGATACTACATTGTAGATTATTTTAAAATTTAATTTAGTTTAAATTTACTTTTTGATCTTAAGTTCTTATAAAACAAACTTCCGCAGCGATACATTTTTCTTGAACTATATTTTATTGCGTCTTTCTTATATTGATCTTCAGCAAAGACAATAGATAATAATAATCATCTACTGCCTGTCACTTACTTCTTATCAAATACAATACAATTTATAGACAATCAAATAAGAGCACCTCTCAACGAGGTAAACAAAGTGGTAACGATCGCACTTTCACATACAAGAATTTTGATATCAAATAAGACCCTTACAGAATTATGATGTCTACTTATGATTCTGTAACTTTAAGCGCTATCTTGCTCTATTTCAAATCTCCGAGAGAGAGAAATCGGTATTGCACGCTAAAAGCGATTTGCCAGAAATTTACCATGCGCATATCGTTTTAACCGCAACGTGTTTTTTGTGGGTACTTTTCTTTTCTTTTTAAACAATTTTGAAAAAACGCGAAAAGGTTTTAGCATTTAATAATACCTTTTTAACGACACATAACACATTATGATGTCTACTTATGATTCTGTAACTTTAAGCGCTATCTTGCTCTATTTCGAATCTCCGAGAGAGAGAAATCGGTATTGAATGCTAAAAGCGACTTGCCAGAAATTTACCATGCGCATATCGTTTTAACCGCAACGTGTTTTTTGTGGGTACTTTTCTTTTCTTTTTAAACAATTTTGAAAAAACGCGAAAAGGTTTAAGCATTTAATAATTATTGTATTATTGTATAGTTAGTCGTTTAGAAACTGTATACTCAGGAAAGGATTTTATTTCTTTCTCCGCATATTGTCCTAAATCAAACGTTTTCTCGATCTTTCGTATATGTAGAGGTGCGATTCGTCACTATGCGTCGCTACGAGCAAAGGCTACTTCGAATTGCATATAAAACTTATCTGTTGGGGATTTTTATTTTGTACACCTCAATCCAATGCATTCATTACATTTCCGTGAGCGAAGCAAAGTAGATGTGATTGGTAAGTCACTTTGATTACATTTTTGGGAATATATGTATATATTTATTTATTTTATTTTCTTAGTAAATGCGAAATGGAAAACCAACAAGTTTATTTTGATCAAGGCAAATTAATAACCTTTCTCAACCAAAAAATAATGTTGTTCTTTAATGCTAAAAATCGGTTTATAAAATTAGAGGAAGCCTACACGTTGGCTGTGCAAATCAGTAAAGATCAATTTATATTCAATATGTTCGAAACAAAAGCTGACAAGAATCTAATAAAAATTAAGAAATTAAGCGAAGAAGTCTCTAATTTGCAGAGTCAAGCTGCCATAAATGCCGCAGAATTGAATGATAAGGATGATCTCATTGACGAAATGGAGTCAGAATTGATGGATACAGATATTGAGATATTGGCCCTAAAAGGAAAAATTGCTGAATTGGAGTCTGCTGCCCTTGAAAGTGCAAAAATAATGGAGTGCAATATTAAATACATAGCCAAGATGGAGACTGAAATTACCACTTTAAATGAGAAACTTAAAGCTGTATCTATTGAAACCCACCAGCAACTAAACGAGAAGAATAAAGAAATTGGTAGGCTGCTCCTTGAAGAAAAACGTTACCAGCGTGATATAACCACTCTAAAAGTTAAAAACGATCAACTGGAAGAAAAATTGACCGATATATCTAAACAATTTAAATGTTTGGTTAGTTCTGTATGGGAAGAAAAGAAAAAATTTTGCCGAAATCTATTCGGAATAAATTGAAAATAAATATTTGGTCAATATTTTTGGGATTCTTTTATAATTGTGTTATTGTTAATATGAATGTATTCAAAAGTTTGCACTTGGCTTATTTCCATTAAAAAAACGAATAAAAATATCTTTGTAATATCTTCTTAAATAATTGACTGATTTCAACTGGACCCCTGCTTGAATTCATTCAATGAATTATTTCAAAATTTGAATCAATTTAAATTTTGAGTTTAATAGAATTGAATGAATTTGAATTTAGCGTTTAGTAAAAAGAATGCATGAATGGCATTTCGACATATTTCGAAATAATTTAAACGACATTTTCATTTGAAGGAGAAAGGCCATCATTTTGTGGTTCAATCTCGCTGAATTCTATACACTCTGCACTTAACATTGTTTTTCTACTTCTTCGTGAGCCCTGATCTATTTTTGAAAATTTCAGTCAAAGGACATGACTTCACTCATGCAGGGCTCTAGTATAACACATTGCTGATTAATTATTAGTGATAAGCTATCTATTAGCTACTATCTTATACGTTAGTATTTGAGTAGAGTAACTTAAGAACCTATTAAAATATTGCTGATAAAACCTATCTCATGGAGAGTTTGTTTCTTACACCTCAATGCAATATTGAAATAGTTGGCGAGTAGACTGGGTTATAAATCTGCGGAAATACATTTTTCTCAAAATTTGGCTTCTTCTAAAGTTTAAAATGAAAGACAAACGAACCTATTATGGAAAAAAGGGATTAACAAGGATTCTCAACAAAACAATTGAAACGTTCTTCGGTGAAAAAGATCGATTTACGAAATTGGACCATTCATATACTATTACTAAATGAAGAAAGAGCAATGAATGCATTTTGTTATTTGGAACCTGCTACGCGAAGAGACCTTTCCATTTTATACCCCTTCAAAATCCCAAAAAAACATCAAAAAGTTGCTTAAAAAAATGTGCTGTTTAAGCTAATTAGCTAATTTAATAAAATATTTATTTATTTAAAGTGTACAATTTTTTTTAAAGAAAAAAAACAAAATCGACTTAGCATGCACATATCAAGGCTTTTGTCAATGGTAATAACAAATTGATATTATCAATTAAAATGTATTTAAATTGTCTGAAAAATATCCATAATATCTTTATAGACAAGTTGCAATGGAAAAGTGGGGATTTCAGAGAGGCGACACTCCCACCGCCCCACCTGTTGTCCGAGGAAGGTCACCGTGCGTTCTCTACGCGATGCTCACGGCTGTTTGCAGATGAGGCGGTGGAATCCCGAGGAGGCATCCAGAGGAGGAGAAGGTGCATGGAGCACCGGTGCAGCCTGCGAGTGCCGAACAATTAAAATCCAAGGCACAATGCCAACAAAACGAGAACGAGAATAGCTGAAGCGGCTGACAACCGCGTGACGGGGCTTAAAGAATGGCCAGAAGAATGGCCGACACTCCTTGAAAGGCCCAGAGTCGTCGGCCAAAGCCGCAATTAAAGCCAAAGAACAAAACGCACGAAAGTCTGATAACAAGGCCCACAATGTCCCCTGCTTTTTTTTACTCAACGAGTACGGCACTTGACACGCTTGCCTCGAGAATTTGCAGCTTCTTAAATTTAGACATTTGTACATATATGTATGATACATTCATCAGCTAGGCACTTGAGCTAATTGCAAGGAATACAAATATCTTGGAACAAGTTACCATAAAACCAACATTTTACGCCAAAATATTTGAAAATATGTTAAATTAATTTGTAAAAAGTAATATCTAAATTACAAAAAATTTTCCTTAATTTTTTAAGAGTTTTTTTGGAAACCTGGTAAACATTTTAAAATCTAAATTCTTTAAAATTTTCAACTTGTGCCAAACCCCTTATGTCGCTCCACAATTCAAGGATAAAAACGTTTTTTGAAAATTAAGTATGCATGCAAACCAAATGCCACATTTTTGCATTTCATGTATATTTCATTTTTCGCAAGCATTTATTTCTGTGTTGGCTTTTAGTCGCTTGAGTTGTTTTCATGTCGAGAATATTTAATGATGATTTTTAAGGGCTTGCCTAAAATTTTGTAAACTCTGTATTGCCTATTAAATGCGCACAAAAATATGCACTAAAAATTGAATGTTTCAAAATATTCTGTTGCATACTTTTAGACACCATTTAAAGTGATTTGAATACCCTAACAATACCTTTGGCTTTGATTTTCAATCTTTTTTGGCTGAACTAAAAGTGAAATGCATAATTTAAATAAAATCAAAGCGTAACTTATCCTTGAAATCGAGGTATTTCAGGGGAAAACTCCACGGGGCCTTTTAGTTTGCCCAGGGATTCTAGGACGGCGTTTGATGGCTTACTTGTTGGTTCGTTCTTGGAATTCCTCGGCTGCTCCTGTTGATGTTTTTTCGGTTTCGGATGGTCCTGCTGCTGCTGCTGCGAGAGCCTTTTGTGTGACCTAAAAGCAGATTTGCCTTCGCTACGTCTCTGTATGTATACTTGTGGCTTGTGCACATATATTTTCGCGACTCGGAGTGTGAAAAGCCCCATGTCATCGTCTCCAATGGCTCTTGAACTTTGTGGCCAGCATTATGGCTCCTGATCCACCACTCAGTGGATTCCGGCTTGATTGCCAAATTGGAATGTGATTAATTTTTGCACAGGTGAAAGCACAGGTACCCGCAGGCTGTGGTTTCTGACTTTCTCCCCCGATTTAAGCACTCGATTCCTTCTTTTTCGGCAGCTGTGCGAGACGTCTGCACACGAGCAGCTTCCACGCGCGTCTGATAAGACGAGGTCCATCTGAATTTGGAAATCCGAGATACCAGAGATCCCATTACAGAGGCCAATCATCCCTCGAGTCATCCACTATAACTATGAGGACTCTGCTGCAAATTGGTTCGTTCAACAGAGGAAAAGCAAAGGAGGTTTTACTTTGATCTAAATAGCTGGCGCCCCCTGGCGTGCTTTTTCTATTATGGCAATGCAACCATGTAATATTATGGGATTTTTATGGAAATTGTCTTATAATAGAACTGCTTTATTTATAAGTCCGTATATTTTCTGCTTTAAAATTAAGAAAAATATTTCGTATTTAATAAATAAATTATTAAAATAAAACAAAAAAAATGCTTTAGTAGACTTACCAATCATAGCGATAAAGTAATTCTGTATTATAGCATATTAATGGAAAGGTATTTATAATAGAATTGCTTTTTAAACCATATTTGTTCGTCTTATAGCAGTTTTATGAAAAGGAAATTATTATAATAGAACTGTTTTTTACAATTATTTGAAACTGTGAACAAACGTTTAAGAAGAATTTATCTATTATGGCAAAGCAAAATTTTCGTTTTTATGGTAAGTGTCTTAAACTAGAACTGCTTCTATTTACAATTCAGTATGTTTTTTGTGAAATTGTCCTATAGTACTTATACTTTTACAATTATAATTTCGTTTATTTTAAGGGTAATAATTTATTACATTTGTAAATATATATTTTTTAACAAAACCAATATTCCTTTTTACTTTAAAAGTAACGGGTATTAGACATTGCTGATAACCTATCAATGATAAGGTTAATCTATTTTTAAGAGTTGCTTGTACCTCAATACAATTTAGTTTATATGTTTCCTTCGGCAAAGCAACGTTAAATTCTTTGGTGAGTGGACGTTGTTCAAACTTGTAGTGAAATAAAATTAAAGTGACGAAACAAAAACAATATAGTTTCTTTTTAGATAATTTAAAATGGAAGTACAACAAATTACTTATGGAAAAAATGAATTAATATTGATGGTTGAAAAAGCACTAAGAATTTACTTTGAAGAAAATGATATGTTGGTAAAAATAAACGATTCATACACCATAAACATGGAAATAAAGAATTTTGATATCCAGTTAAATGTATCAGAAACAAAAGAATATACAAAAAACATCGAGAGATTAAGCGAAAAAGTGACGCATTTGGAAAGTCAAGCTGCCATAAATGTCTCAAAATTGGTTGATAACAATACGAGCATTGTTGAAATGAAGTCTGAATTTGATGGCTAAAGAACGTGAGAAATTACTTTTAAGGGAACAAATTGCCGAGATGGAATCAAAATTGATATCTTAAGAACGTAGGATGTTGCGTCTAAGTCAAAGAATTGGTGAACTGGAGTCTTCTGTGTTTGAGAGTTCAAAACAATTAAAAGAAAAAAATAAGTGTATAGCCGATATGGAACTTAAAGTGCTATTAAACCACTTTCAAAAAATAAGTTACGAAATAAAAATGGAAGAACTGGAGTCTGCTGCCCTTAAAGTTGCAAGAATATGGGAAGCTATTGAGAGGTTAATAAATGAGCTCACACCCAAATAGTCAATTGAAATATATTTATTTTTTGTTTTTTTGATACTTATTTGCTTTTTGTATTTATTAGTTTTAATTTATCATAATTTAAATGATTTCTTCTTTTTCATTTATTTTATATTTCATTCGTTTATTTTCCTTTATTTCATTTGTTTTCATTTTAATATTTTTATTTTTAAACTTTTGCGAAAATGGTTAGGTATTTACAAAATAAATTAAATCCTTAATAAAGGTTTTTTAACAATTTGAAAGCGCTGTAATTAAATACAAACTTAAAAAAAAACATTTATATTATTATACTGATAAAGTAGAATTTGGCGGAACTGATAATTGAAACGGAAGTTCTTCAATATGACTCTTAAATCCATTATTTCCGGTGGATACTGCTTATCAACAGCACACCCAAATTTTCTTTAGGCTCTATGTACATTGTGCAACCATTAAAATTCAGTTCGTTTAAATACTTCATCTGAAACGGTTCGGCAAATTCAAAATGTCCAAGTCAAGCCTACTTTTTTTTTGCGGATTTATTATTTTAATTTACTATTTTCGCCTGGCCATGTCACAAGAAGAAAGGAGCTCGGTGTGTCTCTTGGAGAATGCCCCCGTGCAATGTGGAGCCTTTTGCTCTTCCCTGCTGTTTCCTGTCTACGATCACAATCGCAAAATTGAGCGGCAGTTGGAATGAAACACAGAAAAAGCTGGATCGGTTGGAAGAGCAATTATTGGAGATACAAAAAGCCCTAGCTGGAATCAGATTACCGGAAGCCAAAGTTCCCGAGAAAGTGCAGGAGAAAGTGCAGGAGAAAGTTCCCGAGAAAGTGACGGAGAAAGTAACGATAAATTCGAGACAGTTTTTCATCGAGAAGAATATTCTTGCGGACTGGGATACCTCAGAGAACGCTTGCAATCAAATGGGAGGCCATTTGGCAACATTTCAAAGTCAAGAAGAGTTTGATTACGTCAATGCCAAGCTAGATAGTAACGAATATTACTGGCTGGGCATTCATACTGGGGTAGACGATCGCACTCTAAGATCGGTCTCCAATGGCAAGCGAGCCAAATTTATAGGGTTAGGTGGTCTTTTCGGTTCTTATTGTCAAGAAAATCGCTGCACTTTTTTAATGCACGGCGGTCAAATGTATATTTCCCAATCCGATAAGAAAAATCATTATATTTGTCAGGCGGATGTGCTTTAGAAAAAAGTATAAACAAGTTTATGATGTAGCCAAAAGACGTAGTACTATAAATAATAAATAATAATAAAAATTTTAGAAATCTTTTAATATGTATTGTATCTGAAGTTGTATTTTTTTTCTCTTTAGAAGCTATAAATTTAACGTGAATAAAAATCTTGTAATTTGTAATAGCCTCTTTGAAACTAAAAAATTTAAATAAAATATTAAAATATGAACATTAAAAAACTTAAATCTTTGCTATAATGTTTTTTGAAAAGTTATTTTTTTCGATTTTACAGCTCACAGAAAAATAATCCGTTATAGTAAAATATAAAAATTATTATTTTGTTCTTAATTTTTTTTCTTTTTTGTGGCTGATTAAAAAAGAATATTTTTAACTGCCATATTTTCGGAATGTGGTGTTGAGTTTTCTATGGCTTATTCTCTCAAACTGCTTTGCACTGCTTTATGACTGCTTGAAACTGCCTTTTCCGAAGTCAAACCGCCCACACAAAATCAACACCCCTGCAACTCCGAAAGGTGAACCCATCAAAAAAACCTTAACACACCACCAAGGGGTAAAAACTGGACGAAACAAGGACATGCGCAGATTTTTGCGTTAAGAGAGCATCCTGTGGGCAAGCCGACGAGCAGGACGAACAGGACATTAACAACAATTGGGACCCAGTTCCTCAACCAGTCACTGGCGAAGTCTTCAATCGCGTAGACGTTCTTCGCAAAGAACCGGATGCCGAGTATTACCGATTCCCGATTTCGAACCAAATCGGTAACGTCGTCGATTTTGTACGTGATGCAGTTGAAACCGTCCCTGCGATTTGCCATCGTTATCTGAAGAATGCAAGAGGATTAGGGGACTGGGACTCCGAATGCCAAATGCCAATTCCTTCGAAACCAACTTCAGATCGAAATCCCTGTGTCCTCGTTCCGTTCAAAAGTGCATGCTATATTATATATTCCATCGGGTGTGTCAGTGAGTCCTCGAAAACTATGTGAATTCCGAATGTATATTACATCCTAACGATCGTTCCTAGAGCTAATCAATAAGGATATCCCTGCTTTATGTGAATTAATCAAGTTGATATTTACGTGACTCCCGAAACGGAACGAAAAACAAATGGCCAAAGTGCGTGAGACGCCATAGGTGACCCGAAAACGAAAAAAAGGTGACCCCGAAAAAGAAAAAAAAATCGAATCCAATGCAGTTTGTTAGAGCCAAACGACTACGCCAGATTGCAAAATGCGTTTGAATGAACCAGCTGCAAAAACGCGACCCAGAACTCAGAAATCAACGACGACTGAAGCCACCAGGTTCTCATCATCATCATCTTGGGGTGACCTTCACCTCGAATGCGGTTCCGTTTACAATCTGATCAGGCTGCTCCTCCTCATCACAACGATCATGGGCGGTGGATTTGTGCAGGCCAAGACGATTTACGATACGGTTAACAGCAGGATTCAGTCCTTGGATCCTTTGGTGCAACTGGAACTCAAGGAAACATCGAAAGTTCCCCTGCAAACTACGACGGCTGCCACGCCCACTGGCTACGACCACGCCCACAACCAGGTGTCCACGTTACGGAGTAGTTACGGTAGGCAAATTGCTAAATTGCTAGCTTGCTAACTTTGCAAATGCGGTTAATGCATAATTATATAATTGCTTTTCAATTATCCTGCCGACTCAATTGCTCGGCAGCCATTGTAGTTAGTTAAAATACGTCTCGCAATTTCACATATCCTTGATTTCACCACTTGATGGGACACCTCTCGTAGGCACTGCAATTTATGTTCGTTTCAAAAAGGAGGTCAGCATTATTGGGGGAATTTAAATTCAAAGGAAGGGGTTTACTTCCAAAAAATATTTAAATTACATTTTTCTAGTATTAAAATTTACAATTATTGAGTTGTATTTAAATCAAGGGAAAGGGGTTGTTACTAAAACATATTTAAATTATATTTTTGTAGGATTAATATTTAAACTCTTTGTGGGTAATTAAAGGGGTTAGTACTAGAAAACGTTTAAATTATGTTTTTCTAGAATTAAAACTTAAAATTGTTGAGGGTATGTAAGTTCAAAAGAAGGGGTTTACTACCAAAAATTTTTCAAATTGTGTTATTTTAGGGGCAATTTACATCAGTTTAATATTTTATTGGAGCTTTAACAAATAGTTTCCTTCGAATATTTTCTAAGCCTTAATTTACGCAATTTTATTATTTCTGAACATTAATTCCCTATAAGTACATCGCATTTTAAATTTAAAGCTAGGACTCATTTCATTTTTATAAAATGCTAATGAGCACAATACATAATGTGCAGTTTTCAATATCATGTTGAAAATGTTAAAAAAAATTGTTTAAGCAATTGGGTAAATATTTCTGGTTAGCAAAGTAAAATGTATTTTATTGGTGTACTCTTTAATTACTTAGATGCAATTTTGAGAGTGACATTGGGCACAGAAATATTCAGTAATTCGAAAATAAATTCAAAAAATTTAAAAAAATTCTAACGTTTTTTTAATTTTTTCTTAAAACGAATTGTAAAATGTAAATTGTCTCTGAAATTAGATTTTTTAGTTTATATTTCGGTGATTTTCTTATTTATTGTATTTAATTAATATTTGGTTAAAAATGGTTGTTAGGGTACCATAAAATTTATCATCTCGTCATCCGTTTATATAAAATTTATTAACCATAAAATATATTTGAAATGTTTACCTATTATTTATTTAATTGAAATTTTAGTACTTTTTCCTTAACTGAAACTTTTAAATGAATGATTGATTCACATCCAAATTATTCAAAGCTAAAATCATAAAATAGATTTGCAAGACATGGAATTTAGCTTTGCTAAATATCAATACATCCATACAGATGACTGCCAAAATATTTCTCTGTTGACTTTGGAGAAGCAAACTAAACATTTGTTTAATCCCAGGAGGTTGCAGTGTATTCGCAACGAACAAACAAACTCCCCCCACACACATATCGGCCAACTTGGCATTAGCATATAGATATACAGATGCCTTCAAAATTATAGGAGTAACTTAATATATTAGTTTAATTTATATTTGATTATTTCAAGTTTTAATTAGCATTTCATGGATATATAGTTGGATATCAGTGTTAAATAGTGTTAGATATCAGTGAATGTATGAAATTAAGCAAATTATAATGAGTGAGCTTTTAAAATTAGTTTACATATTTATCCATGGAGTAAAGTCATAAAAATAAAAAAAATTTTAAAATTTAAAAAAATGTTGGGGAGCTCCTAAAACTTGGGTTCTACATTTTTCAAAATAAAAACTCAAACATGTAAGAGGTTAAGGATTTTTCTCATTATGGTTTATTTATTTAAAAAAGCATTCATTTATATTTTTAAAGATTTAAAACCTTTTTCATTATTTCTGAGTAGTTGAAACGGGATTAGGATATTTTAGATGGATATATTGCAAATTTTAATTTAAAAGAAAATATTAATTAGGCTTTATAAGTATCTTTATATTCCCGTTACTATTATTCTGAACTCAGCTGTAAACACACTTGAGTGGTTGAGCCATGTCATCAATTCTCAACTTTCGCCCACATCCCATCTGCCTCTTATACCAAAATCAAAACCCCATTTCGAATGAAATCGATAACTTATTTTCAGAGGACTCCGATTCGGATGATGACGATGGTGTGGATGCGGACTACGTCATTCCCGAGGGCCAGACATCCACGGAGGCGATCCTGGAGCAGGATAGCCATGTCAAAAGTCAGGATCTGGAGTCGTTATCCCTGCAGGCGGCAGGATCGGGCACAGCTTCTCCAAAGACCAGTTCCGATCTCTTCTGGTTCTGGTAACAAGAAGAACGCCTCCTTCCAGCAGATTGGCAGCCAGAATGTAAATGCCTTAGTGCCGGCCACAGTGGCCACCACTTCATCCGGCAGCTCCTCCTCCGCCTCCTTGGCCACGCCCACTGAGCCGACGAGGAACCGGAGCACCGGCCACGTCCGCAACTCCGCCGTCAAGGTGGACAGCAAGCATCCACTGTCCAAGGGCCAGAAAACGGATGCCCCCATGCTGAACTACATCTTCGACACGTTCTCATCGGCCAACAAGCACCACCATCACGATCAGAGGTGAGTTGGAGGAGCCATAGGGATTAGAAAATGTATATCATTACGACAAAAAAATGTGATAATAACTGGACAGTATGTATATATTTTCAAAAAAGTTAAAACTTTAAAAATATTTTTAAAAGTAGGTATTATAAAAACTCCATTAAATTTATCGTTAGTTTTCTTCGAAATATTTATGGAAACAATTTTTGATAAAATTATAACATACAAATTATTAGAGACTGGTTGAAATATTTTTCTTAATTAAAAATTCATTTTAAAACGCATTAATATTCGTATTCTGGTAATCAATTTCTAGCAAGGCTGGGATTTAAATATATACGAATAGAATTTTTTTAACCAGAAATTTCTTCACCACTTTGGTCAATTTGAAGATTATTTTGAATTATCTTAGAAGATTTTTTGAATTATCTAGTAATATTATCTCATAAAAAAAGTTATAATGATCATAATATTTTTAAAATATTTTCTTACCTAAACAGATATGGTCCCCACTTCGAGGATATGCAGCGGGTTGGTCAGGCCACCAATCTCACCGTGCAGGCGGGCTCCAGCATCCACCTAAACTGCAGGATCTCACTGCTGCAGGATAAGACTGTAAGTTTGGTTTTATATCGAAAAGAATGTGACTGAAAATAAATAAAATAAGATCTTAATTTTATCCTTATTTTTTCCTAAATTCAAATTTATTTTTTTAGACCCAATAATAATTTTATCTGAATAAATAGGTTTCTTTTTCTTTGCCATTTTTTAAACAACTTTATTGTTAGTAAATGGTAAAACTGTAAAAATACTTTTAAATATGCAATAAATATTCCTTGTTATTCTTGTTTGACAGGAAAAAATTAATATTTTATTTAAACCATTTATATTTTATAAAAGTGAATATAAAAAGTATCTACTTGACTTGTAGGTTTGCTTACCTAAATTATTATAGAAATACTTTCGATTATTTTTGCCCAAAAAATGTTGTGGGAAATTGTATTACTCATACGCACTGTTGCCTTTGATAAAAAATTATTCTTTTGGCACGCACCAAGGTTTATTTTAGTTTTAAAATTTATAGATTTTCACACTAAAAGTAAATTAAAATAATTAATTAATAATTAAATCAATATCCTCAAAAAACCAGGTCTCTTGGGTGCGCCACAATACGCAGGATGAGGGCAATGGCAATAGCAATGGCAATGCCCTGGACCTGCTGACAGTGGGCATGCACACGTACACGGGTGATAAGCGATACAAAATGGAGTTCCAGTACCCCAACAACTGGCGACTGAAGATAACCAACGTGAAGAAGGACGACGAGGCCATTTACGAGTGCCAGATCTCAACTCATCCGCCCCGCGTCATTCAAATTAACCTGCACGTAAATGGTGGGCATTAAAATCTAGAATTCCCTAAAGAAAAACTTCATAAAAATGCTTTTATAGCTCCAAAAGTAATGATAGTGGACGAGGTGGGGGATCCGCTCCAGGAGAAATACTACGAAATAGACTCCACTTTACAGCTGTCTTGCGTGGTGAGAAATGTGGCCATGACCAGTTCTGTGGTCTTTTGGAAGCACATCGACAACATCCTCAACTATGACGTAACTCGCGGGGGAGTGAGGTGAGTGGGTGCCGATTGCGGGAAACAAAAAAACAGTAATCATTAAAGCATTACGTCTTTATTTCGTATTTTTTAAATTTATTCATACTAATTTACCGATAAATCAAATGGGTTTTTAATGTATAATCCCAAAGGTCACCTTTTTAGAATTTCCCAAAAACTTTAAAAAGGGTTTAAGTAACTAAAATTATCAACAATTGATTTAAAAATTCAAGACAACTATTTATATTGTCAAGTCTAATTACAACTTTCTTAAATTCTATCAGGTTTGGCCCACTTTTGCTTCAAACCGTTTTATAAAAAATCTTTAACAAAATTAAGAAAATAAAAATATTTAATTTGTTTGTGGATTAGTGATTTTTGAAAACATTTGATAATGTAATTTTATGTAAGGGTCACATCTCCGCCAAACATTTTTCTGAAATTTAAAGTTAATATCAGGAAGTCTATTTATATTGAATATCAAAACCTTTTTGCAATCTATAAACGTGTAACTGGTCACCACCATTCTAGTATCTTTGAAATTTCTTGAAATCTTTTAGCGTCAAAACGGAACTGATGGAGGATGGAGCCAACTCGACGCTCTCGATAGCGAAGATCAGTAAAACGGATTCGGGGAACTACACCTGCTCCATCAGCGAGTTCCAGAACTTTACCATAGTGGTGCACATTCTAAATGGTGGGTAGAGTATAACCCATTATATTTTAACCCTTAGATGATCTATTATCTCCTTTCAGGCGAAAGTTTTGCGGAACTACATCATGGTGGAGCGGGTGCGATCCAAATTACGTGGTGGAATCTTGTGATGCTACATTTAATGGCACTCCTTGTGCTAAATAGTCTAAGGGGGGAGTTTAGCTAAGGTAGCTTAATGGGGGAGTAAAGAAATTGAGACAACATCGTTTTTCCTGTAGCACTTTTTGTTGATTAATTGTAAAGATTCTCTGAATTGGTTAGGGCAGTTATTAGAAATAACTTAAAACAAACAGAAAAAAACGCAGCCTAAGTTTAACTGGCTATTATAGATATGTTTCTACGTCTATCATCAATTTGTACATGAGCAGGCACGCCTAGGGTTAAGTTAGGGTTAAGCTCGGGTGTATTTGAAAATAGATAAAAGAGAAAGAGAGAGAGGCCAACGAATTTCCCCTAGCAGAATGTCACGGGGTCAGAGTTTATGGCCTGGCCCAGATCTAGTTGATACAGGAATGTAAAGCATAGTGTAATCTAAGTCACTACCAGTTCATTATCACCAGCTTTTGCAGCAAGGACAAGGATACGATGATCTCTTGTGGGAACTACTCAATGTTGAACTAATATAAAGTGCAATACGGTCATATACATATTATATACATACACACAAACAAACACACGAACGGAAGCATCGGTCAAATGGTATGTTAATAAACGAATATTCGTATGTATGCAATAATAAAGTGAACTATAAATGAATGCCAAGTGAATTTTGAATTTAAAGTGAGCGGGAAAAATCGATAAGCGGTGCCGATACTTATCGAAGTGAACTTCACAGGGTTGCCGGATATGGAAATTTACATGGGATCTAATTTTTAAATTAAATATATAATTTTAAAAAATAATTAAATGTTTTTTGTATTTATAACGGTACTTTTAATGTCACATAAATTAAAAAACCGTATTTTCATTTGTTTTTTTTATTTTATTACTATTATTTTAACCGCAAGTGTTTTATGCCCAACAATTACTCTTGAATTGGTTTTAATCAGCACTCCCAAACAAGTTCAACCAGATTAGCCTAAGGCACCCAGTGCAAAATACACCCATAATACCTTTAATCTTATCTCCTTTTGTTTGGAAGTATGTTCTATAAAAATAAACATAAGTACATAGCTTTTGGGGTATTATAATCGCAAGCATTTCTTTTTTTATAAAAATAAACAAAAATAGGCCAGCATAAAAACAAGCCACTGAGACATCGGTGAGATAGTAGTGGAACCTTAAAAATATTTACAACTTGGCCTTGGCTTTACGGCTGGCAAAGTCCATGATGGCCTGGAAAAATTCGGGATGTTGGAACTGCTGAAGTAGTTGCTTACACTCCGATTCGTTGGCCTTGATGAGATTCTCCACGAATCCCTCCTTGATGAGGCGTTTTCCTTGCAAAAGGGAGTTGGTTGGTAATTCAGAATACTGACGCAATTTAGGCCAAATCACCGAATCCAGTTCGCTGGCCTTAAAGATACGTGAAACAAAGTTGAACTGATAGGCCTCCTGGGCACTCAGGGGTTCGTTGAGGAGCAGAGTTTCAGAGGCCTTGGAGCGACCCAAAATCAGGGGCAGCATATAGGAGGAACCACCCTCCGGCACTAGACCCAATTTGGTGAAGGGAGTGTAGAAGTAGGCCTAAAATGGTATTATATATTAAAATATAAATATAAATAATTCATAAATTTAAAACTCACCGTTTCGGAGCACCAGGCCACATCACACAAACCCACAATGGTGGCACCAATTCCAATAGCGGGTCCATTTACCAGGGAAAATACTATCTTCTTGCAGTTGACGAAACTCAGAACCATGGCCTAAAATTTAAAAAAGAAAATTTAGAAATAACACAAACATATCGCATCGATAAAAATACAAAAATCGTTTTTATCGATCAATAAAATCGATAAAATCGATATCCCACCTTAAAAGTCGCATTAGACTGTTTGAAGAAGGCGTCGATATCATCGGACTGCGAGGACTGAGACAAATCATTTCCGGCCGTGAAAATATCGCCGACCCCAGTAAAAACCACCAGGTTAACTCCCTCATCGTCGTTGACCTCGGTCAGCACCCGGGTCATCTCCTGGTAGGTGAACCTGTTGATGCAGTTCTTTTTCTTCGGATTGTTGAATTTCACCACGAGCAGCTTGCCTTGCTGCTCCACAAGCAGCTGCTGGTATCCTTGGTACGACATCTTGATGGAAGTGTTCCGGGCGGAATGAATAGCAAAGTCCAATTAGTGGATCTTTTCACTCTGATTGCCGGTGTTTATTGTTGTTAAATCCATCCGATTACTCCCTCGCGTAGTAATTGATAAGCCTGAAGATGGGCGATAGTTGGTGGAGCATTCACTGTGATTGGAAGTAACAACTTGGATTTCACTATCGTATTTATAAGTTTTTATACCCTTGTAGAGGGTATTATAATTTCAGTCAGATGTTTGCAACGCAGTGAAGGAGACGTTTCCGACCACATAAAGTATATATATTCTTGATCAGCACCAATAGCCGAGTCTATCTAGCCATGTCCGTCTGTCCGTCTGTCCGTCTGTCCGTTTCTATGCGAACTAGTCTCTCAGTTTTAAAGCTATCGCGATGAAACTTTCCCGAAGGTCTTCTTTCTATTGCAGGTAGTACATATGTCGGAGCCAGCCGGATCGGACCACTATATCTTAAGTTCTCCATAGGAATATTCAAACATATATAAGAAAATTCATTGTTACTTTGTAGGAAGTAGGCGTTTTAAAACAAAATTCAAAAATATAAACTGAATCTGGAATCCCTGGAACTGCACCGAGTGAGTATTCTTTTATCTACAAGGGTATATAAGCTTCGGCTGGCCGAAGGTAGCTTCCTTTCTTGTTTTCCCTTAATTTAATGAATAAATTAATAGAATAACTATTTTAAAATTAATAATTTTTAAGCTATAAGGATTTTCTTTACTTTAATAATTTAAAAGTTATCAGTAAATGGCATATTTCAACGAATTTTTAAAGCATTTTATATTACCAAGAAAACCACATTTTATATCTTCTAGTTTAAGTTTTGAATTTAAAGATGGTTTAAATATATTTTAAAATGTTTTAATAAAAAATGGAGACGGTAAACAAAATGAAATAGTTTCAAAATTAATGTATTACTCTTTTTTGTTTCTAAAACCTTTTTTGAATTTTTTTATATTATTATATATCTTAAAAATACATTTTTTAGCAAATTATATTTGTAAAAAAATAGGTAGAAATCACAGTAATCTTTATTTCCCGTAAACGATATAGTCCCACCCCGATCTGGCAACTCTAAAAGTAGGCGCCCAATTCAAAGCCGCTCCAAAAGTGAAAAAAACGTTAGTTTTATTTTTCCTTTGCTGTACAACATTCATCTTATGAGAAATACTGGTTATTCGCTAATTTCATCGATCACGGGCACGTTTTGCAGTTCGGAGCACTTTCGTTTCCACAGGGCGAGTTGCTCCCTCAGAACTTTTTCCTTGGCGGCAGCACGGGTTAAAAGCACCTTAGCTTTCTGCAGGAGTTGCGTCTTCTTCACCAGCTGCTCCTTGATGAACTTGAGCTCCTCATTGGCAGCGTCCTGTTTAAGGTTTACATATTATAATAATGGAAAAATAAATCCTATTTTCAAATAGTACCAACCTTACTACGTCCACCGCATTGGCTGCACTTGGTTCGCTTTTGCAGCTCCTGCTGCAAGGCGCTAATCTTCTCCAGCAATTCTGCATTCTGCTGTTGCATTCGCGTCGCCTCTGGTGGAGTGGAATCCGTGGAGCTCCTAGACTCCGTGGAACGTCGACCATCCTTCAGGAACTTATTCTCCGATCGCAATTTCTCTACGAGATTTCGCAGCGACAGGATCGTCTGTTCCGCCGATTGACCCTGATTTGTGTTCACTTTCAGGCCACTGCACTTGCACAACTCGCGACGCGATTCATTGCGGGCCATCTCCTCTTTCAGGGCTAGGATATAGCTGAAAAAAATTGGATCTATAAGTCTCAGATTAAATTATAAAGGATATTTAAATTATAAATAAAAATAAATCTCAAAGAAAATAAGATTGTTGCTTATAAGGAGTTAATGTTAAATGAAATTCATATTATTCCTAAAGAATTCGCGTTTTACTTTCAGTTTTTAGTATGTCAACTTGGCTTGCGTTTGGGATTCATGGGCATTACTGTAATTTCCATTTCCCATAATTCCTAAAGAATTCGCGTTATTTTTGTAAGTTTAAATTTTAGAATGATATGTTCAATAAATCAAAAAATAATCATCGGTTGAAAAGGACAAATTATGAATTAATTAGTCAATAAATCAATAGTCCAAAAATGTTCCTAAAGAATTCGCGTTATTTTTGAAAATTTAGATTTTATATTAAAATTTTCCATATTTCTAAAAATAGGTTGAAATAGAAAAAGTAGTATATGTTAGGGAGTCCCAAAACCCAATCCCTACTCACTCCTCCAAGTGTTTGATCCTCTTCTGCAGCCGATCGCTGCTATCTCCCTGCCTCAAAAGATCCGAATCGAGTTGCAGCTGAAGATTCCTAGCCTCCAGTCGGATATTCTGGGCCTCGATGGCCTGACTTCTTTCCTGCAGCTTCTCCAACTCAGTAGTCAAAGCATTACTACCCCTGCCCTCCAGTTCCATGGCGATGATCTTGCGCTGTTGCAGTTCTATGCGGGATTTAAGGGCCTCTATGAGGTCGACCTGACTCTGATCGAAAATCTGGGTGCGATGATGGGCGGGAGAACTGCACTCGCTGCTGGGACCCGTGTAGGTTTCGGGACTCTCCGAAGGCGACGGGGTGAACTTATTGACGCCCACATGCTGGAGATTCGGACAGGATGGTGTGCGACAGCATTTGAGGGGATTTGAACCCGAACCCGAGCTGTTCGAAGGACCATTTCTTCCCAACTTGGACTCCATAATTTGCTTATCCTTCTCCAAACGGGCAATCGTGTTTCGAGCTGCCTGAAGAAGAGTTCTCGTTTTGTCCAATGCCAACTCGGTTTCCTCCAATCTCGCCTTGGTTTTCTCCGCCTGCTGTTGGTACCTCTTCTGCTTTTCCCACAACTGAACTTCATTGGCACTCCTCGTGCGTTTGGCCTCCAAAAGGGTCTGTTGTCTCTGCAGTTGACCACGTGCCTCATCCAAATCCGTTTCCAGCTGCTGGATTCTCTTCTGCTGATTCTCGTTCTTCACCCGGGCATTCAGTTCCGTCTTTATAGAGACCACCGGGCGTTTGAGCAACTGCTGGCGTAGCGATTGACTGAGATCCCTGGCTTGTTTCTCCCTTTGGGTTACATTGGTCAACTGGCGACGCAGTGCCTCCATTTGGGTGTGGTAGATCTTGTTGGTGGCTTCCGTGCGATTGAGATCGGCGGCCAGTTTGGCTATCTGGTCCTCCGAGAAGTTGGAAGTGTCTTTGATATAGCGCTGCTGGTCGTCCTAAGGGTTAGAAAATAATTTAACATAGAGAAAAATGAAGGAATAATAATACTTACATGGAAGTTCTTGAGGGTGTCCATCAGATCCTTGATATGCCTATCTTTCTCATCTAGAAAGACGCGTAACTGATCTAATTCTGGACTTGCATGGCTCTCGACGGATTTCTCACGCTCCTGGCAGAGTTTTAACCTGGTTAAAAAAGAAGGTATGTATTAAAAAGTATTATAAATAATAAATAAAGTTTTGGTTAATCCTAAAGAATTCGCGGTTTTTATTCAAAACATAGTTCTAGTTGATCCTGAAGAATTCGCGGTCTGTATATTATCTTCATTAAAACTCACTTTCTAGTTAATCCTAAAGAATTCGCGTTCTGTATGAACATATTCATTAAAACTCATTTTTCTTTTAAAAAATCTACTTCCTCTTTAAATTAATCCTAAAGAATTCGCGTTCTGTATTAAAATGTTCAATAAAACTCACTTTTCTTTTAGTATATCCACTTCCTCTTCTCTAGTCTTCAGGTTCTTTTCACTGTACTCCAGTTTGTCCTTCAGATCCTTGATTTGCTTGTGCAGCGTGGGCACTTCCTTGAGGTCTTCCGTATCCTGTTTTTCCTTCTCACCTTCCGGCTCTTGAGTTACTAAATCCTCTGTAGCCACCGCTTGAACTTCAACCTCTTCTGGTGGTCTCTCCACCGAACTGCTTTCAAATAGTTCCTCGATCTTCTCATCCGTCAACTCATTTACGGAGTTTTCAGAACTGGAACTGGAACTCGATTCCGATGAAGGGGTACGTTCCAAAACGGCCTTGGGTTTCTGTTCCAACTTCCCCTTGAGCTCCTGAATCTCCGCATCCTTGGTTTTGATATTGAAGTTTAGGTTATTCACTGTGGCCCTCAGGGATTCGTTTTCAGCTGCCTGTTTGCTGATGGCCTGCTGACTTTGATCCCGTTCTGTTTGGAGGAGATCCTGGTACTTCTGTATAGACTGATCCTTCTCGAGGAGTAGAGAGTGGAAGGAGAGAATGGTCTTCTCAACCACTCCACTGTGGGGACTCTCGGATTCACGACTCTCCGATCTGGAAGCCTCCAACTGCTTGCCAAGGACCTTAATGCGCTGATTGGCTTCCTGGAGGCTGTTAAGGATTAAGGTTTAATATTCATGATTATTTGTTAAAAAATTATCAAGAAAAAAATTTTTTTACAAAATTGGATGTCGGTTTTGCCCCACCCTTCATATTCCTCTTAATATTTTGTATATTTTATAAGATTGTTAAATTCTCATCATAATTATAATCATGGTATTATAAATAGTAAACTTTGATATCAAAATATAAAAACAATCTTATAATAAACTTTTATATCAAAATATAAAAACAATCTTATAATAATAATAATATACTAATAAAATATTTTTTAGTTCACTTACCTTTCTTGCATTTTCTGTAGCTCCTCTCGGGAATCCCTCCTGCTGTCCTCCACTTCCTCTGCTGTTTGAACAGATTGATTCTGCTGGCTGAGGATGCCGTTAGTTTGGACAGCCGTCTCTGATAGCTTTACTGGATCCTCCAGAGTTTGAGTGGCGCTATCCAAGTGAGGATGTTTTCGTAATGGAGATCCAATGGGTGAAGATTGCCTGTCTATCAGCTGGGCTGCCCTCCTCATGGCCGGAATAGGAGTAGTCACCGCATCCGTGTTGGTCTCCGCATCCACTTTGGTTTGGGTTTTTGGGACTCCTTCACCGAACAAAGCTTCAATGGTGCTCCAGTGCTCCGTATCTGTGGCCTGTCGTATCCTCAGTTCACCCAATTCCCTCAAGAGCTCCTCCTGTTTGGTCTGCAGAATTTCACAACGCTGTTCCAATAATCTCGTCTGGGTTTCAGACTTTATCAGCTTCACCAGCTGCTGGGAACTCTCCTCCTTGGGTGATATTTTCTCCTGAACTACTGCGGTTACTTCTTCAATCAAAGCAGAGTGATCTTCTTGGCCCCGCTGCACTTGCTCCTCCTCCAGGCGACGTTGGAACTTTTGGTAGGCGAACACAAAGTTGGTGAGGAAGACCAGTGGCGTAAATTTGGCATATTTGTCTTTTAGCATAAACAAAGAATGCTGGAGGAATCTGTAAAATATTTAATTTAATTTTAATTTAATTTAATAAGTTTAATTTTTACTTGTGCTTAATATCGCTATTGGTGCGCTCCTGCTGGAAGTCCTTTTGCGCTTCTTTCAAGGATAACTCGCTGGCCTCCAGTTGGGTTTGCAAAGAGTCCGTCTTTTGCTGCAGTTGCTCTCGCTCTGTTTCCAAGCGGGAGCACTCGGCTTTAACTGGAAAATACAGTGGAAAAATAAGTTTTTATTTTATAATAAACAAGATTTCGTGCCCCCTTTTTTTTTAGACACTGGGTACATATTTTGTAAACTCCTTTCTTAGTTTAAGTCTATAAATTATAATACAATTTTGGTTTTTTATTTCAGATTTTTAAGTCCAACCGTTTTTGTTTTGTCTTCAACCTTTAGAAAAAAGAAATGCAACTTTATAGTTATAGATTGTTATCTTAAACTCATGTATAAAGGAGTATGTTGTTTTGAGACGACCCTTTGACCTGTAATACTACTACTTATGTTGTGAAGAGGTTCTTGAAAAGATGTTGTCAGGATCGCACTTACCACTATCTAAATCCCTCTGCACCTTGGCCAGCATAAGTTTCTCATCGGAACTGCTTTGAAGATCGGCCACCAGATGACGCAGATTGATGTGGTTATCAGTGATCTCATTGAGTAGCTTTTGCTGGGAGTGAATCTAAAAAAAAAATTAATTTAAAGAGTTAGGATATCCATAAATAAGATATAATAGGGAGAATTTCCCACCTGTTCATTGGCCACTTGAAGCAGACCCTCTAATTGTTTGGTTTCCCTTTGAAGTTCCGCCTGTTTGCTCCGCCAATTAACCAATTCTTCCTGCTGCTTTTCAAAATCCTCGGCTGTGATGTAATCCACTTGATAGTTCTCCTTGATAATACCATATTCAGCACATATTTCCGAGGGTTTTAGCTCTTCCAGCATTTTTTCCACCGCTTGACCAAGTTGCATACTCAAATGGGCATTACGTTGCTCTAGTTTTTGCTGTTCCTCAGCGGTATATAAATTCCTGCGATTTACCTTCTCCAATTCTTCTTTACTATCCAGTAATTCTATCTTTTGGTTCTCTATTTTCCTGGCTAGTGAAGCCTTTTCCTCTATAAAGCTTAGTTCCCGTTTTCTGGTTTCCGTGAGCAGCTGATCATAATCCCTTTTCATATAGCTATAGGAATTTCCCTGCTTTTCCAACTGCAACTCCAAGGTGATCAGTTTATCATGAAGCTCTTGATTTTGGTTCATTAGTTCACTGCCATCGGCGGACATGTGAAGACGTAGTTCCTCGTAATGCTTGCGAAGAATGGAGAGTTCTGCGAGGGCCTCGTTTTTGGGTTCCGTTTCGGGATCTGGAATGATGGGTCTTTGCAAACCCTCCGTCGCCTCAGTGGGTGAACTTGGCCTGGTGGCGGTATTAACAACGGGATCCTCTTCTACTTGATTTTCCTCTGCAATCTCTGGAACATCACAGAGACTTTGCACTGAGGATAGTTCACCCGTTTCCGAATCGCTGTAGTTCTGCTGCTGGAGCAGTTGACGCAGTGCCTCCTCACGGGCTTTGAGTTCTAAAAGTTGACCCTGAAGCCTCTGAGGAGTGGCCGTTCCACTGGGAAGAGCTTCGATAAGACGACGCAAGAGATCGGAGTCTATGGTTATGTGTTCGGAGGTGGCTAAAATAATTTATTAAATAATTAAATTAAATATTTTTTTTAATATTTTAAGTTTAGAGAATTCACCATCATATTCCCTCAGCTTTTCCAGAATCTCATACATTCCAGATCGCAAAGTTTCATTTTCGGCCAGCACTTCATCATAGCGATTCTGCATCTCCGAACTCGCTGCTCCATCGCCTTGACCACGTCTTGGGGAATTTTCCAGGGGAGCACTAGGTGGTACCTCACCCACTTCGCTGGGCGCATGCAGGGATTCATTCAAGGGCTGTGGATTTTCCTGTTGAAGCTCCAGGAGCTTTCGCCTGAGAAAAAATAAGTAATCGGTAAGTTAAGGATAAAATTAATAAATAAATAAAAATAAAATACAAAAGAAAACAATAAAAAAGTCTTAAAATAAAAGTCTACTTTATATAATTATGGGCAAGCATTATCAAACATAATATATTTTAAAAAATATCTTTTAAAATATTGTAAAAATATGAAATCCCTTAAAAAAGTAATAATTTTAGATAATTCTAAAAAATTATATTTTAACAGGGATTTTGTAACATTTTTAATTGATAAAAAAATCTTAAAGAAAGTATATAAAATCTTTTAATGGATTCGGTATACGGTTACATATTTTTTGGAGATAAATGATCTCTGTAGTAAAATAACATTAAAACTATTTAAATTCAATTTGAATTTAATATTATTTCTAAAGTATAATATATCATACCTCAATTCACTTTTGTCCAACTTGAGCTGCAGACGAAGTTCCTCGGAAGTCCTCAGTTTAAGGGTCAGTCGCTCGATCTGCTTATCCTTATTCCGCTGCTTGGAATGCACATTTTTAGCCAGGATCACCACATCATCGGGGATGTTCAGTTGACGCCTCAGCAGCTCATTTTCCTGGACCACCTCATGGAGTGAATTTAATTCCTGGATGTAGCTCCGCAGCTGCTTATCACGTGCCGCCAGCTTTTGTTCCAATCCCGAGCAGCGTCGCAGCGCGGGAACCAAACCATCTTCGTCCCTTTTGTAGGACTCCAGGGCACTAAGGGCATGCAGGGCTTGTTTGGACTTCAAAACATTGTCCTGCTCGGCGGCCTCCAGCATTTCCGAGAGCTGCTGACTCCTGGCATTCGCCGCCCGGAGTCGCTCCTCGATCATCTGACAGCAGGCTCGCGGCTGCTCAGGATCCTGGGAACGCTCCTTTTCCAGGCACAACTGGTTCATCACCTTCGTGGAGCTGACCATCTCCTCCGCCATCGTTTTTAGTTTCGACTCAAGCTTCTCGATGCGCTGTTCACGGGATTCTAAAAGCTGTAAAGGAAATAAAAACAGAAAATTGAAATTTTTTCATTTTTACGATTTTTTAATAAATATTAATATTTTTTCCAATTAAAATTTATTTTTTTAAGTTTAAATATTTTTTCAATATCAAGAAATTTCTTAACCAAAATTGTTATATTTGTATAAAGATTTTAGATATGACCTTCAATTTTATTTAGGTTATAAATATGCATTTTTAATTTAAGGAAACTATAAACTAGGTTAAAATTGTATCCATAAAAATAAATTATTATAAATAAATTATAAATTAATATTTATTCCGAATTCTAATAATGTGTTTAAATACTCTTAAAATAATTGAAAAATAAGTAATATAATTGAAATCAATTTTTAAAAACATTAGACCGAACCAAAACACAAATTTATGATTATAAAATATCTAAAAATAGTTAAAATTCTACTAAAAAATCCTTCTTACATGTCTCAGTTTCACATGCTCCTCCTCCTGTTGACTCTGATTACTGGAAGAAATGGTCTGAACGGAGTGGATGCTCTTGCCCTCCAGTTGTTTCCTGAGACGTTCCACCTCTTTGTCCCGATCGTCGAGAGCCTGTCGCCATCCCAGCGACTTGGTCTCGTATTTGTCCAGGAACTGTCGCATTTCCAGCTCCTGCTTCTCGCGTTCCACCTCCAGAAAGGTGACATTTCCTTCTAGTCGACTGATCTCTAGGCCTTGCTGCTGCTCCTTTTGCTTCAAAGATTTGCGCTCCTGCTCTACTTTGGTGATATCCTGGCTTAGTTGCACCAAATTCGCCTTAATGTTCTGCAGTTCGCGTTCGTGGAGGACTATGGTCTTGGATTGGGCTATGTTCTGGTTTTGAAGGGTCTAAAAAGGAGAAATGAAGTATTTCTTATTTTAATTTTATATATTTTTTGGGAATTTTTTCCTTAAAAAAGTTATAAAAATTCCATAAAATTGGAAAGAAGCGGTAGAGTTAAATAAAAAAAACCGAAATTCGTTAGACTTAAGTTAAGTTAAAAAACAATTTTAAAAATTGTAAAAAAAAATTTTAATAAAATAATTTATGAATTTTCGAGTTTTTTAATATTGTTGACTCACCTCAATTTCTTTCAGTAGCCTTTTGATGTGCTTATTCTTGGAGTCGATGTTCTGGAGCAGCTGCTCCTGTTTGTCCAACTCGGACAAAGGATCCGATGAGTCCTTGTCGCTGGTCTCCGCCTGCTGGGCGGCCTCCCTCAAGCGCAGCTCCAATTGCCGAATTTCCTCCCCTAACTAAAGAAGATTTCGGGGTTACAAATAATTATTTTCACTATATTATATCATCCTTCTACCTCCTTTGATTTGCTTTTCAAGCCATCGCGTTCGTCCTCCAGTTTCTGCAGCATTCGCTTGAGCTTCTCGTTTTCGTCCTGCAGTCGCCGGTCGGAGGATAATCCTCCTGTAGTTCCAGTTCCTGCAGTTCCCACATCCTGCAGCCGCTGAACCTGCTCGCCCTTGTACTCCAAAACGGCCAAGGTGAGTTCCAGGGTTTTTCTCAAGGACTTTTTGGGCAACTCATCGATGGACTCGGCCAATTCAAGGAGCGTTTCGTAGAGCTCCTGCTTCTGGCGCGCCGAAAAGTCGCGGAACTTGCGCAGGGATACGGTTTCTGGTATGTCCATGCTCATCCTGGTGGCTCATGGCCTCGCTCCTCGGCGGTTACTCACGTTCTGAGTGAAAATATTCCCCGATTTTCCACACAAGCTCTCCTGCCTTTTCGGTTTTTTTATTCGTTGCCATGACAGTGGGGTCAAAACAAACTGGAAACCCGCTCAAGGGTTGCCCAGTCCGAAACGGAAACGAGGGTGCCGGTAGTGAGTGGTTCCTTTGTTTTTGCTGGCATTCTGTTTTGCTAGCTCCTTCGGCTGCGTAAAAACTTTCCTGACAGGATAATTGCCTCCCGGGCGGGCAAAGGATTCAGGTTCGGGAGATTGGGAAGAGTAGGAGCTCCTTGGACCCAACCCAAACCAACAAAAAACAAAAATGGCAATCGGTAACCAGGAAAGTGTTAATTGGCAAAGTGTCAAAGGCCGAGTCCTGAAATTGAAAAGCCATTTCGGTTTAGTGCGCCTTTTCCTGTTCCTTCGCCTGATTTTTGTTAACTTTACTCACACGGAAATAAATGATTACAAAAATATTTCGTTGTTGAATTTTTTTGAATTTAAATTTTATTTATTATATTTTATTATTTTTTGTTTTTAATAAGCCCTTTTTTTAAGAATAATTATAAATATTTGATTAAAATATTTGTATAATAACGGACTTTCTAAAAAAAATTGTTTTTTAAATTGTAGCAGTAATAAAATAAAATACCTTAAAATTATTTGTTAAATTTTTCTAAGATTGAGATTCTTATTAATTTAGCACTAAAGATTTTTGAGCGATTTTAAATTTTAATAATTTGATTTTTTAATATCTTTGAACAAATTTATTTTATAATATTAAATATTCTTTTATAAATTTTAAGATATAAATCATAAATAATATTTACGAATTTAGATTTTCTGTGTTCTCCATCTCCTGTCTTTGGAAACTTTACCAACTCCCTCTCCCGTTTCCAAACTCATCGAGTTGCCATCAACATTACGTTTGTCTACATGTGTAAGAATAATTGAAACTAATAACAAACGACTTCGGTTACCCTCCCATTTGTGGATTCGCCCTCTGTAAATGACAGCTGGGCCGAAAATTGAAATGATACTTCAAATGGCCAATTATCCGCGAAGCTTTTTGGCCATTTAAAAACCACCCGAATCGGGTGAGTTTAATGAACCCAAGCATGAACGCCCTTTAAAGTCATTTTTATATAAAATAATTTTAGCAATTAAATAAAAATAATAAAACTATACGCATTATTTTAAAAAATTAAAAATAAATAAAGAATTACATTTTAGAATAAAATCTCATCTGAATACCATTTTATTATTTATTTTCTTTTGAAGTATAAGACTAAGTTTTGTGTTATTAATAAATATTATATTACTTTCACATGTCTAATAAAATTGATTAAAATATTTTTAATACATTTTTAAACGCATCGTAGGCCTTTGTGACTTTTTGCATCCATTTGGAGCAGCATGAGTTCATAAGTGACCAGGGTGGCCAGCATCTGGGGAAGATAGGAAATAGTATGATGATAAAAACTCTAAGCTCGAACATGTACTTACTCCAAAGAGACTTTTCCTTGTCAAATAGTATAGACGATAACCAGATAATCCAACAAACTCGCTGGTCAGCTGATCGGCGAATCTCTGGACTTCCTGAGTCCAGTGACCACTGGGCACCAAATACAAGGATCTCAGGGGCAGAAGAGAGGCATCGTGTATTTTCGAGGCGGTCATAAAAACAAGGCTTGTCCTGGCCAGCAGGAAGATAAGCGAGTACCAGAAGTACACGTAGTTTATGGGAGATCGCAGCTTGCTAAATCGTTTTAAATAAAATTTCAAAATATTTATTAATGGAGTTTTGTTATTACTTAAATAAGTGTCTAAAAGTATGCAACGATTTATTTTCATTACTTACTTTTTATACCCCTAGAATTATAATCGATCACTTACGTAAAAATAGCTAGAGCCTGATTACAGATGACATAAACATTATTTGCACAGGATACGAAAACTATATTCGACATACTGGCATCCACCAAACTGGTCAACTCACAGAGGCGAATGTGATCCCGGCGGATATCGTACCACAGAGCATCGGGAACATGCTAAATAGAAAAGAAGATTACTTTAAAATATTTAAATAAATATTTTTGGTTATTTTACACGACCCTCCAAAGCGCCAACTCGATCGGCAAATTGCTGAAACCTCTGAGCCAATCCAATACTGGTAATCACTATGAAGATGTCCATAAAGTTCCACAAGAAGGTAAATGCTCCATTTAACCACTACAAAATAAGTCAAAACTGTAGAAAACATATATATTTTTATAATCACCTAAAGGTGCCAAAAAGTATGCAGCAAAAATTGAGTTCTTTTCATCATCGTTTACTTTTAGACACCTTCAGAATAATTTATAGTTCTTACAAATCCATAGCATACAGAGAATATGTTGTAGGGCAGCAGAAACATTATGTCCGAGAACTCTTTCTCCAAATAAAAATCAAAAGTAATCCGTGACAGGTTCATATGACATTGCGCAATGTGCATGCTGTAACTACAATATCCAGAGGCATAGTACAACATGTGATCCCCTAAAAATTAATATTTTCAAGAAAATTGTTTAACGGCAAGTACAAAAACTCACCCACTGCCAGAAAACCCACGATGAGTACAACTACGTTGATCTTCCAGCGAAGGCTCCGCTTGCAACGTTTATAGGGAGGAAATAGCATCAGGATATCCAAGGAGCTCCACGGCAACATTATGTGCGACCAGGAACGAGCGAAACCAACGAAATTTAGCCAATTGACAATGCCCACGATAAGGAAAACCAAGCCAACTATTATGTTTTTTAAGATTAAGATTAAGATATAAAATAAAAAATAAATATTAAATAAAATAAAATAAACTCATCTTCCCAACTCACCCATATTTTTGGCATTTAGTCCTGCTTTAAATAGAACATTTGCACCGATTAAGGTCTTGATTCCACCAAGTAGAAGAAAAATCCCTGTAATCCCCAGACCAATGCTCCTCACTTTGAACTTCACATCCTGGGGATCACGACTCAGGATATTTGATAAAGGCATAATGCCAAAGAACTGGGCCACACAAAGATCTGAAAGAATTAAAATCACATAAATAAGTGGAGTTTTCAATTTATTTTTAAAGCCATATTTGAGAGTTAATTTAATGAATTTTTAAAAATATACTGTAGCATACTTTTAAGCTCCTTTACAAGTTCTTTAAAATTCTTAGTGATTTCTGTGGAAACCCCACAAATATTCCCTGTTTACTTACATGGCCTGATGGCTCTATAGAAGGTATCCAGCTGCTCAAACTCCAATCCTCCCTGGGCACATTTCCATCGCATTCCCAAAATGGCCTTCTGTTTTTGGCGTCGCACCTTCAGTTGCTTCAGGATGTTATCCGAAGTCTTCGACATGCTGCTCGAGTCTGACCTCTAGTAATCCCCATTTTACTTGGACGTGTCTCATAATTGTTGTTTACCTCGTATAGTCAGCTTAGTCCAAAACCCCTAATTAGTGGCATTTCAGTGGACACCACACATACCATTGTGGGGCTTTCGGAGCTCAACTCCGCCCTTGAAAAGCTTTGCACCTATTTAAATTTCGTGTCAGTGCAAAAAATTCGGTCGTCATGAGAGGACCTACTCGGACTTTTTTTATAAAGTAATCCCAGAACAGGAAATAAAAATTGAGGAATACAGTCCTGAATTAAATATTTGTATCCTGCAATTGAAAAAGTTTGAGTTTTGATATGACTTTTAAAGGTTCCTAAAAGTAGGCGGTAAAAACAGAACATCCTCTTTTGGAATAAATCAAAATATATTTTTTTTTTTTTGAGTATTTTGAAAACCGTACTGAAATTTCAAATTGAAAATATTTTTAAAATACAATTATTTGAAAAAAAAAATATTTTTTTAATATTATTCAATCTAGTTAAAAATATTGTAGAAATATTTTTACTAAACCGTTAAACATCGATTAAAATTCCCTTTTTCCTTATATCGATATATAAACAATATAATAAATCTGGCAACTCAGAATGTAAACAAAATAGTAAACAAATAAGCGCTCTATGGATTCTGAGTATTTAGAGCTGTTGAAACTGCTTCCCCGTTGGGTGGATATAGAGAATGTGATCCAGAATGAAGTCGAGGCACGCTATATACTCAAAAGAGCCACGGATTACATGGAGAACTTCGCATCTAGAGGGGATTTCGAGGAAGAGGAGATCAGATACCTTATATGTGCACTTGTGGACAGAAACTGGGAACGCATACACACGGGTCACTTTAGCAGGGTTCCTCTGATTACCAGGAAGATATATGCCATAGGTTGTTACTTTAAGGTAGTGCTTATATATTACCTAATATATCCTAATTAATAATAAATTTCCTAGATTTTTTTCCTGCTCCTGGAGAGCGCGAGTCCTTCCCAAAAAGAACTATGCAGTGGAACCCTGGATGAGGCTCAACTACTGGGTTACATGGATGACTATGGTGAACTGAAAGCCGCCTTGATGTATTACCTGGATAAGGGAAGACCAGAGGATTCCGAAACCCTGCCCATTTTGGAGCCATTAAAACGAATATCCTGCACCTGTGATATACAGCAACTCTAGAAGCTCCCAGTTTAAAAGAATTCCAAACCAAATGCTTTCAGGCAGGACAACCTGCACTCCTGCTAAACACCATCCAACATTGGCCAGCTTTGGACAAGTGGCTAGATCTCAATTACCTTCTCCAAGTGGCCGGGAATCGCACGGTGCCCATCGAAATAGGTTCCAACTATGCCAGCGATGAGTGGTCACAGCAGCTGGTGAAGATCCGCGACTTCTTAAGAAGGCAATTTGGAAGGAATAATAGTAAGGACATTGAGTACCTCGCCCAGCACGAACTCTTCTCGCAGATTCCAGCTCTCAAAGGAGACATCTGCATTCCCGACTACTGTTCCATTAGCAAAGATGATTCCCCGGGAGCTGTGGACATAAAAGCCTGGCTGGGACCAGCTGGAACCATTTCACCCATGCACTACGATCCCAAGCATAATTTACTGTGTCAGGTTTTCGGTTCTAAAAGGATTATATTGGCTTCTCCCAAAGATACCGAGAAACTTTATCCCCACGAAAGCGAGTTCTTAGGAAATACCTCACAAATAGATGCCTCTAAACTTGATTTGGAAACATATCCTCTAGTGGAAAAGGTAAAGTTCTATGAGTTACTCCTTCAACCTAGTGACTGTTTGTACATGCCCCCAAAATGGTGGCACTATGTGAGATCTGAGGCACCTAGCTTTTCTGTAAGCTTCTGGTGGGAGTAGTAATTTAATACATTTTTATAAGAACTGTTTGTGATTAAAGTTTTGAAAAAATAAAAACTATTAATAAGTCGTTTAACCAAAGAAATAATACATTTTTAAATATATTAGCTCAGCTATAGCTATTAAAACAGATTAAATTTGTAAGTAAATCATTCCAAAGGGTTTACTAAATAATATTTTAAGGCGTTGCATTTTTAGCCCCTAACTTTAATCAAAATTAAAGCGTTTGAGTGCTTTGTTTGTTTTCCATATCAAAACCCTATGACAAAGTCTACAAATTAGCATATACCAAAGCGCTTTAGAAAGTCCTAGATAATGCTTGAACCCATGTAATACCCAAAGGTGATTCCTAATAATTCTTATAGTTTCACATAATTTAATTTAATTTCTTGGTAATTATCAACGAATCAAGTGAAATATTGCAATGTGAATCCCTTAATATAATTCTTGCGATTATATTTCGGATCGACGATTGACCGGCAGCTCAGCAAACACAGATTTGTAAACAGGTTGCCGACTGACGTCATTCGTACTGATACAAATCAGCCATGATGTGGACTATCCGCCGAATAATGACTCATCGAATCAATCGATTCGAAACTGGAGGAGTACTTTATGGTTGTTCTTTTAATAGCCACGACGCTTTTTCGGTTGTGTTACTGTGGCAAACAAAACTTAACACATACGAATTAAATACAAAGAATTTCAGGCAAAACGAACGCAAATTGGGAGACATTATCAATAAGCCCCACTATCGTTATCAATGGGTATTAATAGTAGGTTTGTGTGTGCATGAGGATTAACATTGAGATGTGTGTGCTTTTTATCGATTTGAAATCGTTTATAATCTTTTTAAATGTGCCTGCTTTAGCTGCCCCACCGCCATGTTTATAAGTCTTATCGTTATTTAAATGTTGGACTCGGTTCCACAGGGAGTTTGAGCTTAATCATCCTTGCTTCCGGCTCCGCCGATGGTGATCTGCTTCTGCAGCTTGCTGTACTCCTCGGTGAGTCGGTCGTACTCGCGGTTGAGGCTCTCGGCCTGCGACTTGACCGCCTCCTTGTCCTTCTTCTCGCGGTTCAGGTCGCTGGTGAGCTCCTGGACGCGTTCGCGCAACTTGTTGAGCTGCAAAATTCGGATTTCGTTTGAGTTTCGTTGGGGTTCGTGTGTTTTTTTTGGGGAATGGTTATGAGGTGGGGAGTCTGGATAGGGGATACTTAGGACACTCGGGCGGTGAGTCCTTGCACACGTCTCCGCAGTCTTGACAGCTGTTTAAAGAGTTAACAAATGGGTTTTTACTTTCGAGTGGTGGCTTTTGGTTTTGCGAAGGCCCAACTTTTGTGTGTGGGTGTGGTTTTTAGAACTTTTTAGCTGCGGTCAAAACAAAAGCAGTAATCCTATGACGGGGTTTTTTCTTGAAAATTAGATTTTTGTTTAAGTTTATGATAAGATCAAAGAAAATTTAATATAAATCATTTTTTTCCCAGTAATATTTTAAGACTCTTGGATCAAAAATGATTAATGTAAGATTGAGATTTTAAGATCTTAACATATGAAATATAGAAAATTAACTAAAAATGATTATAATTTAGATCAATAAATAAAATATCCAAGGTTTTATGATAGGTCCATCTAGAACTTCAAAGATCTATAATATTATTATGTATATCTTGGCTTTTAGCGTGGTATCTAATATGATCCTATCATATGAAATAAAGAAAATTGACTAGAAATGATTATAATTTAGATCAATAAATAAAATATTCATGGTTTTATGATAGACCCATCTAGATCTTCATAGTTATATGATAATACCATGGATTTTTTGGCTTTTAAAATGGTATCTAATATGATCCTATCATATAAATTATATAAAAATGACTAGAAATTATTATAATTTAGATTAATAGATATAATGACCATGGTTTTATGATAGATCCTTCTAGATCTTCATAGTTATATGATAATACCATGGATATTTTTCATACTTTCTCCCTAAAATCAATAAGATCACCCTCTATTTTGACCACACCTTTCTATATGCATTGCCATATCTTTACAGCTGGTAGTAGCCAATTGAACTCCAAAGTCTTAGGTGTTAGCTCTCTAGACATGCCATTCCTGGGGATCTGGGGATGCGGATGGTGGTACGGATGACTCACCTCGATCAAAGTGGTGTCCTCGCCAGCCTCCTTGGCCTTCTCCGTCTTCTTGTCCTCCATCAGGGAACGAGCGGCTGCGGTGGCACTCTGTGCCTGCTTCATGGAGGCCTCGCTTTGGGCCAGCAGATTCGCCTGGGCGGAGACCAAGCTGACCAGCCGGCGGATGACCAAAACCAGGAAGATGGCAAATCCGGAGATGTAGAAATTCCTCTGCGCCCGGAACAACTTCATGCTGTGCTGCATCTCCACGTTGAGGTGAACCTCGCCAATCTGCTCGAAGCTGGAGTACTTCCTCATCTCGCGAATCGCCTCCAGGAGGAACAAAACCAGGAGTCCCATGATCAGGAAAAAGTATATGTGCGCCTGTTGGCCCAACATCGTTAGGAATTTCGACTTGAAGAGACGGTTCCATTTGTAGGCACTGATTACTGGGAGAACCAGCAAAAGGACCAGGGCGATTTCCGCATAGAGAAATCCAGCGATCAAAGTCCAAACCAAACTCATTTTTAATGTTTAATTAATTCCCGTTTTTTGATTTTCACTTTTTTTCGTTTCGTCTGCAAGTAAAAATGCGTCCAAATTAGCTGGTTATTCTACGGATTCCGGAGGGTCGGTCGATCTTGGGGCTGTTCTATTTTTAAACTACGGCCGGAGTGGCTGGTGCTTACTTTAAATAGCAATAATTAAATCGCTGCCGTGATGAAATATGCGAATATTTTATGTAGTCACTGCGCCGGCCACGTCAACTCTGTTTTTTTTGTGTACAAACGGGGCTGCCAATTCGGGTTTGGTAATTAACTCAAGATAAAGTAGCCAGAAAAGTAGCTAAATGAATAAATTAAATTAAATAAATATATTTAATTTTGTAACTTAAAATAAACGAGGAAGTAATATCAAGAAAATGTCCTGAAAATTGAAAGAAGGATAATTAACTAACCGTAAAGAAACAATTTTCTAACTAATAAGAATCACACTAAATGAGCAATAAAACACAATCATCATTAAATGTTGATCAAATTTTTGACTATGGTTTGGTATCCATAATTTCTAGTATAATTTTTATAGAGACTTTAATGCAATAAAGCTTAATACAATTTTTAACAAATCAATAAAAATATATTTTAATAAATTTACATTTATTTTTTTAGACTTTTTAATGGAAAAATAGGATAATTATTAATTTAAATTGTGATTTGTTTTATATGACTAAATTTTCGTTTTCCCAAAAGCCTTAAATATGTATACTTCTGAATTATATTTTAAAATTGTTTTATTCAGTTAGTTAAAAGAGAAATTCTGCCGCAAAATGTGTTAAATATATTAATTATCAATTTATGTTTTTGTCATAAATTCTATAATGTAATTTTTTTTAATTAAATAACTTTTTTTTAATTATAAAATAGCTAAATTAAACGACAAACGCTTGTTTTAAATAATCCCACGCGTTGGCAGCCCTGTTTGCGATGTAAACAAACTGACAGCTGGGTTGCCAGGTTGCCAGCGAAATGTGCTTTTCAACAAATTTCCAACTTTGCGCCATCGATCAAATTTTCTCCGCCCCTCCACTGGGTTATTAAATTCAATTCCCCCAATATAAGATACTCAATCCCCCGAGATGTCCTACCAGAACTGGCTGAACTACCTGCAATCGGCGGAGAAGAACTCGATGATCAGCGGTCGCGCACGCAAGGTGCTCTATAAATTCCCGGATGGCCGGCAAATGGCCGAGGAATACAACATGGAGACGGGAATTGTGCAGCGGAGGGCCTGGAAATCCAAGAGCAACAAGATAATGGGCGAATCCGAGTGGGAAATCGAGCTGGGCGAGGAGCCGCGTCAGCTGAATTGGCAGGGCAACAAATCCCAGGGATCTGGCGAGGATGCGGACTCCATTTCTGGCGGGGATTTCACCCTGCGCGAGAGCAATTCGGCTCCTTTGCTAACCAAAAGGATCACCAAGAAGAACATCGAGTGGCGCATCCGCAACATGCCCTACCCTTTGAATATCTATAATATAACCGCCGATCCCGAAAAGCGGGCCATCATAGTGCGCACCTCGAACAAGAAGTACTACAAGGTCATCCCCGTTCCGGATTTGGATCGCTGTGGGGTGAAGCCATCGCAGGAAAGCCTCTCCGTGCATCACCAGTTTAATACGCTGATTATCACCTACCAAAAGCCAGCCATTCTGTGCGAAATGGAGGCCCAGGTCCTGCTGCTACTCAAAAATGTCGAAACCGAAACGGACATGGACGACCTGCTAAAGGGTCTGATGGGGAAATAAATGACCTAGATTGTAGTACAAACTAATGGTGTTTTACTGTGATTTTTAAGATGGTTCTGGGGATTAAATTTCTAGATTTAAGGAGGATTTTGGGCGATTTGTAGATGACCTAAATAAATATTATAATCATGGACCGTAATCATTATAAGTGATATAATAAAAATCAATATTTAATGATTATTATTATGTCAATATTATTTGAGCAATATTTTGATAAAAAAAATTACGGTCAAAAAATAATATTCACATAATTTTTTCGTTCACAATAATAATAATTATTTGTTGGGCATTGAACAAAAACTCAATAAATAATTATTAAAATTGAGTAAAATGTATAAAAATCAAGAAGTGAAAAATCATTGCGGATATAGATAGAGCATACAAATAGTTGCTGAATGGTATAATTCGTTTGTTTATACGGCTTTTCCAATATTATAATAGATTTTTAAAGGAAATAACATAACATTTAATATATTTAAATATTTATTTGCACACTTTTGATTATCATTATATTGCAATACATTTACTTTAAGTTTATCTAAATTCCCTTTAATTTATTTTGTAGTATTATAAAATTTTTTTCCTCATAAAATCGTAACTAGAAAGTAATTTTTGTGACATTTTAAAGCAACTTTTAATTTTTAAAAAAAATCTAGAACATGTAAACTTAAGAATAGAGCCCTACTTCAAGGCTTACTTTAATTTGGACTCAAGGGGCGTTGTATAATAAAGAGATCTCCCGATGTTTAACGAACTGAATAACCCAAAAACATCAATCCTAACTACTATTTCTGGAAACTCTCGGCCATGCCGGCATAACTGGCCAGTGAAGGAGCCGATGAGCTGGTGAACAGACTGTAATCAAAGGAGGGCAACTCCAAGGGAGCCAGCGAGGGCAAATCCAAATCTCCACTGCCCGTCACCCGATGGTCATAGGCATCTAGTTCCTCCTCCTCCTTGGAAGGATCGCTCTTCTTCAGCGTCTCCATTTGGGGCTCCGAATTGGCCAAGGAATTTGGAGCCTTTACCACCAAAGAGGAGGTGAACTTGGCATCGAAATCCTGGACTGTTTTGTCGATTGCCTTGGCCACCGATTGCGCAGATCCCCCGGAGCCACTTGCTCCATTTTCTGGCCTCAAAGGCAACATGGGACTGGTTTCTTTTAGGGGAGCAAAATCCTTTAACTTATTCAAGCCATGCTGGGTTTTCCGCATCTCAATTTGTCGCAGTTTTCGCTGAAAATCCAGGGTTAAAGTGTCCAGAACTTCTTTGGATTTGGGCAGAGCCACCCTTTTCTGGGCATCCTGCATGTAAATTAGCGAGGTTTCCAGGGCTTTTATAGCCTCCTCATAGCGATGATTGCGTATAAAACGCTCTGATCTTCGCTCATGGAAATGGGCCTGTTATTATATAAAATAATTCATTTTTTAATTGGGTTTAAACGATATTTTTCATTCTTACCAAATTGAGGGGTGCACAGTCCATGTTTATGGCGGTTTTCTCGCTTTGATTTCAGTTTAAATGTATTTCCTTGTGTAACTTAAACTCCTAGGTGGCCAAATTTCATTAAATTTATTTCCAACTAAGCTGTCTTTTATTTTTAAACGTATAAAATACTTGTTCTTTTACAAGAACGCAATTTCCCCGAATTTCTCTTTTGTTTACATATGTTTTCTGCCTCATATGTGGCAACTCTACCAGCAGAATTATCGATAGTTTAAATTTATCGCTTGGTAATCCTGGAAAACTATCAAATTCAAATGTGCATTTTCATTTTTGATAAGGTTTTTAATATTTTAAAACTTAATTTAACAAATATTTTCATAGGTTAATTTTTTCAAAAAAAAAATCACATAAAATATATTTAAATAGTTAACACTTGTGTTCTTAAAGAGGTCTTCCTGTGGCCTGTTTACCCTCAGTAAGAGCAACGGAAGCATGGACAAAAACAGGCACATTGATACCCTGTAATTGACGAAAAATAAGAAATAAATTAAATAAATATTACTTGATAATAACCCAGACCTACCTGCATTTTAGCTGATCTTACGAAAGCCTTATTAGAAGTCACGGTGAAAATTTGCCTGGCCATGCCGAAACTAAAGATTTTCAGACTTCGCTCGTTCACATTGGCAGTGAACCGTATGTGGGAGAATTCCTCGGGTATTTCCTCCACATCCGGATAAATGGTGACCCTCTTCATCAGTTCCTCGGCTCGTTTTCGCTCGCCTTCGCCGCCGACAATGTCCAAAATGCTTTCGAAGGCATCGTAGGCCAGTTGGCAGCACACCAAGGTTTTTCCCTCAAGGATTTTCTCCAGCAGCGGTTTTAGAGGTGAGGCTCTTTCCCTTTCGGCTTGTTCGGTGAGCAGGGGTTCCTTGTAGACCCAATTCGCAGAGCCATTGGTCAGGGCACTCACATAGGCTAGTAAAGTAGTCACATCCAGGTTCAATTCATTCGAGGTGGTGTTATATTGATCCACATCAATATCGGGAGAGTCCAAGGAAGCCGTTTGTACGCCCATTTCGAGGAGCTCTTCATGCAGTGAGTCCTCGATTTTGTTGGAGAAGTAAAATACTATCTGAAAAAGGGAATCATAACCTTTAAAAATGGTTTTCTGGGTAAGAAACTTATACAGGTGTCTAAAAGTATGCAATAAAAATAATTTTTATGAGAAATCCAACAGATTTCCTGATTTAAAATATTATGTTGCATACTTTTAGACACCTTTAGACGAGATTTCATATAATATTCTACCTTGGGTCTCTGAAACATGCAGAAACTCAGTTCGCTGGCCTCCAGATAATCCTCCGCCTGATCCAAAACACTTCGGGCTCCGATGCTCACACATCCCCTGGCGGCATCCTCCACGGATTTCGAATTCCTGGCTATCACCTTCACCCACTTGAGACCATTATTGGCCACTATATCAACCCTTAGAGGATTATCCCTGGATTCCAGGCGGAATACGGCATTAATATCCGTAACTCCTTGTTGCAAACGCAGAGTTTTTATCAGGAAATCATAGTAAACAAAGTTACTACTGGTGATGTGGTGTTCCTTCACGGATTTTGTGGTAATCACCTGAAAGAAAAACCTGTTGAATAGTGGAATATTCTAGAAATGTTCAAAAAACAAACCTTATTTAGAAACTTTAGTTCCTGCTGAATTTTTCTCTGCACTTTGCTGACTCCCGGAAGATCCTCAAATTCTATTAGCGACTTTTTCAGTTCCTCGCCCAACTTAACTTTTTGTGGGCCTCTTCGTAAAGCTTTTCCTGTATCTCTTTCTCCTCCATTTTAAAAATTGGTAGTAATATTTACAAAATTCACGAAATAATTGTTTTTAACTGTCAGCTGATTTAGTAAACAAAGATGGCTGCACAGTTGACGATGTGGCAGCACTGGCTGTGTTCAAATTGAACTATCGATAGGCTGTTGTCTCGCCATAAGGGATATTCTTTTATATTTAAAATTTTTTAAATCATGAAAATATGGAGATTTTTTAATTAATCAGCCTTCCAAAAGTTTTTAAATGGCAATTATCAGTGAAAGGAAATCGTTAACAGTGGAGTGAAAACCTAAAACTAAAGTGTAACTATCGATAGTTACACTTTCACAATTCATCGATTCGTTTTTTCAGCCTGACCGTTTGGAATAAAGATGGTAAAATAAATATTTTTCTAAAAGGCCCCACTAATTTTCATCTTTATCTTTTTTTCCACTACATATATTCTTTTACTTTTTTTCGGCGAACGGAGCAGATGTGAAAAATGGAGTCGTCTGAGTAATAAGTAAAACTAAATCCAAAGACATCGCTGGTGAAATGTGCTAAATCACCCATTTAACCGGCAGAAGGTAAACAAATACGCTCGAATATAACTATATTTCGAATTATTTAAGCATTTATGCACGAAGTATCTCCAGAAATCAGAAATGTCTGTGCTTTGGTCGCATTTGAAGCGTGCTAAACTAAAAAACAAAATGCTGCTTACTAGCATCGTTAGGCGACACGACTACCCATACTGTGGCCATGGTTTTCAAAGTAGTACAAAATAAATATCTAAATAGGTGATCTTTTTGAGACTTTTGTCGGCAACTGTACCTAACCTCAACTGTACTTTATTTTCTGCAGTTCTGGACAAAAAGTGAGAAAAGTATAGAGCTGCATCATGTATCTGTACAATTTGACCCTGCAAAAGGGCACGGGAGTGACCCACGCGGTCCATGGAAACTTCTCCGGCGGCAAACAGCAGGAGATTCTCCTGTCACGTGGCAAATCGCTGGAGCTACTGCGTCCGGATTCGAACACCGGCAAGGTGCACACCCTCCTCTCCACGGAGATCTTCGGCTGCATTCGGGCTTTGATGGCCTTTCGACTGACGGGCGGAACCAAAGGTGAGATCATATTACCTTATATCATATTACTTGGGAGAAACTTTTGGTTAAAATGTTATATACAGCCAGTTTTATAATAGAGGTCAACTGATTAAGTGCTTAAGATTAGTTACTATCTCAAAAACCTTAGCTATCAGCAATATTTTATCAGTTCTAATAGTAAAATGTATTTTTATGTTTTATAATCATGATGGTAACGTATTATTTTTTGAGACTTTCTTTAGTTACAAAGACAAAATGCAACACTTATCCTTGAATAAAAAAACTATTTAATTAAGATTTTCATGTTTAGAAACTCTATAAACAAGGTTTTCATCTTAGAAAATAAATTTTGAATACATTCTAATCCAATAAATTATTCAAATTTTCATATTGTATCCGTAAATCCTAATAGTGAAGATTAACCAATTCAAGACCCACGTGTATCTTGAATGGGGCCCATTACAATACGCCATTTTGAAATGAGAGCTGGTATTCTTAATGGTCTTCCCTAAGAGACCAAAAAATTCCATAAAACCACGTGGGGTATTAAAAAAGTATTTATTAATACCAAACATATTTTATTTTTAGATAAACCTGGTATTTACCTTATAGAATCCGATACTTATTTATAACTAAAGAACACCCAAAAGTTTCTCCCAGATAATATAATACTACTTTTAAGACCTTTTCGAGCCGCACAAATCCCTATTGAGGCAACACTTACTAGTTGACCCCAGTAAGACCTTTAAAACGTGTCTAAGTGCGAGAAAAACCGAAAGACTTGGCGTCGCATTTGCCATAAACCAACTCAACGGAATGGCGAATTGAAACTTCGAGTTACACTATTAAATCTATCTCCTAAATATGAATAAAAATTAAATACCAGTCTCTAATATTTAAAATTTCCTTTAATTTTCCAGACTACATAGTTGCTGGTTCAGACTCCGGTCGCATTGTGATCCTCGAGTATATTCCATCCAAAAATGCTCTGGAAAAGGTTCACCAGGAGACCTTTGGAAAGTCGGGATGTCGGCGGATTGTCCCTGGGCAATATTTCGCCATCGATCCCAAGGGAAGAGCCGTGATGATTGGCGCCGTGGAGAAGCAAAAGTTGGCCTACATCATGAATCGGGACACACAGGCCCGTCTGACGATCTCTTCTCCGCTGGAGGCCCACAAATCGAATACCCTGACCTATCACATGGTGGGCGTGGATGTGGGCTTCGATAATCCCATGTTTGCCTGCCTGGAGATCGACTACGAGGAGGCCGACATGGATCCATCGGGTAGGCATTGATTCTTTGTAGGATTTAGGTTCAAAGGGAGGCGCTTTAATTCACAGGTTTAGTGGATCACCCACCACGAACACTGATTGTACTTAGTGCCAGATAAATCGCGATCACTGAACCATTGGTGTTGCTGTAATTGCCTAGCCACACTTCACTGATTTGTGACCCACACTCAAAAAAAACTAGGAAAATATGATTTTTATAGTCAAAAATAGTTTTTAGATCCTGTAATTAAGGTTTTACCAAGGGAATTTTATTGTATTTCGTGTAAATTCTTATTCTTTGATTCCAAAAACATGATCTTTGTACTAGAAGACCTTTATTCGATATGAAAAATTGACATGTAAGCTTAGAACTAACCATTGTCTAACCATTATTCCACTGATTTGTGTCCCGCACTCCAAAAAAACAGAAAAATATGATTTTTGTAGCCAAAAATGATTAGGAAATTCTGTATTTGAGTTGTTAACAAAGGAATTCTTTTAAGAAAAACTTATTTTTCATAATTTAAAATTCTCTTTGATTGTATAAACAAGATACTAGGAAAACCTTTGTTTTAGGTATTTCAGTTTTTAACAATAGAATTACTTTTTAAAAATTATATTCTTCATAATTTAAAGATCTCTTTGCTCTTATAAACATGATCTTTTACTAGAAAACCCTTTGTTTTATATGAAAAATTGATCTGTAAGCTTTGAATTAATCATGATTTTTCCCATTTATTCCAGGTGACGCCGCCCAGCGCACTCAGCAAACCCTCACCTTCTACGAGTTGGATCTCGGCCTGAACCACGTGGTTCGCAAATACTCGGAGCCCCTGGAGGAGCACGCCAATTTCCTGGTTTCCGTGCCCGGCGGCAACGATGGTCCTTCGGGCGTGCTAATCTGCTCGGAGAACTATCTGACCTACAAGAATCTCGGCGATCAGCATGACATTCGTTGTCCCATTCCGCGCAGGCGAAACGATCTGGATGATCCCGAACGCGGCATGATCTTCATCTGCTCGGCCACTCATCGCACCAAGAGCATGTACTTCTTTTTGCTGCAAACCGAGCAGGGAGACATCTTCAAGATCACGCTGGAAACGGACGATGATGTGGTCTCCGAGATCAAGCTGAAGTACTTCGATACAGTGCCGCCGGCCACGGCTATGTGTGTGCTGAAGACGGGCTTCCTGTTCGTGGCCAGCGAGTTTGGCAACCAGTAAGTATTTATAAGTTTTTAATGGGTTAAATATATTGGTTAGGAATTTTTAAAAATATTAATTGAATTTAAACAAAAACAAATAGTCAAAAAATCCAAATTTAAGACATTTTTTGCTGAAATAATTAAAATTTTTAATGTACAAAAACCCTAATTAAGAATTTAAAAAATGAATTTAAATTGAGATTATCAAAGAGAATTACTTAAAATGAATAGTTTTCCCACAATTGTATTCTAATTCGGGTATTTTTCCACAAAAAATTTAATTTAAAATAGTTTTCTTTTAATATAAATGTTTTCTATCAAAGTGAAACTACAAATTTTGAATGGTTGTATTTCACGTCTAATATTTTTCACGAAAAAAATATTTAGTGGTAATTTTAAATAGTTTTATTGCTCTGATGACAGAAACACGAAAAGAACAATCATGTTGAGACACTATGTGTCCTGCAGTGCTGAGCTTTAAAAATCAATTATACTCTTATTTATTTTTCTGGAAAAATACTAATTAAATCCCTTCTTTTCTTTATAGCTACCTCTATCAAATTGCCCACCTGGGTGACGATGATGACGAGCCGGAGTTCAGTTCCGCGATGCCTTTGGAGGAGGGTGAAACCTTCTTCTTTGCGCCACGTGCCCTGAAGAATCTGGTTCTGGTCGACGAACTGCCCTCGTTTGCACCGATCATCACCTCGCAGGTGGCCGATCTGGCCAATGAGGATACCCCTCAATTGTATGTCCTTTGTGGTCGAGGACCTCGCTCCACTTTGCGAGTCCTTCGTCATGGTCTTGAGGTATCTGAAATGGCCGTTTCCGAGCTGCCCGGTAATCCCAATGCGGTTTGGACTGTGAAAAAACGAGCTGATGGTGAGTTTCGCCTAATGAAAATCACAAAATACTAAGCTAAGATTAGGCTAAGATTGAAACGTGGCTAATAACTCAACTGGTGCATTGATACAGATCGAGATATAGATTACACCTAGCCTTACACACGATTCCAAACAAGTCCCACAAGTTATCAACCACCAGTTCTCTCTTATTTCAGGCGCTTAAACACAGACGTCAATATGTGTGAACTATCGAAAAAGACAAGCGATTAATGAGAGCTTTCTCTCGTTTGCTAAAAATTTAAATTGTCTTTTGTGAAGCGATAGGTAAGGCAACATTTACTGCAGCTCATAAGAAAAACAGATACTACTACTACTACTTAAAAAACAGAAAATACAAAGCGATATATTTAAGCCATTTCGGACATTGAACATGATGCGATATTTATCAACCGTGTTTCAGCTGAATTATCCATTGATTACAACTTGATAAACTGATTATTCAATGTCTTAATATGATAGGCAAATCCTTTTTGCTTTTTTGGATTTCTTTTCCAAGTACTCACCATCAAAGTTTTGCTTTTGCTCCCCTACTTTTAGACGAGTTTGATGCCTACATCATCGTATCCTTCGTGAACGCCACTCTGGTCTTGAGCATTGGCGAGACCGTTGAGGAAGTGACGGACAGCGGTTTCCTGGGCACCACGCCCACCCTCTGCTGCGCCGCCCTGGGCGACGATGCCCTGGTTCAGGTCTATCCCGATGGCATTCGGCACATTCGATCCGATAAGCGAGTGAACGAGTGGAAGGCGCCGGGCAAGAAGTCGATCACCAAGTGTGCCGTCAATCAGCGCCAGGTGGTCATCACCTTGTCGGGCAGGGAGTTGGTCTACTTCGAGATGGATCCGGTGAGCATTCTAGATTAGCTTTCAAGAGTTTTGAATTAGGGCTTCTAAAAAATATCGAAAATATCGATATTTCTTGATATTTAAATAGAGTTATCCCTTGAAAACGTCAATATTATCGTATCGATATTTATTGGTTTTTAAATTAATCTTAAAATATAGATATTTTGATAATGATGTAGCTTCCCTTGAAATTATCAATATTATTGAATATACCGATATTTAAAAAAAGTTTTCTCTCAAAATCATCGATATTATCGAAAACATAGATATTTGAAAACAGATTTTATCGAATCGATTTTAAGAATATATCGAAAGTATCGATAACTTGCTCTGATGACAAAAACACGAAAAGAACAATCATGTTGAGACACTATGTGTCCTGCAGTGCTGAGCCTTAAAAATCTATCAAATTATTATCTCTTCCTTAAGATATATTAAACTAATTAATGATATTTTAATCCTTGCAGACTGGCGAGCTGAACGAGTACACGGAACGCTCTGAAATGCCTGCTGAGATCATGTGCATGGCCTTGGGAACTGTGCCCGAGGGCGAGCAGCGATCCTGGTTCTTGGCCGTTGGTCTGGCGGATAATACTGTGCGTATTTTATCCCTGGATCCCAACAACTGCCTGACTCCCTGCTCCATGCAAGCGCTGCCCTCGCCAGCCGAATCCCTTTGCCTGGTCGAAATGGGTCACACGGAGAGCACGACTCAGGGAGCCTTGGATGATGATGCTCCCGCCCAGCGAAGTGGCAGCAATAAGGGAACCATTTACCTAAATATTGGATTGAGTAATGGTGTTCTCTTGAGAACGGTTCTGGATCCAGTTTCTGGAGATTTGGCGGATACTAGAACCAGATACCTGGGTTCCCGTCCCGTCAAGCTCTTCAGGATTAAGATGCAGGGATCCGAGGCTGTGCTGGCCATGTCCAGCAGAACCTGGCTGTCGTACTACCATCAGAATCGATTCCATTTGACGCCGCTATCCTATGAAACCCTCGAGTATGCTTCTGGCTTCTCCAGCGAACAGTGCAGCGAAGGTATCGTGGCCATATCCACCAATACCCTGAGGATCTTGGCGCTGGAAAAACTGGGAGCGGTCTTCAATCAAGTGGCATTCCCCCTGCAGTACACTCCCCGCACTTTCGTCATCCATCCAGACACAGGTCGCATGTTGATAGCGGAAACGGATCACAATGCCTACACAGAGGATACGAAGAGTGCGCGGAAGGAGCAGATGGCCGAGGAGATGCGCAGTGCGGCGGGCGATGAGGAACGCGAGTTGGCCCGCGAAATGGCCAATGCTTTTATCAATGAAGTTTTGCCAGAGGATGTCTTCTCCTCGCCCAAGGCGGGATTGGGCCTGTGGGCCTCGCAGATCCGCTGCCTGGACGCCATGCATGGCCAGACGATGTTCAGTGTGCCGCTGACCCAAAACGAGGCCATCATGTCCATGGCCATGCTCAAGTTCTCCATAGCAGCCGATGGTCGGTATTACCTAGCCGTAGGAATCGCCAAGGATCTGCAGTTGAACCCCAGGATCTCCCAAGGCGGCTGCATAGATATCTACAAAATAGATCCCACCTGCTCGAGCCTGGAGTTTATGCATCGCACGGAGATTGATGAGATTCCCGGCGCGCTGTGCGGCTTCCAGGGTCGCCTGCTGGCCGGCTGCGGTCGAATGCTGAGAATCTACGACTTTGGCAAGAAGAAAATGCTGCGCAAGTGCGAGAACAAGCACATTCCCTACCAGATTGTCAATATCCAGGCGATGGGCCATCGGGTTTACGTGTCGGATGTTCAGGAATCTGTCTTCTTCCTGCGCTATCGTCGCGCCGAGAATCAATTGATCATCTTTGCGGATGACACACATCCCCGCTGGGTTACGGCCACCACTCTGCTGGATTACGATACCATTGCCATTGCGGATAAGTTTGGTAATTTGAGCATTCAGCGGCTGCCTCACTCGGTCACGGATGATGTGGATGAGGATCCCACGGGCACGAAGTCTCTTTGGGATCGTGGCCTGTTGTCCGGTGCCTCGCAGAAGTCGGAGAACATTTGCTCCTTCCATGTGGGCGAGATCATCATGTCGCTGCAGAAGGCTACTCTAATTCCTGGAGGATCCGAGGCCCTTATCTACGCCACATTAAGTGGAACTGTAGGCGCCTTTGTTCCGTTCACCAGTCGCGAGGACTACGACTTTTTCCAGCATTTGGAGATGCACATGCGCAACGAGAATCCCCCGCTTTGTGGTCGCGATCATCTCAGCTACAGGAGTTCGTATTATCCGGTGAAAAACGTTCTGGATGGCGATCTTTGCGAGCAGTATCTTTCCATCGAGGCAGCCAAGCAGAAAAGTATCGCTGGGGATATGTTCCGTACTCCCAATCAGATTTGCAAGAAGCTGGAGGACATTCGCACGCGATATGCCTTCTAAGGTGGGTTTAAATCAAGAATATATAATAGTCTTTAAAGCTTTTGTGATGACATAGCTATTTTACCTTGGGACACCTATGAAATACCTTGATTAGCGTAAATTTCAATTACTGATAAAGCTTTATAAAGAATATTTTTGGTTAAATATTTAAGCAATATAACTAATTTGAAATTTCTTATATTTTTCAGATTCCTGCCAGAGAAAACACAACAGATCAATGGAAACTATTCTTTTTAGATTAGGTAAGTTAACTATTTATGTCTTAGAATTAAATTTTAAATGATGAATTACGATTTTACCTTGGGACACCTATGAAAAATCTTGATTAGTGTAAAGTTATATTTTGCTGATAAAAAAAAAAACAAGTTATATCTTGTTTTTGGAACTCAAAGGAATTCTTTTTAATTGTTTATTTATTTTATTCTTGCAGTTCAAAGTGACAAAAACAACCAACGCTGCACACCCAAAACTTTTTTAAGGTAAGAAATGAAATCGAAGTAGATTAATTTTTATTTTATAAAATCACAATGATGTTATTTACATATGTTAGACTAATGAAATGATTTGATTGTAAATTAGTAACTGAGTATATTTAAGAAATGTAATATTTTCTTATAAGAGATGCCTTTTAAATTAACGAACCTTTTAATTAAACAAACATTTTTTATTTGCTTGCAGCTACAACAGGAAAATACCAATGACTTCATTTTGGGTCATTTTTTCAAGGTAAGAAATCAATAAAGATTCCAAAAAATACATCATTTTATAAACCCAACTCGATGATGTCATTTACATATGTTAGACTAATGAAATGATTTGATTGTAAATTAGTAACTGAGCTAAAAAACTCTCTTAAAGAGTGTTAAAAAATATTAATAAACTTACATTAATTTGTAATATTTTCTATTCCTTTCCAGATTTTCTTACGTTGGGGTATGTGGCGCTTAATTTAAAAATAAATCATACATTAGGTAAGTAGTTGATTAAAACCCTCGCATTAAATTGAAACTAATTAAAATCTTCTCTTTCCCTTACAGTTTGTACATCTCTACTAACTAATTGCACATTAAATCACCGATCAACCACTAATCGACTGCCGCCTATTTATATTAGCATAAGTCCCTGCGAATTCGACAATTTGCACACAACCTAAATATAATCATCGTAGTGTAAGCAATTTTTAAATAAAAATTAATTAAACGAACCGAGGAATGTGAGGTGATTTGTGTTGTCGGGTTTTCAGCGGCGACGAGAGAGGCTATTTTGCATAATTCCAGTTGACGTCGGTTCGCCTGCCTTGTTGCGGCCTTATTATGGCCATTACCATGTGTCTTGGCTATTATATCTCGGCCTTGTTTGCACTGCTCTTCATTTTCCCGGCTCAGGGAGTCCCGTTATGGGACGGCAGATATTTGCTAAACGCCTCGTTTTCCATCCATCCGCCCGGCTGGCATGGTATGTACGCAAAATCGTTGTAATTTGTTATGTTTGCGGCATAAGCACAGTAGTTATGCAAATTGTCTGTCGGCCCGGTGGTCGGATCACTTGCCAAACGGAGCAAGTGCAGCAGTGTTGGACGGTTGCTGCGTTGGTAGCAGTCTACTTTTATTAAATTTTAGAAATAAAATTAAAATCAACTAAACTTCGATTTTAAGAGATTTTTTTATTGATTAAGTTTTAAGTTTTATATCTAAAGTTAAGATTTTATATCTAAATACCAAGAGGTTTATACCCATTAATATATTTGCCATTTTAGTAGGCATTTTTCTCCAGAATATTGCTTTTAATAAATTTGAAAATGTTTTTTAAATTATTAATTGGTGAATTTTAGGCACACATACACCGTTTTAAAAATGTATCTTAAAAAATCTATACAAATTTTATAAAAATAACTTACTACGAGTTAAGAACAAACCATGATTTGAATAATTTACATTTTAAATATATTATTTTAGCATGAAATTTAACAACCAAAAATGATTTCAAATCTCTCTTATTTTTTAAAATAAATGTAAATTAGTTACCTAAAAAAATGTAAATTTTATAAAATGTTATAATCCGACATCTCTGATGTTCTGATGTCTGGGGTCTTGAAGAATCCACAGAAGCAGCCAGCCGAGCAGCCTCTTTTCCGATCTCGAAAAAGAGCTGTGTGCCATCTGGTTAAACGATTTATTAACTTCATTTCTAGATCATTAGATCGCATAACACGGACATTCATCACTTGGCACTGGTTTTTCTCGGTTTTACTCGTTTTTTTTGTATCTTTGTTGGATGTTTTGTTTTTTGCCAGACTGGCACGCAAGTGCAATCTGCGATCTCTAGGCAGCATCTACGCATGCAATTCGCGCCGCCTTTTCTGTTCAGTTCCTCTGGCCAAAACGATCTGTGCCTTCGATAAGGACAATCAACGCTTGGCGCAAACACTTGGCACCCCCAGACAAAAAAAAAAGAAAACAACCTGCCCTGCAACACCTGCCACGCCCCCTTCTGCGGCGCCTTGGAGCAGTTGCCATTTCTGGGATTTCTGAGCGAGCTGGGGATAGGGGGATCTCAAGATGTGAAGACGGAGACTGGGGAGATGAGCAGATGCCCAGCTGGAGATAAGACAAAAGGCGTCCCCAGTCTGCGAACTTTCAGAGTGCAGCTTTGTTGACGGGTTATCCATTGAACAGAGGATTTTATTAGCTATGTATCTTAACTTTATAACTTAAGTTCTAAAATTCTATATATAAGTATGATTTTTAAAATTTATATTCTTAATACAAAATTTAAAAGAGATTAAAAAAATATGAATTTCTTTAATTTTTTAAAATATTTATTAAGTTATTAATAAATATTTTATCTTAAGAACATTATTATAATTGGAATTTTATTTAACATAAAAAAACATAAAATGAAATTGTGTTAGATAATTTTGAAGCCATTAATTAATTAGATAATTTTATAAATATTTTCCATTCGAATTTAGTATATTTTATATTTTAATTCCGTAATATTTATTAACACGCTATAAATCAATAAAAATAAAGGCATACTTGAGAAATTGAAATAAATACTTTTATTAAAATTAAACAAATTCAAAAAAACGTTAAGGTATTAATAGCTGAGAATTTTGATATCGTTAAGTGAGAAAATAAATCCAGAAATATTCCATCTAACACTATAAATATTTGGCTTAGTTTCAGTGGACCTACCATCACTGATCCTTTGTTGTGGGGCGTGAATTTGGATCGCGCGCATTCGTCGCTATCGGAGCTTGGTGATCGCAATCTACTTTCCGAGATCTCGTATTCGGAGTCCCATTCGCAGCGTTCCGGGCCTCGCAGATGCTTATCATCTCAAATGCCTTGCGTGATAAAATTTCGCACGAAATGCCCCACGATCTGGGGACTTTTTTCGTTTAATGCAATGGGTGTTAACGCTGCAACTTTTCTGCGAAATTCTGCCGGACACGCCGAGATTTTAATCAGATGTCTGGACCGGAGTCTGGATGGTATGCTGGATAGTGGACACTGGATAGAACAGAAAAAATAACCAGCTAGACGGACACTTTCCCTGTGTGCGAACTGCGAATTAAATGCCCATTCGCCAGTCACGTCTTTTCACAGTTAGCAACTTTATTAAAACTAACGGGCATGGCAAATAATTAAAACGCAGCGGAAAATTGCAAATTGCCTGCCGTGTAATAAATAGAATCATCAGAGCGAGCGGCTGGCGGATCCCAAGGGGGAGTTCCTGAGACCCGGCCTCATCAGCATCACCAACAACATCATCATCATCAGAGAAAGGCAGCAGCGGCAGCATTATTTTAATTCACTTAGCATCGCTGACGTTGGTTTTCGACACACGCGAAAAATAGGCGAATTTAATGACGCGAATTCTTCAGAACCAAATAACAAAATCGATTATTTCGAGGAGTTTTTCAGTAAAAGAAATCCGTGAATTCTTAAAAAAATGTGTTTTGTTAAAAAGCAAGAGAAATAAAACATTTAAAGTAACGAATCAATTTTTTGACGCGAATTCTTCAGAACCAAAAAACAAAATCGATCATTTCGAGGAGTTTTTCGGTAAAATAAATCCGTGAATTCTTAAGAAAATGTGTAGTGTTAAAAAGAAAGAATTATCTAACATTTAAAGTCATTAATCAATTGTTGGAAAAATATTAAATCGCGAATTCTTTAGGACAATACGTTTTATAAAGAAAACTCCGTAGATTACTTTACTATTTTTATAAATCCTTATCATTTCATTAAATTAAGATGGAAATTTGTAGATCCAAGATCTTCATTTTTCTCAGTGCCTGTCTTCGGGCCGGCTTTTCTTTTCTTTGGCCTTAGCGAAGACATGTGAGCTTGAGCTGGGGCTTTGAAGACTGAATCTGAGGCTAAGACTCCGACTTAGCCGGTTGCTGGCAGCTCGACAAACCAATTATAAAGCGTAGAGTTTGATGTGCACGTGTTGGGAGAGATTGCGATTGGGAGAGGTTGTGATCGCGATCTCTAACCCGCGGCGGGTATATCCAATACCGTATATATCGGCCAGCGGCCAATTAATGTGCGATAAGAACTGAGCAGGCGAATTAGCTGCAATCTGAGATCAGCGGAGGAAAAGTAGGTGAAAGATGGTGAATGTGGAGATAAAAAGTAAGTGGATCGATCGCAAGAAGTAATTTCAATAGCGGACTTATGAAGCTTTATTACTATAGTTTAAATAAATATTCTCAGGGAGTTTAAAAATTAGGATTAAAATAATCTTTCAATTAACTAAATTGGAGGTATTTGTTTTTTTAAAACATTTTATTATTATTATTTTCATGGTTCTCCCCTGATTTTTCCTTGGTAGTGTCATCATCTAGTCGGCTAAGATTACCTGATCTTTGGCAACATAAAAACTGCTGACTGTCAAAGGGGGAAAATGAGGTGGGTTTGCGAAGCGAAGGGGCAGAGTGACACTCACATGAAGCAGAGCCCCAAGTCCACAAGTCCACAACTGTTGATTGCTGTCAGCAATCTTTCCCCATGATTCAAACTCGTCGTCGCTGCTTTTCTGCTTTTTGCGGCTATTTGTGGTTCTTGGGAGCTGACCCCATTCAATGTCATTAACTCGGCCCAAGGTCTGTTTGTTTTTGAGGCTAGCCCCAAAGACTCCGGCAATTTCGCATAATTGGCTGAAAATTATGAAATGCTACGAGGGACGACCAATCGCAGTCTCCTCGTTGCGGTGGCATCTTCATTTTCATTCGATGCCTCCTGAACTCCAATGAACTCTCTCTTGGCAGCGTGCACTGGAAGAAAATACTCTATAATCAGAAATAAAATATCTTGATTGGCCTTTGAAATGAATTCTAAAATCTGCTATTTATTCTTGAAAATGTTTTACAGGAAAATAATACATTAAAAAAATGTCTGTTGTGTTTTTGTTTTAAAGAAACTTAATTAAAATGTATTATTAAAAATATGTTACGGTCCTTAAAAATGTTTAAGACATTACTTTCAAATTTATTTCCACCTGATGGAGTTTTGAACACTTTTTAAAATATAATCTTTTAGTATTCTATTTGTTTAGGATTCATAAAGGATGAATGTTTTCCAACAATATCTTAAATATATCATCATAATATCATCAATTTGTTATCAATTATATCATAGCATTTATTTATCCAATAGTTGGGTTTTATTTAATTTGGCTATATTTAATCCTTTTTATGTTTTGTTTTGTTTTAAATACGGTTTAAAAATTTAGGTTTCATTAATTTTAAAAAATTACCTTTCTACTTGGTAGAGTTCTTGAAAAACTTGTACATTCATTTTACTATCCAGAATTTTTTCAGTGACTATATTCTTTGGCCAGCTTGTCAGCGGCTCATCGTTCCGACGAGTCCAACTGTTCGCCCCCGGGCCAAAAAAGATCTTTATGGGTCCGGGGACTCAACTGCTCGACTTCCTTTCACCGGCAATCTCAACTGTAAACGTTCCAGTCACTTAGTCAACAATCTGTTGCATCTAATTGTCTTTGCAACAAATTACTCAATTCCAGTTGGATGCTGAAAGATTCAGATGCAGATGGAGATGGACAACGAGAATGGGAATGAGAATCAGAATGAGAGCCAGAACGAGATCCAAACGACGACCGGCTGGTCAACAGGTTTGACATAATTTTCGCTT